GGACCGAGCACCAAGTAAGGGGGGCCACAGAGAGCGGCCGCATTTATATCGGCGAGTCGGGGGCGAGGGGGTGTGAGTCGGGGGCGAGGGGGTGTGAGTCGGGGGCGAGGGGGTGTGAGTCGGGGGCCGTGGGGTGTGCGTGCAGGTGGCCTTGGCAGGGGAGCGGGGAATTGTGCGATTAACATCCCCACGTGCGGTTGTATTTGCAGGTGGGTTCAGGGGACGCTTGATTTGGAACCCTCGGGCTAAATGTCCCTATGACATGAGGCCCAAAAAACCATGGCATCATCGCCACCACGCCGTGAAATAGTTTGCCACTGAATGAAACTGCAAGCGCACGTATAAATTTTGCTCAACAAATGGCACGGCGACACGTGTGACTTCACTGGACTGTCAACGTATCGGCAAAGCTCGGCAGAACTTTGGCGAATGCTGCTTCTCGACAGAATTTTTTGTAAACCCTTGCCGATGTCTTCCATCGTTGACAACGTGGCAAATCGAGCACGGCAGTGTTTAAGCCCTTATTATCATGAATGGGAACGTGGTGCCTGAAAATCCACAGTGTGGTTAAATGTAACGGATTTTTCTGTCACCGAATACGGCCAGTAAGTAAAGTGGCCTCCCCTGCATTCCCGTCTCGCAGAGCCACGATCTTCTACGATCGGAAACCTCGTCAGGCAAAGCTGCAGGCTTCAGGTATTATCAGTCGAGAAAAATGCCACCCAAGGTGAATAAGGTTGGACATTGTGCATGGCCACTCAGTATGAGGTGTTCTGTGACCTGTATATGGCAGCACGTGGTGGTCCTGCTACGTTGATCTTGAAAGAACAGTGCAGCGATGAATAATACATAACTGACCAGCCGGACAAAACTTGCATTACATTTTTTTAATTTGTGTTCGTTCCTTATTTCAGAATGTCTTCATTAGTATTGCATTGCACCGTAAAATATTTAAACTGTGATTGCCCATTTGTATCTGACATATATCACTAAACAATATTTACAGTGGGGGGTGTTTTCATCTAGGATACAGGGTTATGGTTGATGTCTGGCTTAGTGGAGCTCAGAGGCTCATTATCAGTCCAATCGGCACAGTCATGGACCAGACAGCCTCAATCGTCCACTGCTCCAGGCAGGCCAGCGAGTCTCTGTTCGTCTCGAGCAGGAGTGGCCAAACCGCGTAAATATAAATGTGTCGTTAAACCCGCCACCACCCGATACAGCCAACTAGTAAGGTTTGTCACGTAAATAAAACATGCCAGGTGGTGGCGGGTTTAACGACGCATTTATTTTTACAAGATCTAACACCAAAAACTTTCTGTTATGGATATTGTTCGCAAAATCATAAGTGTTATTCACATGCATTGCGGCTCTTGAAAGAGTTTTTTTTTTTTACAAAATCCTAAAAAAAGAATGGCTCTTGTTATTTTAGTTACCGACTTCTGGACCACAGGAAGACCGACGTGCCTTTATTTGCAGGAGGATCATGCTACACGCGGCAGGGACGATGGCTAACGCCGCTGGGAGAGCGGCTCCCTCCCTTGCCCCTGTGAATTGCCAGCTTTGTTGTAGGCCAGTGAGCACCTGGAGATGGAGGGTCTTTGGGAACATTTCGAGTGGGCTCCGTGGAACGCGAGCTCGCTCGGGCGTGGTCCAGTCCAGAGGGATGATACGCACCTGGGCAGCAGACGTCACTTACAGCGCCACCTGCACCACCGCTCGCGGAATGTATTCAAACAAGGAGATGGACGCGCGATTTTTTTGTCCAACGCGCGCACGCACGCACGCTCGCTCCATTTGACTCGTTAATGTGCGGTCGCGTTGTCGACTTGTGTCAGACACCGAGCTCGAGCACTGTCGAGATCCTAGGTTCGAATCCGGGTTTTTGGCCGACTTGACTGATTAAAGTGGATTCTCGAGTGAAGCAACTGGATGGTCACAGTCCAAGTCGCCAATGATTTGTGTAAATACTCACAGGCCTTGCAGACAGACCCCATATACTTACACAGAGACTCAAAGACTCACTCAGAGCCCCATAGCCATTCAACGTATTTGGTGCTGCTGCTGCTGTATTGGCAGTGGTGCACCAGCACAAATAAGATAATTCAGCATTATTGTCAAAAACACTGCGGAGTTAAAAAACTAAAAGTAATATATTAGTTGACGTTTCAGGCAATGGTCCTTCACAGCATGTAGTGGACCATCGCGACACAGACCCATAGACTCGCGTAGAGCGACATAGCCCCACAGAGACCCATAGACTCGCGTAGAGACACACGCATGAACCGACTTGCGATTCAACCGGATTCCCGAGTGTGACAGTTGATGTTATTTGGTTGCCAAGCGCAAATGACAAAAACAAACTCAACACATTCCATGTCAATATCACTGTATGGCCTTAAAAGGAAATACATAAATATAATAGGCAACTTATTGGGCAAATAGCCCTTGGTCACAGCAGACAACGGGTAATATGCAAGGATTACGGGCGGTCTTCAAGGCCAGTGCTACGACGCTTGTCATCAGGTTCAGTTGTTCAACAGGACATGCAATCGCCCACCTTTGTTTTAGCTTCATAGGTAGCTGTATAGGCAGCTGCATATCTGGCTGTAGAGGTAGCTGCTTAGCTGGCTGTATAGGTAGCTGTGAAGCTCAAGAGCTCTGCAGAGATAACATCTGGCACAGGGTTGGAACAACTCTCCCTGAAGCCTCTGGTCTCACCACGACGTCCCACGCACCGGCCAGAGAACCAAATGTTGATAACAATGAGATGAGAGGGGGGGGGGGGGAGTTCCTCGTGGACTTCAATGGTGGACATGGCAGAGGCGCTACCTCCTGCGGTCAACCGGGGTTTAAAGGACAGCAGGCCAGGCCAATGGAAATCGTGAAGCTCGAATTGAATGCCTTAATGGGACTTGTGATTTGGAATCGTGAGTTGACGACGATCTAGGTAAAGTTGTTACACTGCTTGGACAATCACCAACGTGACAGGATTCATGTGAGTGTCCTTTCCCCAGGGCTTACCCACGTGACTTTACCGAAAAAACCTAAGAATATACTTACCCACACACTCTTGACCGATTTTACTTCGACGTGGTGGGATAAACTAAGAGGCGACCATCCTGGGGTCAGCTGCAGATGAAGAGCAAAAGCTCACACGGAGACCCACAGACTTGCACGGGAATCCAGACTCGGCACGGAGACATCACTCTGGATACCTGGCTCCCCTCGCCGGGGTTTAGCCCACCGAGCAGAACGGTGTATGGGGAGTTTCCACTGCCACACACAACGAGCTACTACGACTTGGAACTCCACTGGCACCTCCGAGTTGTGGTGTGGCCGCCCTGAGCCAGCCTGAAACAGGTCGGGGGAGCAGGGTTGCTTTCCACTGCACGAGTCTAAACGTCCCACTGACGTTACAAATGTCGCGCCGTAGATGGGCCGCACTGCAATGGTAGACGGGGCTCATCTAGGGCGGTGCCTCGTACCGCCAGCGGAGGGGCTGCAGTGCCAGCCCAAGAGGGGAGGGGCTGCAGTGCCAGCCCAAGGGGGGAGGGGCTGCAGTGCCAGCCCAAGAGGGGAGGGGCTGCAGTGCCAGCCCAAGGGGGGAGGGGCTGCAGTGCCAGCCCAAGAGGGGAGGGGCTGCAGTGCCAGCCCAAGAGGGGAGGGGCTGCAGTGCCAGCCCAAGAGGGGAGGGGCTGCAGTGCCAGCCCAAGAGGGGAGGGGCTGCAGTGCCAGCCCAAGAGGGGAGGGGCTGCAGTGCCAGCCCAAGAGGGGAGGGGCTGCAGTGCCAGCCCAAGAGGGGAGGGGCTGCAGTGCCAGCCCAAGAGGGGAGGGGGCTGCAGTGCCAGCCCAAAAGGGGAGGGGCTGCAGTGCCAGCCCAAGAGGGGAGGGGCTACTGTGGGCTCAGGATCCACACAGCGAAGCCCCTTGGGCGCCCTCAGCTGGGGGTGGGGGCTGCGGGGGATCTGGGATCCCACGCAGCCCCACCCCTCGATGGGCAAGGGGCATAAAAGGGCACCTTCCCAGCCGATCTGGACCAGTTGAAGACCGAAGCCAAGAGCAGCTAGCTAGGACCCCGAGACCTCTAGCCCCACTGTCCTCGTTAGGGCCGGGACTCCTCTGTGCGGCTCAGTGGTGAGACCCTGGGAACCTCCCAGGCCCGACGTCCTTGTAAGGGCCGGGTCCAGTGGGTCAGTGGTCGGAACTCGCACCCTGGCGAGGGCGAGCTAGAATAGCGTCCCCCTAGGCACCCATAGCCGGAGGACCCCGAGTGTAGTCCTGTGTCAGGGTGAGTCAGCCCGGAGGCAGTACCTCCCCAGACAGTGGTACAGGATAGTAACCCTGAGTGTTCTGGGACTGTACTGCCGAGCGAGGCGTTTTAATAAAGTGTTGCCTCCAAGAACCGTCTCCGACGTCTCCTGAGTCTACAACACGACACACTGTGTGGTGAAGTCAAGATGTGCATAGATGCGGTGGCGCTGTTTGGAGTTCAACCGACTTGACGTCACACACATTGCAGATGTCATTAGCCCCATCCCTTGCTCATTTTGGACCAGGGACAGATTCGTATAAAGATTATTGTATAACCAGCTGAGAACTCAAGGGACCAGGATGAGTTCTCATTTGCAAGACAGACCTGGGGTGACCTGGATGTCTTGTAAGGCTAGCTTTTGGCTTGACCCGGTGAAATGCAAGTGGAAAAAACACCTGTGCCGTGCTTGCCCATGCTGCCGTGGCTCCGATGCGCCAGTGGAAAGGTGGTATGAGAATAGACGGCAGCTGAGTTTACAAAGCCAGTAAGGGGTTGTATATGGAGTGGCTAATTGGGTAGCACCTTCGATTAGCCGCGACTACATCCTGTGGGGTCACTTTGGAGGGCATTTGTCTCAACATTGACGATTACCAAACCAGATGAAATCCGCACGTGGTCCTGTAGAGTCGGTAGCGTGCCTTTAACAATTAACATGTTTTAACAGTCAACAATGATCACATTTCAGGGTCACAAATTCATATTTATTTTTTATATTGAGTTGAATCTGCAGTAGTTACATAAACGTATAAAATATACAATGGTGTAAACGTACAAGATTATATTCATAATATAATTTACAACCATTTCTCAATCCACTGCTGGATGAAGGCCTCTACAACTGTCGGTCGTGAGGGTTGTTTTGACGATGCTTGACCGCACTAATCAGTGCAGGCTGGCGAAGGGAGACGAGATTCAGTCGCTCGCCACTGATGTCAGCCGTGGCTGGGAAAGTGGCTGGGTAATTAGCACAGGTCGCCTTGTTCATGATGCAGTGCTGCACCAGCTCCTCGCACTGCATATTCATTGCGAAATAATGACGATTGCAAGTTTGATTCAACAGATGAATGTCAGAAGTAATTCTACTGGAAGAATTAGCATAGCGGCATCTGCAAGTAACCACATCTCAAGACAATACAGAAAGTAAGTTGGCTTATTTGTTTGGGAGAGGCAGTCGACCATAGGTGGAGAGAAAAGGGGATGGTCTTGAACCTGGACTTAAACAGGGAGTGGACAGATGGCTTGGGGAAGGGATTTCCAGACTGGGGACAGCAGAGGAGAATGAGCGACCTCCCACTGAGAAAAGGGGAGGGGTAGGAGAGCGAGAGTAGTAGGGCAAGAGGGGAGGGGTAGGAGAGTGTGTGGTGGGGAGCAGAGTGAGATGAGAGCGGAGGGGTAGGAGAGTGTTGGAGGGGAGTAGAATGAGAGGGGAGGGGTAGGATTGAGTGAAGTGTAGTAGGACAGGAGGGGTAAGCAAGTGTGTAGAGGGGAGTAGAGTGAGACGAGAGAGGGGGGGGTGTAGGCAGGCGTGAGTGCCGGGAGGATTTTGGACGCTGGGACTCCTCAGCGCCGCGAGGACACGGCCACATTCTACGAGGGGGTTCCCTGGTGCCCTCCCACACGGAGTACAACAACTCGCACACATGCTGAGAGCCGGCGAGGCTTCCTGGATAAATAAGAGACATTACATATAAAATACATTATTAATCATCAGATCCAAATGATACTAACATTTTTGTAATCGCACAATGGTCCGCTGTGGATACGCTGGGGGGCTCATTGGCACTGCCCTGCTTTCGATTTAAAGCTTTTGTGACTGCATGGTTGATATTCTTGTTTTTTTCGGTAAAGTCATGTAGAAGGGAAATAATGAAATCTTATTAGGTAAAATTTTTATTATTTTATTATTTCCCTTCTACGTGACTTTACCGAAAGAACCAAGAATACTGCCCTGGTTGCCCAAGGGGCTCGTCGTTGTGGTTCTTGTTGGGCCCATGGCTGCAGTGCCACGGTGTCGCCCTCCTTCCCGTGTTGTCCTGCCCTGGCTCCCTCCCTCCCCACCGACACCGCCTCTGCCTGCCACCCGAACGTAATTTTTTTGATCAATTATGTTATTTCAGTAAAGGGTCTAAAAAATCCGATTGCATGTAGAAAACCGATACGTTCCAATTATTGTTTACTTAACGCAGAGGCTTTCGCAGCCAATACTACCATTTATAATCGAATTTTGGGTTAAGGCCACGTAAAGACTTTGCCAGAATTCCGGTCTTCAACTCTAGCGGGAATCAATAATAATTGGCACATCGTTAAACAGCTTGTACATCATGTGACCGTTTAAATCGTTGGGTGGTCAAGAGTTTCGCAACAAATTGGACCAGATCATTCCAGTACATGGCATAACCCAAAAATATAAATTGTGAAATAATTACTGATGATGTTGATGTGTTCACAGTGATCGGCCTTCGCTCGAGTCCATCTCCCGGCCATACGTCCCCGCCGTGCCGACAAAAGGCTGCATGGCCGCTCGGCCTCTACTGGCGGAGCAGGTGCAGCACAAGTTCCTCGTCTTCGGCCAGAGACAGCCCCGTGTCCATCACCCTCCCGCCAGCATCATCATCAGTCGTCGTCGTTCGACTGTGCCCGTCGCCGCTTGCGGAGAGGGCCCGTGCCGCGGCGGTCCCCGCTCGTCGCCATTGCCGCCGTCTTTGGCTCTCCACCATCCTCGCCGCTCTCCTGCGACGAGCTGCGGTGGGGGAGGGGCGAGCAATAGGTCAGGACACGTGCAAGGAATCCGGCCAAATTTGTGTCGTAAAGGCCCTACAAGGCCCCGACACGGTCAATAAACTAAATTGTCACCTTGCGTGCAAGGGTTTAATGATGCACCAATTATTATATTATCAATTCTGCTCACTCACCGGTGGAGTTGAACAATTCTCACATCCAAAGTTAGTAGCAGTTACATTTAATTGACGTGGTTGTCCGATAGTGTCAGGTGGAGGGGAAGGGTCTTATGACAATAATTTGGCCAGATCATCATGGCGTAACCAAAAAAAACAATAATGACTCAATTCTTACTGGCTGCCAAACCCTAAGTGTTAGGTTATACAATGTGGCTTTAATGTGGAGTGTTGACGGAGCCACCGTCATCCCACAATCTTGTGATGTCTTAAATCCAACTTGCGACTGCCCGCAAACTAATCTCACTGCTCCATCTCCTCCACGTGATGGACGTCCCCTCGGACGCATTCCATACTTTGGCTATCACTCCGTTGCTAATCCTGTCCCAAGCCCACTCGCTTTGCTCAATAGCTTAGAGTGATGCCACTGTGGCCATCAAATGAATGTAATATACAATCTGTGACGTGTTGGGCAATGTCCATTCTGCATAGCACATCAACCGAGAGAGGCGAGACAGATGGAGTGGTTAATAAGAGTTGGAGTACTGCAATTGTAAACACTATGGGTGACAATATTTTAATTGTGCATATGAACATGTACCCAACACCCTTCACTGGTTACGGGGCAACGTAGCCCGAAGGCAGAGAGGACAGGCAAAACACAATCCGCCGCACGTCTGTGCTCCCCACCGTCACCGACCCGCGCCGACCAGCACGGTGAAGTCAAATAACTCCCGATACCCGAGCGCATGCGGAAGCTCTCATCCAGCAGTGGATTTGACAGAATGGCCAGGCGTGTGCACGTGCATTTGTCCAGTTGCTACGCGCGTACCTGTCGCCCTCGTCGGCGACTCCACGTTTCTCCCCCTCCTCATCGCGGTACTTGTCGGGGTCAGGCAGGGTGCTGGGGTCAAAGTCCTCTCGCTCGTCGTCGCTGTCGTCGCTGCGGCCGAGGACGGCGGTGCCCGCCTCATCCTGCAATGCACACGCGCGCAGGTAGGTAAATGTACAAAGATACCCCATATAGCCTTTGACAGACTGATAGGGCAAGTGCTGTTATGGAGCACCCATGAAGGGCGACACAGCACACAAGGGGGTGCTTGGCCGGCACCACCCCTGACCGTCTTTGTTACCCAGTGGCGATATTTACACACCACATCAGGTACTCATTTGAGACCGAGTCGACCTAGGGGTGGCCCAAAACTGGTTTCTATATCACTCTCCCAGTGTGGGTAGCTGTGGCTGGGAATCAGCTGCCCAGGTTGGTATCGGAGTGTGCTACCCACTACACATAGACTTAGGTACGTACTCGCACACCAATAGGCATGTACACACACACACAAAGACACAGATCCCCCGCATAGCCTTAACATAATGTTGGGGCAAGTGCTGTCAGCGAGCACAAGGACACACGAGCAAATGCAAGGACAGATGCACACGTCACACTCGTCACCCGCATCACACGCTGTCCCATCACACTCGTCCCATCACGCCCACCACACTCTCCACGCTCACTACCCTCCACGAGCGCCGGGCCCCACCTAGGGAGGGGTGCAGAGCGCAGCGGAACGCACACCGCTCCGCCAACCCCTCAGGCGGGGAGTGGAGAGAAAGGAGAGGGGAGGGGAATAGAGGAGAGAAGAAAGGAGGGGAGTGTAGTGGAGAAAAGAGTGGGGACGAGAAAAGGGGAGGGAAGAGGGGGAGGGGAGGGCGTAGAGGGGAGATGAGAGGGGAGAGAAGAAAGGAAGAGTGAAGGGGAGGAGAGTGGCGTGAGGCATGTGTGGATCTGTCTCGCCCCCAGGTGGGGTAGGGGATGGGAGCGAGTGGAGGGGAGAGGGCAAGTGAACAGGGGAAGAGGGGAGTGGAGCAGTGGAGGAGAGTGAGTTAGAGAGACAGAAGCGTGAGTCCAGGATGCATCACACGGGGAGGAGAGCTCATCGCCGAGTTCCAGGCGAGGGTCACTCGGAGCGACGCGCTGCGTCCACGGGCGCCGGGAGGGACGGTGCGGTGACCCCCACGCACACCACGTGGTGGATTCTCTCTGCTACATCGTAGGATGGCGAGAGACGCTCACGGCTTAGGGAGGCCGACAACCAGCAGTGGATTGGTCATGAGTGACGACCGATGATGAAGATGGTCACGATGCCACCTCATCACCCCCATTTCTTCAGCATGAATTAGTTTTTTGACCGACTGTTAAAGTTGCGTGAGGGCAAAAAGCATCACCAACTATGTAAACTATTTTTTAACCAATCAGGTCTCCAATTTGTGGCTGCTGGCATCATCACATGACTTGCAGTAAGCAGTGCACCACTTATAATTTGCACAAGTCGATCTCGGGTTTGCATCGAGTTGGGTGAGCCAGCATCCGTTACCACAGCGCATTTTTATGATAACGGTTGCTGAGCAAAGGCCCAAAGCGGCCAGCGACAAACAGCAATAAAGAGTTGTTACATTTCCTGAGTAGAGCAAGGTTATTATGAGGAGAGAGAGTGTTGTGACCTGCATTGCGGTGAGCGAGTGGGTAAGTGTGCTGTGACCCGAGTGTGTTGAGCGAGTTTGTGAGTTGGTGAGTGTGGTGTTGTGACTTAGTGTGGTGAGTGAGTGGGTGAATGAATGGGTGAGCGAGTGGGTAATTGTGTTTCTGTGATGGGAGTGTGGTGAGTGTGGTGTTGTGACTTAGTGTGGTGAGTGAGTGGGTGAATGAATGGGTGAGCGAGTGGGTAATTGTGTTTCTGTGATGGGAGTGTGGTGAGTGTGGTGTTGTGACTTGGTGTGGTGAGTGAGTGGGTGAATGAGTGGGTGAGCGAGTGGGTAATTGTGTTTCTGTGATCGGAGTGTGGTGAGTGAGTGGGTGAGCGTGTTACTGTGATCTGCAGCGCAGTGGTTGAACAGTGTGGTGGTGGATGAAATGAAATGATCGATCAGTCCTCAACACGACTGGCGGAATCAACAAGCGAAGTTCACGGGAAAAGCAACCACGGTAGTAGCAGTCGCAAAAGAAGAGTGACAAGGCGGTGACCGAGCCCTGGTGAGCGAGCGCAGCGAATCGGTGAGCGTTGGATTGTCAATACATGCCGGGCGTGTGAGAGCATTGTTCGGGTTTTAGGGGCAATGCCGTAAAACATTATGTTTGTTAAACATTATTTATGTTTTAATTAAACTTGCCAACACATGAACAGGGCAGGGTCCCCCACCACATAACTCACAACGCTGCCCCCCACAATGTCGCCCTGATCTACGTAATTGGCTTGTATCCAATTAACCCCTTCCACACCCAATTATTTATCACAATTATATATTTTTTATTTTATATTTGACACTGTGGTCAACGGCAAAGGCACAGCCCTGCAATTGCTCGCTCACGCCACTGCTGGCAGAAGGGCCTCGACCAGAGGGAGCCTCTAGAGATCCCGTCATCTTCCACGCTGGCCAAACATCTTGGAAGAGGTGGCGGGGTCCCCACACTTTACAACAACAAAAAACGCCATTCACAACTAGGTGGCGATGACATCACCACAGCACTTGTGCCAGGCCAAGTACACTTTAAGGCTACGTGAAGTGTCGAACGCTCGCTGGCAGGAGGTCACGGGACAGACCCAGGTGCGATGGGTTTATTGACAGAGATGAGTGGCTGATGCACCAGCTGTGCCCCCTACTGTGCCAACTTGCTGTGTTTTTTCCACGTGGCGCTTTGCTCATTGTTGTGAGCATCACTCCTCTGCCCTCCGTTGCTGGAGAGCGACTGCCTCCAACCGCCTGTAGCGTCCTTTACGAGCCTCTACAGAGGAAGATCTTGACACTGCTGGTACCAATCATTGGCAAGTCCAATCAGCTCTACATCCTCTTGTACCATATCACTCCATCTCTCCTCTAGCCTGTGCTGTGCCCATTTAGCCCCCTATATCTGACCGAACAAAAGCTGTTTAGGGCATGCGGTGGCTGGGCATGTGGGCTAAATAATCCAGCCAATGCAGCCTTGTCTGCCAGATTAGCACACTGCTCAGGTATGGAAAACTCTCCACTCTCTCCACAACTGCCCCATCGCCAATAGGGAGTTGAAGGGGTGGAGTGTTTGATGGCATAAAATACCCAGGCAGGTGCTAAGTTTTGGTGGAGCTGGTGGTAAGGCCCCACCTCGAAGTGGCATGCCCCAGGTTCAGCAGCAGCAACTCCTCTGAATTAGCGGCAATCACCAAATTATCACCATACATATGTAATGGCAGGGTGACACCTGCTCCTGGGTAGATAGTGGTTTGCCTGTGTTTGGACTTCCGTGACGGGAGATCAAACGGGCGACTGTGGAGCAGATAGAAGTTATGATGGCTGCAGTTTTTACAAATGTGCATGGCTTACGGGAACTAATTACGTGCCACATCAGCAACCATGAACTGTGATCTAATCACTGCGGGATGAAGGGCATCCCCAAACCGCCGCGCTCTCTCAAGGCCCTGCAAGACAACAATCCATCTCCTACCGCAGCTCATTTCATCGCCGCATCTCTGCCGTGGAAGGGCTCTCCGGCACGTCCCCTCCTTTGTGTGTCACTCGGTCGTTGGTCTCGACCACCACAGCCACCATCCCTTGCAGCGACATCATCTTTCTGGTATTTGCCACACACCTGTGAGGCCTGCTCCTCTTCCTCCACTCCTTCCCTTACTGGGCCAAAATATCCACCTCATCTTGGCCTCTCGGTCTCCACCCTGGAGGGCTTCCTCTCAGCGTGCCTGAGATGGACACCACTAGCCCCTACCCCACTAACCCTAACCCATTAATCCCTAACTCACTAATTCCAAACCCCGACTGATGCATGCAATTAAGTGCACGATTGACAAATTGCTGCGTTGTTAGATGCAGCCCCGTAGCATCGGTGCGTAGAATTAAGCGACGGGCGTCGCAGCCTTTGGTAATGCACACGTGGTGTGGGAGGGGGATGAGAGGCGGGTGAGAGGCGGAGTGCTCCGCTACCCATGCTGTTCACCGTTAAACCTGCGCTCCAAGTTCAAATTTGCCGGTGTGCCGTCTGTGCCCCCCATCCCCCCCGCCAAGTTTGTACCATGGATACCCTTTGCTGGCGAGACGTTCCATCTCGAGGGATTTCACCAGGTCGAATATTTCATGTAAAAGTATAAAAGTATGATCACACGTGCCCCCCTCCACACCTGGCCCTCCCCCCTCACGTGAAGCCGACTCGCGCAACAAGCCTGGGCGCATGCCTGCGGCGCTCGCACGTCCCGCGAGTTTTACGCACGACGGCTAAATTACCGAAAATTACGGCTCGCGACAGGGCCTGAGTGGGGTCGTGTGGGGTCGTGTGGGGTCGTGTGGGGTCGTGGTAATGCGGGGGGGGGGGGGTGTTTGGCACGTCTTGTGACCCGTGTTTTTGTCCTTTCCCCAAATTTCATTGATTTGACTGCGTTATCACCGTCGCGAAACACCAAGGGTCCGTCAGGGCCCTCGCGAGCGGTTGAGCGAGCGGTGCATGGCCCCCCGCGCGCCAGCGTATGGGCGGGTGGCGCACGGCGTCATCGGAGAAGTGACCTCTGTCAATCACACACTGGGGGCGCTGTGCCACCACCGCCACCACTTGCCACCTGGCTAGAGACGCGTTCGTGACACGCCAGTCACAATGTTAACTTGTGGCTCTTAGAGCAGGAATTTAGCCAAGTTAAATGTGACTTTTTGCGTGCAGTCATTGGTTACCTGGTTATGGACATCAATTCGCTACACACTTGTGAACCTGGTTTATAATCACAAGTCCGTCAATATAGGTCTGTGGATCTCTACGCAGAGTGTTTTCTTGTGTCCATGGATGTCTAGGTGAGGCTGTGGATGTCCGTTTGAGTGGACGTGTCTCTGTGTCAGTTAATGGCGACACATTAAAACCCGGTATAATCGCTGTGGTTAGGTGACTGAAACTGGATTCGAACCCTGGCTCTCAGCGTTGCCGGCTCAGCGTTGAAGAGCTTTGCAGAGCCAACCCGGTCACCTCCAGATTCAAGTGGAACTCCCTGCTGTTGGAAATCAGGCTCCCGTAAAGGAGTCAATATTTTTTCAACATTTCTCAGCTTCGTTCCTCTCTGGATCTCATTCTGCCACACGGCTCCATTATTATCTCTCCCATCCACACACGTGGCGCCTTGAGAAGCCGTGAAAGGCGCCTGTTAAGCGCAAATCCTTCCTACTACTACGTCTGAAACACACCTTGCATCAATGGTGCATCTATCGAGTGTGCAGGCGGTGTAACTGCGCCAGGGCCCCGCTCCCTCCCACCTCTCCATGGTAGCCTGCATGATGCGCTTGTGCTCACCTTGTTGCGTCCACGCTTGCTCAGCGCCCTGCGCTCCTCCTTGGCTCTCAGTCGTTGTTCCTGCAACAACAACAACAAAGCACGGCGCCCAGTTAGACCACTGAGCGTCGCCGGTTTACCGACTCCGATTAAAGTAATACTGGAAAATATATTTCAGTGCATTTGATATTCGCGCCGTTCGTACAGCGCGAGGCTATCGCGAAGGGGTTGCCGCATCATCGCCCAATACCTTATTGGCTTACACCGAGATTTCACGAACCACGGAACTCGTGGGCCCACTCAAAGTTCCGGCACCTGCAGCAGCACCCGCACCACCACCGGAACCACCACCCCCCGTTCCACTGTTTGCGCCAACTCGGGCAGGGGGCTTTAATTTTCTGACCCGATTTTGGTCTTGACGACACAAATTTGATAAAATCATTACGTGGCCCAACCCAAAATTTAATGACTTATCGTAACATAGGTTTATGAAATCCAGTGTCGTGGTTAACCATTGTCGGTCAATTATTTCTGTATACCTTGGCTACCGCTGATAATCCAAACAAACCACTCGGTAAGCCCTCTAAGCCGTGCTTGTTGGCTTGTGCGCCATGCCCCACCGCTCCACCAGTGTCACCTCAAATCACAACGATGGTGGCACCACCAAGCTCTCAGCTTAAACAAGCTAGCGCCTTGAATGGCCACGAACCGCGATCTACCCACGGCTGGGCGAAGGCCTCCCCCACGCCGTCGCCATCTCTCGCGATGCAACAAACCGTCCAAGCTCACTCACTTTTCTTAACGGCGAATACGATGTCTCTAATCTGCACACACGTTCTGTCGTTCGTACAGCCCCCCCCCCCCAGCCACCTTTTAACGCGATTCCAACAAACCATCTACGTAGCAGACGGAAACGCAGGAAAGTCGTCGTCTACTTCCCTGCTGCCATGTCCACGCTGCTCTCCACCGTCACTGACCGGCACTGACCAGCGGGCGTCTTCCTTCCAATTTAAGCTTTTACATTTTGTTTGTGAACGCCCGTCATGGCAAACCTCCGCTCGGCACATTGCCATGCCGCTTTGCCATGTGCACAGCTATTGTATTTATTGCAAGCAGCTGATTATTCTTACACGCACGCACATGCATGCGTGGCACGACTGTAAAACCGATTGGTGGGCCGCGCTGGCGCAAGCAACAGCGCCAGCCCCCCCGGCTCGACTGGTCGTCCTCCAGCCTCTCTCTTGTGAACCGCGCCTGGCGCGGCGGAGGGAGACGAACCGGGCGCCCGATTTAGCAGCGGCGTGCCCACGATTTGGCACCGCCACGTGGCGAGCACGGTGGAAACGCCCGAACCTGCCATGCCGTGAGGGGCGAGAGGCAAGCCAGCCGCCGTGGCAGCCTGCCACGGCTGCTACCTCTCAGCCACCCACCAGTCAGCGCCACCGCCCATAACAGATTGTGGCCACTACACACGGTCTGCCGCGGCCACTCCCTTGCAGCTTGCCACGGTCCTTGCCTACAGCAGGTAGTGGTCACCAGACACTACTTGCCACAGCCAAGGCCAAATACTTCCCAAGGCGAGTACCAAATAATACTTGCCATGGCTATGGTCCACAAGAGGCCACGGTTACTTGCTAATGCCCGCCACGGCCACGAATACTCTCTTCTTGCCAGAGCCACAACAGATAAAATCCACGGACCACCACCAACCCAGAAGCCCCATCTTAGTGCCCTAAAATTTGAGTGCTGAAGCATTTTGGTGGAGCCATGGCGCAGCAGGTTGTGCGTTGACCTATGAACCCGCTGATCTGGATTTGATTCCCTGTCACTGCTGGCATAGGTGGCGAGGGTGATACCTAAACCGGTTCTGGGCACTAAGCCGCATTGACCAGGATGGTGAAGTATGGTTAAACAACCAGTACCGAGTCAAACCCCTTTGGGAAATCGGGGGGAAAAAGTTACTTGACTGATATTGAACAAAAAAAAGCATGGCGAGTTTTATTTGCCGATCGATCGGATCTCACGCGACGGCATCCCCGGCTCTTCCCTGAAAAAATGATCCAATAAAAGAGATTTAATGAAAGTAAATTATGCGGCGACGCGCCTGAGCTGTAAAATCTCTGCCGTGGGCTGGCGGATGGAGCGGATTGAAACGAGACTTTTTGCAAGGGGTGGGGAGCACAGTCTGCTGCGGCTGCGATGCCCGGGGCCTGGCACGCCAGTGCACGTGGTGACAGTGCCGTGCTAATGCACACACGCACTAACATACACACACACATACACGCACCAACACTAACACGCGCACACGCTAACACACTCCGGTGCTTGACGTGCTAACAGACACAAAGACAAAAATCCCCGGTATAGCCTAAAGACTGTAGGGGCAAGTGCTGTTAGCGAGCACCTATGAAGGCCGGCACGGCACGCGAGGGGGTGGGTGGCCAGCACCACGCCCGACCACATTTGTCTCCCCAGTGGCGATAATTACACACTGCACCAGGTACTCATTGAAGGCTGAGTCGACCTAGGGGACACCCAGGACCGGTTCAGATAATCGTCACCGGTGTTGGCCGTGAGTGGGAATGGAAACTCGGGTCGTCGGGTTCATAGCGCAGCGTAGCGCTAACCACTACACTACCGCTCCCCACCTAACTCACACGCTAATACACACACACATACACGTGCTAACACTAACATGCACACACGCTAACACACACACAAACAGGTGCATGGCGCAGTGATAGCGCTGTTCCAACACACATACGCTCGCACAAATACACACGCTCACTCGCACACCCACTCAGCCATACATACGAATATAACAAACACACAGGCACCTTTATCTGACACCGAAGGCAAAGATCCCCCATATAGCCTTAACAGACTGTCAGGACAAGTGCCGTTAGAGAGTAGCACCTATGAAGGCACACGAGGGGGTGGCCAGCACCAAGCCCAACCGTCTTCGTCTCCCTAGTGGCGATGTTTACACATCGCACCAGGTACTCATTTGGGGCCGAGTCGACCTAGGGGAGGCCATCACCGGTGGTGGCCATGAACAGCAATCTAACTCAGGTTGCCATGTTCGTAGCGGTAGCGCGCTAACCACTGCGCCACCGCTCGGCCTTTATCGGACACCACACACACGCTTACACACATTCTCTCATACACGTAGACCCCAACAAACACTCGCACACAAAGTATGTGTAAATTGGCAGGCGGTGATGGCTATCCACGTGGCCTGTAATCGTGCACTGTGGAGGCGAGGGGAGGGTTAGTGGATCACAAAAATGTTGACAAAACCCCCACCCCGCGCGACTGCTGCGGCCTCCCCGCTCATCTGCGACTCCCTCCTCACGTCTCCGAGTCGTCTCTCTTTGAGAGCGAGCAAACACTGCGGCGTGGCGGCGCATCACAAGTCGATATTATTATTGTTCATTCACCATGGGACACGGTGAATGTATGTAAGCACGTATGTAGCACATGCACCCGCACGCTTACATACATTAGAGGCGTGACCATGGGTGGGTGGGGGGGATGACACCACCCCTAGCCCAGATCACCATATTCTACACCAGCACCACCACCTGCTGCACCAGCAGCAGTAGCAGGCAGCACACTCACCCTGTGCTTCTTCTTGACCTTCTCCCGGTAGAGCTCCTTGTCCACCTTGTCCTCCCGGTGCAGCCGCTTCCGCGCTTGCTGCACGTCGATGCCTCCCGGCCCCCCGTCGTCGTCGTCGTCCTCATCGTCGTCAAGCGCAGCCATGCTCTGCATCGGTGGCCAGGCCTGCACCTTCTGCACGTGTGTGCACGCACGCGACACACACACACTCATCGTCAGAATGGCCACCGTACGCTTTAGTCCGGGGAGGCTCGTGTAACAACAAAAACACCACCACCACTATCAGCACCAAAGACAAAGATCCCCCCCCGTGTAGCCTTTACAGACTGTAGGGGGCAAGGGGCTGTTTGCGAGTAGCACCTATTGAGGCGGGCACGGTACACGAGGGGGTGGGCGGCCAGCACCACGATCACCACCACAATCACCACCACCACCACGCGCAGCACCACCATGATCACCACCACCACAATCATCACCACCACAATGAGCAGCAGCACCACAATGATCACCACCACCACAATCACCAAAACCAGCAGCACCAACATGATCACCACCACAATCACCACCACAACCACAGTCACCACCACCACCACAAGTGGCACCACGAGCTGCAGGAGCTCCCACGTGCTGTCGTTTTGCGAATCTTTAAATGGATCCCTATATCGCACTGCACCGGCGATGGCGCTGGGCACGCACCTCGCCCTCGTCGGTGAACAGGACGCGAGTGTTCACTTTGAGCTTCTTTTTGAGCACGCGCTTGGCCTCGCGCACGCGGCTGTTACGGCCGCTGCCGCCGCCGGCCCTCCGCTCCTTCTTCTGCGATGTCACCTGGAGGCGAGGGGGGGGGAGGGGTCGCAGGGATCAGTAAATCCAATCAAGCAACGGTCTTTCTGTGACAATATTGGCCTCGTTGAAGTAGGCATCGGGGGCAGATTACAGCAGAATGCGGAAGGGTACAAGGGCACACAGCAACAGGAATGAATACGGGGAATGGAAATAGGGAAAACACAGCAACGGGGGACGTGGGCGAGGTCGGGCTCGAGATGCCATCGCAGCCAAAGCCGTCGATGCGACGACCGCACGACGTCACCAACGTCGTTCCTGCTGGCGGTTGGACCCCGCAGCGGCTGCGTCTTGGGCGATGGCGCAGCGACTTGAGGTCTGCCATCCTCGCAAAAACCCCCTCCACGTGCCCTCACACCAACTAGCACAGAGAACCATAGATCTGCCCGATCAGTATCAGGCCTGAGGGTCTTCTCTTCCCCTTGGTCGCCGGGACTATTGGAGACCACTCGAATGGGGTCAACGCTGGCCGCTAGCTCACGCGTATTGTGTGTGCGAGACGCGAGATGCTGAATTTCACGTGGCCTCAAAGTGCCCGTGCCCCTAGCACAGGTGCCGTGGTGATGTCACCTGTTGATGCTGAACTGGACACTCCCGTGCGGCAGGGTATATACATGATGCTTTTAAGCATACGGCTGTGTAGCCTTTAACAGATTGTTGGGGCAAGTGCTGTTAGCGAGCACCTATGAAGGCCGGCACAGCACACGAGGGGGTGGGTTACCGAGACCACGCCCATCCGCCTTTGTCTCCTTAGTGGCGATGGGTACACACTGCAACAACAGGTACTCATTTGAGGCTCAGTCGACCTAGGGGAGGCCCAGGACCAGTTCAGATAATCCTCACCGGTGTTGACCATGAGTGGGGATCGATCTCGGGTTACCAGGTTTGCACCCACACACACTCACAAGCATTGCCACACACACACACACACACCCGTGCATTCACACGCAGGAACACACACACACAAGACAAACATCTCCAGTTTCCCCACAGACAGTTGGGCTAAGTGCACTACGGCGCCCGAGGGGGTGGTGGAGTTGTGGCCAGCACCCCGCCCAGCTGCCTTTGTCTCCCCAGTAATGAAATGTATCTGTACCGGGTACTAATTTCCGACAGAGGTGACACAGGGAAGACCCGGGTCAAGTTCTGATTCCACTTGCCACTCACTCAATGTTCGCTAAGCCTGGGTATCAAACCCAGGTCATCGGTTCATAGCCCATTACGCAAACCACTGAAGCCACCGCTGACTACCCATACAAAGACCCCCCCCCCCCCCCCCCCCCCCCATATAGCCTGCAGAGACTGTTGGAACTCAGTGCTGTTAGCGAGCACCTAATAAAGCCGGAACGGCGCACCTTGGGGCTGGTGTCGTCAGCACCATGTCCAGATGCCTTTGTCTCCCCAGCACTGATGTCAGCACACTGCACCAGGTACTCATGTAAGGCTGCATCGACCGAGGGGAGGCCCGGGGCCGGTTCAGATATTCGTCACCGAACCCGGGACGCCGGGTTCGTAGCGCAGTGTGCTAACCACTGCGCCACCGCTCCCCCACAAAGCTACCTAATACACATACGTACTAACACACGTAATACGTCGAGTGAAATCAACATTCAGATCGAGCCTTCAATCAGAAAAACACTCCAAGGCACCGAAGAGTTAACCTTGACACGTGCATCATACATCACACTTAAGCCAAGGTGCAGCCCTGCAATTTCTTTACTTACTCATGCCACTTCTGGTGATTATGAGAGTGGTGTTCGATCTCCCGTTTTACACAGACCAGCAGTCTTTGGAAGTGGTGGGTGTACCCACACTTTACCCCACCAAGCTGCCTCGCCACCATCAGTCTTCGCCAGTGTGCCATCATCCTGCGCATGCCCACTTCGCTTCCTGGTCAATGCCGCTCTAAGCTGCGTACATTCCCTGGGCCCGTGCACTCCTCTTCCCGTCTCTCTTGAGCGGAATTGCGAGCAGGCGCAGGGTAGCGATGGAACGAGCCGGCGTGCGGGGGCGCTATGGACGCCATAGGACCGTGAAGAGACTGCGACAGCACGGGGAGGTATTCACCGAGCAGCGGACTGATCACGGCCGATGTGAACGACGCAATCTCTGCTCTCATCCAGCAGTGGATTGACGACGAGGCGCGTGCAAGGAAGACCGGCGGGAGGCCGCGAGGTCTCACCCAAATCGTGTGCCTTGCGCCGAACCCCCGACGATCACTTAGGGCGGCAGAAAACAAAGTGCGGAGGCGGCCAAACCTGTTTGAGCCACACCAAGACGGGGGAAAAATGTCCCGGGCTTGCTGCAGTGAGAACACGTGAACACGTGAACACGCGAAACACTGAAACTTCGACATATTCATCACGAACTGTAATAATAATAATTTTATTCACACCCCCTTCCTCGTATGTTGAACTTCTTTCGCACCATATGTAGCCAACCGTGCTAATCGGAGGTGTCGTGTGTGTGTATAAATGTGTGCTGGAATTCTTTTCCACCGTAAATAGGCAACCGTGCTAATCGGAGGTGCTGGGGAAAGACAACGAACTTAAACACACAAAAGCAGATCGCTGCGCTGACCCTCCACGGTCAATCCACGGCTGTGTGAAGACTCGCCGTGCCGGGTCAGTCACGGGAGGTTGTTTGACCACAAACCCGTAACACCTGGGGGGGGGGGGGGGTCTGCCACGTGACTTCCTGCTTGCGAGCCTTTGGCACCTTCACATGGGCTCCAAGTGCACCTCAAAAGGGCGCAAAAGCACTGTGCTGATACTGCGGTCACTTCGTGGCGAGCGGAAACTAATTCTTGTTGTTTGACCATACTTCACCACGATGGTCATGGTGGGATGGTAAAACTGGCGGGGGGGGTTGTGGACCTCGGGACCCGTTAAAAAGGCTTGCACATCTTTGAACGGCTTCCGCGGATTTCTATCAAGACCCCTTCAACAGTGCAAGCCCGGGGCGACAGGCTCAACCTTAGTGACAGCAGCAGCAGCAGCGCCCAGCCAACCACCGTGCTGGCATTGGCATGCCGGCACTTGTGCTGAAACACGCTCGTTAAACGCAGATTTTCGCCCCATCCCACCGCGCCGCCACCACCACGACCACACCCCCCCTCCCTCCCCCCCGCAGTCACCACGGGCCTCCTCGTGTTACCGGCAGCGGCGGCACGGTGCCAGCGTCAGGGCGATGGCATCTTTGGTGCCAGATACCCGGCACATGCTGGCTGGCGGCCCATGAATTATGGGACGACTTTAAAAGGATGCTTGGGTTGGGTTGGGCTTAGTTGGTCAGTGGGTCGATCAAGCAGGCCAGAGGGCTTGGCTAAACCCAAGCGATCGGCGTGTGCAACTTAGTTGCATGCAACCGAATCGCATGTGTGGAGTGGTGTCTGCACCCAGGAACGAGCAGTTGCACAGCTGGTTGCTTACAGGCTCTTTCCCTCTCCTGTCACGCGGCTTGCTCAGAGGTGTGCGGCGAAGTAAGTCCGTGGTCACGTGACGCACTTCCAACCACGATTCGCTCGTTGCGATCCTGAACACGCTGTTGACACTTGCCGCTGCGAAGCAGCGACTAATTAACGAGTAAAACCCGACCGATAACGAGCAAGAGAACGCGCCGGCGGTTTCCTGCGCGATTTCAACATCGATCGATGGTAACGAACGACGCCACCGCCGCCGTTAAAACGGACCGACGTGCACCGAAGGGGGGCAAGAGTCGTACGCCGCAGGTCCCGGCATCAACTCCGCGCACTCCTGACCACGTGGGAAATAATCCCGTCATGCGGCCGCTCGCTCAGACGCGGTTGCGAGGGCGAATTGGTTACGCATCCCGATCGCTCGGCTGACGCTTGGTCAGGTGGGGGGATGGATGGTCGGTGGATTCGTACCGCCAAAGACAAAGATTGTCCATAGTCTTAACAACAGACTGCTGGGGCAAGTGCTGTTAGCGAGCACACGCACACAGGCACACAGGGCAACGCCCGGTCCCCATTCAGACGTGGCCCCCGCAGCAAGGGGAAGTCTCGGCACGTGGCGAGGGAAAAAAGAGGATCGGTGGAAACGGGGAGGAGTGGCGGTGGCCGGCCCCCCGAGCGCCATCAATCACCGGCGACAACGCGGTGGCGTCCTTGCCGCGGGGCCCCGGCGATGGCGGCTTGCCGCGGGGGGCCCAGCGATGAACGGGCCTCTGTTTCGCGCCGCGTCTGCCGTCCGTCACTGCCCGTGACCCCCACCTCCCGCCCCGGGGGGGAATCCGCGGTCGCAGCAACACGATGGATTGAGAAATAGCGCCGGTGACACTTGTGAGCGGCGAGCAATGCGCGCGAGCCATCCGCGACGAGCCCCGGGCGGAGATGAGCAAAAGAAAAAACCGTACGTAGTTCTACCTTGTTGCGCAACAGCTCGCTCGGAGCCGGACAAAGTGATAGCGGCGGTGGACTTGAGAGTGATCCGCGTGCACTCGGCATGGCGCCCTCGAGCTACCGAGCACGCACGGCTCTTGTGACCCCCCCACCACCCCCCGCCCTCCTCCCACCACCTCACCATCCCTCCCTCCCCCCCCCGTCGCCGGTGGCGTCGTCGCGAGAGTCCGCGACGACGCTGACCCCGGTCATCCCGACGCTGCCGGGGGAGCGGGGGGGGGGGGTGGACCGCGCGTTCCGTGTTTTCCACCGAGCGGTTTAGATTTAAATGAAATCCAAACGCGGAGAATGCGATAAACCGCACGGCATGCTTGCGGTGGACATGAACTTTTGAAATATTTGACAATATAAAATAAATAAATCAAATTGTCTCTTCCCCCAGGGCAGAATGGTGTCCCGGTGGCCTCAACGCAATTCCAGCTCCGCAGAACTCACCTCGTCCTCCACCTCGTCCTCCACCTCGTCCGTCGCCTGCGACGCCCCCCGCACCCCAAACACGTCGCGCCGCTTCACGCTCAGCAGCTCCGCGCCCTCGTCATCGTCGTCGTCATCGTCCTCCTCCTGACCCAACGAGAACTTTGGTGGGGGGGCAGCGTCCACTGCCTCTTCATCATCGTCCTCCTCCTCCTCCGTGTCACCCCCTTCCTCCTCATCCTGCACCACAACACCAACACCAACATCATCATCATCATCATCCATGTCTCCCGCTTCCACCTCCCCCTACACATCATCACCACCATCCCACTCCGTGTCTCCCCCTTCCACCTCATCCTGCACATCATCACCACCATCCCACTCCCTGTCTCCCCCCCCTTCCACCTCATCCTGCACATCATCACCATCCCACTCCGTGTCTCCCCCCCCTTCCACCTCATCCTGCACATCATCACCATCCCACTCCGTGTCTCCCCCCCCTTCCACCTCATCCTGCACATCATCACCATCCCACTCCCTGTCTCCCCCCCCTTCCACCTCATCCTGCACATCATCACCATCCCACTCCGTGTCTCCCCCCCCTTCCACCTCATCCTGCACATCATCACCATCCCACTCCCTGTCTCCCCCCCCTTCCACCTCATCCTGCACATCATCACCATCCCACTCCCTGTCTCCCCCCCCTTCCACCTCATCCTGCACATCATCACCATCCCACTCCGTGTCTCCCCCCCCCTTCCACCTCATCCTGCACATCATCACCATCCCACTCCTTGTCTCCCCCCCCTTCCACCTCATCCTGCACATCATCACCATCCCACTCCCTGTCTCCCCCCCCTTCCACCTCATCCTGCACATCATCACCATCCCACTCCCTGTCTCCCCCCCCTTCCACCTCATCCTGCACATCATCATCACCATCCCACTCCGTGTCTCCCCCTCCTTCCACCTCAACCTACACATCATCATCACCAAGCGCACGAGTGATGGTTTATGTTCCTTGACGAGCACTTCGTGTGTAATGAGTGCGACCTCAATGTATTCGTTCAGCAACCGTAGTCCAACGCAGCTCAGCGAGCACTGGACAGACACGGTCAGATCTTGCAGAGTACCCATCACGATATGTGCCCCCTCACAGACGGAGCGAATGCATCGCCGCACTCAACCTGGGCCGCAAAGCGTTGGCGCGCAACAAACGTCGTCGTGAGTCGCGTGGCTGTCTAGTGCACCTCTTCGCTGGACGAGGAGTCGTGCGGCGGCGGCGCCGTCGTGGTGGTCTTGGTGGTCGTGGTCGTGGCTGGGCCGCCGCTCGCCGAGTGGCCCCGCTCCGCCCCCTGCCGCAGGTGCTCGCGGAACGCGTTCAGCTCCGTCTCCGAGTCGGACGCCCCTTCTGAACGCGGCGACGGGAACTGGGCGGCGCAAGCGCTACTCTGTTAGCACGCGTGGCACGATGATTACAATTATTATAATAACGTTAACTTGTATCGCGCGGGGAGGAGGAATCAAACGCACAGGGAAGGCGGCAGCAGCCAAGCGCTGCGCTGGTGCCAAATTCCGCCTCCAAGCTCTGCGGTCCTCTATATATATGAAGGTGTGAGCCAATTCACGAGCGATTGCAGGCGGGTGGTCGCGTTCGGCAATTGGAAGGGCATCGGTTTAATCGATTCAAGTCACGACAACGACAAATTGAATTGGCTAAATTCCAGCTCTGAGATTTTTTTAAAATGTTGATTTGATTGACGTGCCATGAACTGTGCTCCGCTGGGCTTGAGCGGGGAGCAGGCAGCGACGTCAAGAACCGCGACGGAGCGGCAGTCACGGAGCGGGGAGGCAGGAGAGGCCGTCCACCAGCGAGGAGGTGGCGGCGATCAAATAACGTTGTCCGCAGCAAGCAGCTGCTACTGTTGCTGCTTGCTAGGCGGATCGTTACGGCGCAGGGTCGCGAGAGATGGCGGCCACGCCTTGGGGAACCCTCCATCCAGCAGTGGAGTTGGTCAAGACTGATGATGATCTGATGATGATCATAACTTTCTTTATTTTATACACATAAAACAGATGAATCGATTATAATAAACAAATTTAACCAAATTATTGTTTAAGCTCAAGACAAGTCCGTGGGGGTTGAGCACGGGACACTTCGTGGCCGGAAGGGATACCAAACAACGCTAATTCATCGTACTGAAGCCAAATTTTTTTTTTATGGATACATTTCAAACAGTGCAACGATTGAAATTGTCACCACCATGCCACAGCTCTGATGTAAATAAGTTGCAAACACATTGTGAGAGTGGGAAGCCGAGGCGCGGCACCTTCTGACGCTCTCCGCTGGGGCGCGGCCTTCGTGCTGGCCCCCTCCGTTCCCAGCGTGCACTGGGCCGCCTCTTTCTGGGCGGCTGCCCTCCTTTGCTGCGCTTCCCTCTGCAGGAAGCGGATGCGGGGAGCCACGGCAAGTCCCAGAGACCTGCGCGAGAGGTGTTCAGAGGTCATGGCGGTCGAGTCGATCGCCCTCTCGTATTTCTCGCTCCGCTTGTGACCCGCGGCGCTGCACGTGCGCAGGAGCGAGACGGATTGCTGCTTCCCGAGACTGGGAGACGGTGGCGGCTTGGGAAGGCCTTCATCCGGCAGTGGATAGAGCATGGCTGACGATGTTGACAGCTCGCGTGATCAGACGTGCCAATCCAGTTTGTGGCTTTGGGTGGCCAATCACTGGTTTGCACAGGGAATGATCCGATGCTTAATAAAGCATCAGTCATCGCTAATGCACCTTCAAAGAGAAGCGCATTAAAACTAATAGACAATTATTTAAAACATATGAGTAATTTAATAAAAATAGAAAACCTTCATGCGATTTTTGGCAATGAACATCCGCGGTTAACACGAACAAAAGATTTAAAATACACGAATGAAGAATGATCTGTAACATCCGAGGCGTCGCATTGACATCTACGGAAAGCAACAGCGGCTTCGGAGAGGACGCGTCCGTGGCCAGAAGGCACGATGGCCGGCGGTCGAGACTAACGGCGGAGCAGCAGCCCAAGGCGGGATCGCGCCCACGAGGACGTTGCACGAAGACGACCCCCCACCCCCTCATCTTCTCAACGCAATACCTCACTTTTCTCGTGCCCACCCCCCCACCCCCCCACTAGGCCTACCCCGAACCCCTCCTTGACACTCCCGCCTGTTCTACTGTCACTCAAATGTCACCACCCCTTTTAGTAACCCCATTCTTCATCACAAAAGACCACTACCATCTTATCTACAATGTTATAAGAGCTGTAAAGCGCCTTGGAAAAGGCGCAATAAACATTTCAATAAGATGAAGAGGTTGATGATGACGCCGACGACGGTACGAATGCAGGAACCCGCACCGTGACCGTCTGCCTCTCGTTGTCGAAGTAGCGCCGTTCTCATCCCGGGGGGAACTGCGGTCTGGCTGTGCAGCAGCTGCCTTGGCCACAAGGTTTGGTTTCTGGGGCGTCCACTCTCAATCACCACCCCAAGAGTGCCACCACCTTGTGCCAAGATGGCCTGACTCACCCGAACCACAGAGGCCTCCACACCTATCGTGCACCCACTTTAATTGCCTTCAGTCTTATTTCAGTTTCATTAGGTACATTCGGTATCTGCGCCATTCTCACAATCCAAACCTATAGCTGAAGCATTATGTTTCACAGCCATAGGCTGAAGTTGATTCACACAGTATGGGGGGGGGGGGGGGTGACGTTGCTCTGCGAATTCCCAACCGAGTAATTAATCTGCAGCGGTAATTTTTAAAAATTTAGACCATGACACCGGCACGCATTGGCCTGCTCTTTTCGCGCAACGTCACGGGATCTTTAACGTCCACCGAGAGCAAAGTAGGTGGCGCAAATAACGTTTACTGTCAATACACCCTGAGTGGCGTTGACCGGGACCGACCGCCAGGATTGGAACCGCGGAATCCTCTGCGAAAAAACGTCGAACGCGACACAGCTGGGCAGCGCCACCACCCCAAGAAGTTTTCCATCCAACTCGGCCAAACAAACGGCATTTCACGAGGACAAAGAATCCATTTGGAAATCTCACAGCGCAATAAGGGGGACGGGGGCTCTCTCTTACACACTCTGCTATGCGACCGGCATCCGTAACACGACGGTCGAACCAATATCTGTAACTGCACGTGGATGATTTGGTTAACGAAGCTGCACACTCATGTCGGACAATTGGGGACGCCGCAGGCTGCGGCCATGAGACATGAGTTTCAGATTTAAACGTTTCCGCTTGTGTATTTTTAAGGACAAATGAAACATCTTTGTCAAGACCTTCACATAATTTCACGCATTTCCAAGCAAAACAGAGGGAGATCCTGCTGCTCAAATGAGCACCAAGGCATTTTGCTCATCTCCTGTTGACAGCCACGAACCGGTGATGGAAATTCCACATTCCTATGGTGGGGGGAGGGAGGGTCTATCTGTCAGTGCGCTGAACCCACCGCCTGTAACTCGCTGTTGCTGAAACAACTGAAGGACGACGATGTCTCTCTCTCACACCTCAAACGTGACCCGAAGACTCAACCGAAGACTCAACCGAAGACTCAAACCGAAGACTCAAACCGAAGACTCAAACCGAAGACTCAACCGAAGACTCAACCGAAGACTCAACCGAAGACTCAACCGAAGACTCAAACCGAAGACTCAAACCGCGGCCTCGCGGCTGCACGGCGGGCGAGAGGGGCGTGACGACAGCGCGCTCTTTCAATGTCTAACCATCGTCACTTATCTCCGCTCGATTTTTCCAGACCGATCCGACAAGCGTGACTCTGAACGCCCTCTTCGCGAGGGAGGTGGCGGAGGGGTACTCACAGTGCGTACTGCGGGAGCGGCAGCCGCGTGACATCGAACACCTCCTTGTTCTTCATGAGGTAGACGGCACGGAGGTACGACATGAAGCACTGCGCACGCGCACACAAACACCCCACCCCGCTGTAGACACGAGCGCTGCTGGGGCAAGCGCTACTTGCGAGCACTGACAACGGCCGGCATGGCGCAGGAGGGCGACAGGACCATGCCACGTGATGGTTTGGTTGAGGGAAAACCCAGGACAGGGTCCAAATATACGCCACTGATGTTAGTGCAGCGCCGAGTTGGTGGACTCAGACTGGTCACCGATGACTGCACGACAAACGCCATCGAGTTAAATCTGTTTTTGCACTTAAATTTGACTAAATTCCAGCCCTGAAAATATAAAAAATACTTTTACCGCCATGCGACAAACATGACTTTCAGTGGCAGGGCCGGTGGGGAAAGTGGTATTACCCCTTGATAGTGTGGACAACAGGCGGCTTTAAGAGATCTCAGAGGTAGCTCTGTGGTATCCGCTTCCACAGTGCGTTCTGGAACACTAAGGGCCACACGGCTCAAGGCCAATAGCACAGCCGAGATTTTATCTTTGGAGAAGACGTTTAAACACCATCAATAACAGGACTACACAAAGATCCCCCGTATAGCCTTTAACAGCCTGTTGGGGCAAGTGCGCTTAATAAGCACAGATGAAGGCCAGCACGGCACACGAGGGGGCGGGTGGCCAACACCACGAGCGGCCGCCTTTGTCTTCCAAGTGCCGATGCTTGCACAACGCAACGTGTATTCATTTAAGGCTGAGTCAGCCTAGGGGAGGCCCTGGACCGGTCCAGATAATCATTACTGATGTTGGCCGTGAGCGGGCATCGACAGCTCGTCGAGGGATGACTTCATCCAGCAGTGGACTGAACAGTGCACTCGCCACGACGCTACCACTCGCACACATGACGATGTGCACACTCGCACTTACGCATTCTCTCTCTCCGGTGCCGCCGGGTTTTACCGCGTGCTCGTCGGCGCGACGTCTCGCTCCACATGGTGGGTGGCTCATTCAGGAACTCACTCAGGCACTCTCACTTGCTCTCGTGCTCATTGTCAGACGGGCGGCTCATTCAGGAACTCACTCAGGCACTCTCTCTTGCTCTCTTGCTCATTGTCAGACGGGCGGCTCATTCAGGAACTCGCTCAGGCACTCTCTCTTGCTCTCTTGCTCATTGTCAGACGGGCGGCTCATTCAGGAACTCACTCAGGCACTCTCTCTTGCTCTCTTGCTCATTGTCAGACGGGCGGCTCATTCAGGAACTCACTCAGGCACTCTCTCTTGCTCTTGCTCATTGTCAGACGGGTGGCTCATTCAGGAACTCACTCAGGCACTCTCTCTTGCACTCGTGCTCATTGTCGCACGTCACCGTGACGTCACCGTGACGTCAACGCCCGCCGCGCCGCTTACCCGCTGAGCCCGCTCCTTCAGTTCCTTCTCCTGCGCCAGGAAGCCCTCCAGCTTTCCGCGCACATCCTTCAGTTTATCCGGGTTGACCCTGCACACACGCGAGAGAGCGTCACACGCGCGTCAACCCAGTCAGTCATGTTCACTCCACTGCTGGATGAAGGCAGTCCTCCACGAGCTATAGTAATCCTTCCCCCCCCCCCCGACCCTGCGTGGCACCGATCCCCGGCGATCGCATCGCTCCGAGCTCGAGTATGGTTAGTGCTGCGGTGGGGAACTGCCGGGGATACCAGGTGTTATAGGCTTGTGCTGAGAGAGGCGACCCGGAGATGGCAGCACAACAATGGATTCATAAATCCATCTGTGTGGAGCAATGTTATTATCCTCGTGTGTGTGTGTGTGGGTAGTCTCCAGGTTCTCCAGTTCCTGCCACATGAAGCCAAACTCTCACTGCTTGCGGAATTCATGGCCACACATCCCGCTGGAAGAGCACCCTCTGTTGACAAGGAGCCTTGAGACCCAAGCGACGTTTTCATGGATAAACACGGGCGTGGGGAGGCCTACGGCGAGCAGCAAACTTGACAAAACGGTTGTACATGAGACATGGGACACCTGTACATGCATGGAAGTGTGGAAGTGTAACCCAGCGGCCCGAGTTCAATGTCCGGTCAAGACCGATAACAACGGTGAATATTTAAAACGTTCCTGGGCCTTCTTGTCCGAGGTTGACTCAGCCTTGCGAGGTTTGTAAACGTCAGCACTGGACAGACAAAATGTGGCCGGGCACAGCATTGGCGACGCCACTGCCCACTCGCGCTCCGTGCTGCCCTTCATGAGGCGCTCGCTGACAGAATGGCCCCAGCAGCCTGTGTCGGCTACACAAGGGGGCCTTCTGTGTGTCTGCGTGGCCTCCCCTCCCCTACCCCCCCCAAGCACCACGGGTGTCGTTGGAGCGCCTGTCCACGCAGGCTCCCACCCAGAGCCGGGCCCCGCTCCGCCGCACCCTCAAAGCCGCAGGTCGACAAGGGTTTTATCGCCGCGTCAAAATCTGCATTCCGACTGTGGAAATTGCTGGAGGCGTGGCTGTCATCCCATCCATCTCCCGCTCTCCGCGGCTGCAGAGCGGCATTGTAATTTTGTGTTTCACAATTGACTTCTTTTGCACGTTCAATGTCTCGCGAAGAGAGACAGGCCGGAATGCACGCTGAGGCGGATCAATAGATTGGGAATAAACGCATGCGACCATAGGTGGGGCCCTGGGCTGTGATCGATGTAAAAATCGAAAGGCTGAAGGAAAGAGAAAGATAATAAGAGGAATGATAAAATGAACAACGTTGTGTGGTAATTACAATGGGGTGAACGGATGAAACCAATCGATACAAGGGGACCACACCTTCCTGTAGGCCAGATTGTGAACTCGGAGACAGAGCCCACTGGATATCGCGTGCCTCAAATCAGCCACAGGCTGTGCTCGAGCGACCATGTGGCCAAGCGGTGGTGCGTTCCCTGCTTGTTGAAGAGGTTCGCAGTTCGAATCCGACAGGCCGCCCTTGCTATTCCTGCGGTCGCGTGTAAATTACCCGCACGCACGCGCTCCATCTGCTTCGCAGCGGAGGTTAAAGATTCCGTGACGGAATTCAAAACCCGCGGGCCACTGTGTGCTGGAGTCACGGTGCCAATTTGCCGAGTTTGAGAAGATTTTACACCGAAAAATACTCAACCGGGATTACACACGGCAGCATCGCCGCCTGCTGCCAAACTACAGCAGGCGACGCCTGCGAAACACGACAGCACGCCTTTCCCTCGCGACGGTCGCCCCGCCCTATAAGGACGGCGCCGATAGCAAATGTACCAAATTATTTTAATTATTTTCAACCGCCCGAACCGCAAGGGGCACCCGGATGAATCAGAGGGGTGGGGGGGGGGACTAACGCGCGATCAATCACGACCGTCCCGCCGCAGACCGCGACGGGCCCCGTGTTTGTCAACGGCGTTGTTACGGGCCCCGTGTTTGTCAACAGCCTTGTTACGGGCCCCGTGTTTGTCAACAGCGTTGTTACGGGCCCCGTGTTTGTCAACAGCGTTGTTACGGGCCCCGTGTTTGTCAACAGCGTCGTTGCGGGCCCCGTGTTTGTTAACAGCATTGTTACGGGCCCCGTGTTTGTCAACAGCCTTGTTACGGGCCCCGTGTTTGTCAACAGCGTTGTTACGGGCCCCGTGTTTGTCAACAGCGTTGTTACGGGCCCCGTGTTTGTCAACAGCGCTGTTACGGGCCCCGTGTTTGTCAACAGCCTTGTTACGGGCCCCGTGTTTGTCAACAGCGTTGTTACGGGCCCCGTGTTTGTCAACAGCGTTGTTACGGGCCCCGTGTTTGTCAACAGCCTTGTTACGGGCCCCGTGTTTGTCAACAGCGTTGTTGCGGGCCCCGTGTTTGTCAACAGCGTTGTTACGGGCCCCGTGTTTGTCAACAGCGTTGTTACGGGCCCCGTGTTTGTCAACAGCGTTGTTGCGGGCCCCGTGTTTGTCAACAGCGTTGTTGCGGGCCCCGTGTTTGTCAACAGCGTTGTTACGGGCCCCGTGTTTGTCAACAGCGTGGTTACGGGCCCCGTGTTTGTCAACAGCGTTGTTGTGGGCCCCGTGTTTGTCAACAGCGTTGTTGCGGGCCCCGTGTTTGTCAACAGCGTTGTTACGGGCCCCGTGTTTGTCAACAGCGTTGTTGCGGGCCTCGTGTTTGTCAACAGCGTGGTTACGGGCCCCGTGTTTGTCAACAGCGTTGTTACGGGCCCCGTGTTTGTCAACAGCGTTGTTACGGGCCCCGTGTTTGTCAACAGCGTTGTTACAGGCCCCGTGTTTGTCAACAGCGTTGTTACGGGCCCCGTGTTTGTCAACAGCGTTGTTGTGGGCCCCGTGTTTGTCGCCATTGCCATGTCCGCGCCGTCTGTTTGGTCACGCGTTCGTTCCCAAAGCGGCCGCCGCCGCTGCCTCCGCTGGCGCTGCGCACACCGGAGTTGGGCATTGCGCTCGCGAACCGAGAGGCGACCGAGCCGCGTGCCAAAGAGGTAACGGTGTTTAAGGAAACGGTGTTTACGTGTTCCCCTGGAGAGCCGAGCCGAGTCTCAAGACCCGTGTTCAGGACCTGCCTGCATTAGGATGTCCCTCTGTACGAATGAATGTGGAACTTCCTTCGTGCCGTACGTAGCCAACCAACTCATCGGAGGTGCCAGTTACTTCTCTGGCCAGTTGCTTTTAATTTAACATTTACCAGCCAGAGTGTACAGCGTTGTTACGCGAGATCTGTGCGTGTGTGCGTGTCCGTCAATCCGTCTGCAACTGGGGGGGGAGGGTGGTGGGGGGGTGGTCATGTTACCTCTAGTAAACGTGATCAAATACGAGCAAAACTTTTTGTGTTGCTGTTCGGGAATTACCCCAATTGCCAACGGGACAAATTGATCAAAGCGTGGCCCAAAACTTGGAGACCTGAAAGAAAATTCTTTTGCAATATTTGTAAATTAATTTTGCCTCGACAACTGTCTCGTCAACTTTTGCAGCGAGAATTAAACACTTCCCAAGACAAACGCATGGCGGGAAGCCGGAGAAAACCAAGACACACGAAGACAAAGATCCCCCTACAGCCATACAGACACTTGGGGGTAAGAGCTGTTATCTAGCACCTATTAAGCACACGAAAGGGTGCCACGGCCATCGCCACAGCCAACAGTTTTCGCCTCCCCGGCACTTCACATAATACTACAATGGCCGCCATTCGCCACTAAGTGGCGGCGACGTCGCCACAAGCGCTTGCGCCAGACTAGGTCCACCTTCAGGCTACGTGAAGTGTCAAATGGTCACTGGCAGGAGGTCACGGGCCAGACCCAGGTGCCATGGGTTGACAGAGATCAATGGTACAGATGCACCGCCTGTGCTGCTCACTCTGCTAACTCTTTGCGTTTTATTCGCCCGGTGCTCCGCTCGTTGTGAGCCAACTCCTCCACCCGGCTACAAAAACGTCTCCACACTCTTCAAAACTGCCTCATCATTAATAGAAAATGGAGGAGGGGGGGGGAAGTATTTGATGACATAAAACACCCAGGTAGGTGCTTTGTTTTTGTAGAGCTGATGGTAAGGCCCCACCTCTTATTGCCATCCTCCAGGTTTCCAACGCATTCTCAAAGTGAGCAGCAATGACCAGATCATCAGCATATATGATAACATGTTTGACCAGAAGGCAGCCATCCCTTGACTGCACACAGGCATCGACAAGCCTCTCATTATAACTGGACCAGATAAACATTCCTCTGTTAAAGCCATAGGAATAACTAAATGGTCAAAAAAAGATGTAAACTCATTTAGGAGCCAGATGACATTCCTGTCGCACCCCAAGGTGACCACACATAACAAAACAAAAAAGATCTCCCCTATCGCCTTAACAGACTTTTTGGGGCAAGCGCTCTTAGCGAGCACCTATCAAGGCCGGCACCTAGCCCGACAACCTTGGTCTCCCCAGTGGCGATATTTACACACCGCACCAGGTACTGATTTGAGGCCGAGTTGACATAGGGAGGCCTAGGACTGGTTTGGTTGTCAATAGTGTTGACCTTGAGTGGGAATCGAACTCAGGTCTCTGGGTTTGGAGCGCAACGCGCTAGATTCTACAAAGATAAAGACGCCCCACCGTATAGCCTTAACAGACTATTGGGGCAAGTGCTGTTAGCGAGCAGCCGTGAAGACCAGAAGGGTACACGAGGGGGTGGGTGGCCAGCACCACGCCCGACCGCCTTTATCTCTCCAGTGGCGATGTTTTTACACACCGCACCAGGTATTCATTTGAGGCTGAGTCCACCTAGGGGAGGCTCTGGACCGGTTCAGATAATCGCCATTGGTAGTTGGCCGTGAGCGGGAATTGAACTGTGGTCACCGGGTTCGTAGCGCAGCATAGCGCGAACCGCTACACTACCGCTCACACACGACACACACTCACTTCGAGCAGTGCGGACACGCCCTGGACGCCAGCAGCTGCAGCCGCACTTCACACCCACACACAGCACGGGCGCCCCCTGGCGAGGCCCATCCGGCCACCTGGTTTCACCGATTCCCTCCACCCGTGTCGAGGACTCGCTCCACCCTGCCTAGCTCCACCCTCCCTAGCTCCACCCTGTCTCGCTCCATCCCACCAAGTTCCACCCTCCTGCGGGTGCCGGCTGGTGCTCACCGGATCTTGTTGATGGGAACCTTGCGCTCCTGCAGCTGCTTCACCATGCCGGCCTCCTCAGAGGGCAGCAGCATGAGCAGCGCCTCGCCATCCTCCTGGTACCTGCACCGGCGGAAACGAGGGCGGCGACACGGGCAAGCAGGCGGACATCACACACAGCTGGCGCATGCATCTGCCTGTCATCTCGGTCAGTCAACACCTGGGTCTGTACCCGGTGACCTCCTGTATCGAGCCTGCCACAGTAGGGGGCGCAGCTGGTGCATTTGCCAATCATCTCCGTCAGTCAACCCACGGCACCACCTGGGTCTGTACCCGTGACCTCCTGCTAGCAGTGAGCCTTGAACACTTCACGTGGGCTCAAAAGTGCACCTGGCCTGGCACAGATGTGGTGATGTAATCGCCTCTTAGTGGCAAATGGCGGGTACTGGTATTGGTGCAGTAGTGTGGAGCAGTGGTGCAGTGGTTAGCGCACTGCGCTGCTGACCCGGTGACCCGAGTTCGATTCCCAATCATGACCAAACTCTGGTGAGGACTATCTATTTATAGGGTGCTAGGCCTCCCCTAGATCAACTCAGCCTCAAAAGGAGTACCTAGTGCGACATGTAAACAACATCACTTGGAAGACAAAGACGTGGTGGTGCTGGGCGTGGTGCTGGCCACCAACTCCCTCGTGTACCGCGCCAGCCTTCATAGGTGCTCGCAAACAGCACTTGCCCCAACGGTGTGCACAAGGCTACATGGGGGTTCTTTGCGTGCGTGCGTGCGGGAGCTACCGGGCTGTGCGCCCCGCGCGGTGGATGTAGGTGCTGGCGTCCTCAGGGCAGTCGAACTGCAGCACCCAGCTGACGGCCGGGAAATCTGAGCGCGTCGACAACACAACGACCACATATCGGCACCGTCACTCCCCGCAAGCCCAGCAGAAACACGAACCTGGTTACTGTACGGCTGGCAGGTAGCTCGAGCCTATAACACCTGGTAATCACGCGCAGAGCGGTGGACAGGTGATGGCGGTACAGCAGTGGACAAATCATGCCTCATCTCAGTCGCATCTCGCAAGCCCAGCAGGGAACTGAACCTACTCCGTGATTGGATGAGCGACGGCCGAGGAATACATTTTTATTTAAAGCTTTCGTGACTGCAGGGATCATATTCTTGGTTCTTTCGGTAAAGTCACGTAGAAGGGAAATAATAAATAAATACAAATATAAAACAACACACCTGATGATGATTGCTTGTGTTGCAGTCGAAACGTTGTGAGAATTTTTATTGGTTTATATTAATATTATTTTATTATTTCCCTTCTACGTGACTTTATCGAAAGAACCAAGAATATGGCCTAGGAATACTTTGGCCAGGAGATGGGTGTATAGCAATGGATTCTTGAATCCACCTGTGCTGAAATATCAAGTGCTATCCCCGTCAAATGTGTTTTACGTTTTTTTTTCTCTCCAGGCACACACGCCGGTGGCCTTCACAAACCCGCACGGACCAGTTGGGTGAAGTACGGTCAATCAGCGGCCACGACCCGCACGGCATGGGGAGGCTGTCATCCAGCAGTGGATTGACAGAAGGGCGGTACAATAACAAAAACAACAAACTCTTGAAAAAGAGTCTTGAGGGTCTGCGAGGCTTTCCTTGTTGATCTTAGTAAGCGGCGACACAAGGACGAGACACGCAACACACACACACCCCGGTAACACACTTCACGGCATTGTAAGAAGTGCGCAAGTTCGGCAGCATTGGGTTCAACACAAGAGTACTCTGGACCGGTTTCGATATTCAGTGTCTCATCAACACAGTCGCCAGGCTTGCTTGAACCAAAGCTGGTGGACTGCCAGATGTTTACATCTCTGTTAGATGGGGTCTCCACTTCAACACGAAACTACATCATACGTCACAGTAACAATAAGACACAACACACACACGCACAACAAGACGCAAGGGCAAGCCGGGGAGGTGAGGGGGGGCAATAGGTGCCTCATTGTCAGAGTGTAACAGCAGTGGTGGCAAAGGGGGTGTTTGTGTGGTGGCGGTGGTCGGGTACCGAGGCCTCGAGCAGCGATGTCGGTGGCGAAGAGGGCGGCTGACTTCTTGCGGCAGAAGTCCTGGTACACATCCATCCGCTTCATCTGCTGCTGCTTGCCGTGCAGCGCCAGGATGGGCATTCCTGGCCGCAGGCGGCAGAAAGCGTGGAACAGGAACTGCACCTGCGGGATGGAGCAGCACAGCGAGGAGGGGCGCGTCACAGCGAGTGGGGCAGGAAGCGGCGTGGTGAGCGGCGAGGCACAGCGAGCGGCACAGCGAGCGGCGTGGCGCAGCTTAACAGGTTTGTCACGTGACCGACTAAGTAACAACACGCAATAATAAATGTAAATAATATAATTCAGTGCTTTGCCAATCAACTTTTGGATGAAGGCCGACAGAGGAATGCATGGATTCGTTTTGGACATTTCATAACACAAAATTGGGGAGAACACACGGCGCCGATTATTGTGTGTTGTGTACAAGTTTTGTGTTTGACCTGCACAGAACAAGACCGGCTCTTTCCTTGCTTACAAACATCTGGCAGTCCACCAGCTTTGGTTCAAGTAAGCCTGGCGACTGTGTTGATGAGACACTCAATGCCTAAACCTCCCCAGAGTACTGTTGTGTTGAACCAATGCTGATAAACGTATGCACTTCCAGAATGCCGTGCGGCTGCTGAGATGTGTCGTTTTTTACGTTGAGCGACTATTATGAAAACGTGGGCTTGGGTAGGACACGTCACTAGAGCTACGACGCACTGCGGTCATGACTAATGGCGCAGTGGTGACGCAAGCAGCTCGCACGCTAGACGGACCGTGACAGCGCGGGACCGTGATAGTTTGGGAATCATTACAGCGTGGGACCGCGAGAGACGGCCATGCCTTGGGGAGGGCCTTCCCGGCAGCCCAAGGAGAGAGAACGCGTCTCAGACCGCGAGCACCGCGGAGACGGAGCGATGAAATCAGTTCACGTGCAGCAGCGAGACGGACGGGTAAAGCGCTGGACCGCCGGGGGACAACGACGATGACCACAGATGTCACTTATCCAGCAGTGGATGGATCATGACACGCAGGGCCATGTGCCACACCTGCTTGCAGCTGGAGAAGAAGACGATGACCTTCTTGGTGAGGTGGCTCTTGATGAAGGAGTAGAGCATGTTCACCTTCTGGTGGAGCTCACACACCACGTAGTTCTGCTCCAGGGTGGCTGGGGTGCTGCCAGAAAGACAAAGATCCCCCATATAGCCTTAACAGACTTCAGGAGCAAGTGCTGTTAGCAACAACCTATGAAGGCCAGCATGGCACATGAGGGGGTGGGTGGCCAGCATCACATCCAGCCAACTGACGCCCCATTCGCAATGTTTACACCCCGCACAAGGTACTAATTTGAGGCTGAATAGACCTCTGGGAGGTCCAGAATCGGTTCATATAATTGTCACTGGATTTGGCCGCGAGGGGGAATCAAACTCGGGTCGCCAGGTTCAAAGCAAGGTGCCACCACTCCACCACACACCACAATCCCACCTCGCTCTCACTCCACCTGTCTCACTCGCCTGAACCTGTGCACCCCACACACCTGTACTCGTGCTCCCCCCCAACACACCTGTATGAGCCCCCACACACCTGTAGACGCCCCACACACCTTTACCTATATGTGCCCCGCACACCTGTAATATGGTACCCCCCCACACACCTGTAACTATGCTCCCCCCCACACACACCTGTACACGACCTACCGACCTGTACCGGTGCTCCCCCTCACACCTGTCCTGGCCCCACACACCTGTACCTGGCTGTCCCCCCTCCCCACACACCTGTACTTGGCCTGTTCGTGCACCCACACGTAGGCGGGGTCGCGCAGGCTGAGCCGTGCGAGGTCGCGCACGGACTTGGTCTGCGTGGCGGAGAAGAGTAGCGTCTGCCTGCCGGCCGGGAGGTTCTCCACCACCGCGTTCACCGTCACCGCAAAGCCCAGGTCCAGGATGCGGTCAGCCTCGTCCAGAACTGCCGGGGGACAGCACCGCCACCACCGCCGCCGTCAAGTCATCGCCAACATTAACAATGACCAGCAAATTCTTTCCGAATAAATGTTTTTGGGTTAGGTCTCGTAAGAGGAATCTGTGTCGTTAAAAACCCTCCACCACCCGACATGGCCAAACAAATTTAGTCGTCACCTTGCGAGCTAGTGTTTAACGACACGTCAATTATTATCGTTTCAGTTTGCCGCCCGGTATTCTCACGACCAAATTTGACGATTAAATCTTCACGCTCTTGGCCGAGAAATTAAGAGAGCTGTCGTGGTGTGGCAGTGAGCACGCTGGAATTGGAGAATGGTTTCCGGTTTACTGGCTGTTCTGGTTTCACAACGCCCGCCGGAGTAATCCACCGACCCTTGGTGCCCTTCACCCGGCGGTAGCAGATGGACAAAAGCAGGTTGTTAGATCACGGCGAGTGTCCCGTGCGCGCGGCCCCACTCACCGAGCAGCTGGAGGTTGTTGGCATAGAAGTAGCTCGTTTCGTCCATGTGCTGCAGCAGCCGCCCCGGCGTGCAGATGATGACGTTGGTCCGATGGATCCTCTCAGACTCCTCCTTCACGTCCTGCGCTCGCGGGTGGGAGACGCGGGCGGGAGACACGCACGACGCTTGCTTCAGCTGCCAGGGAGGGTGAAGCGTTTGCAAAAGCGGCGGCCGAAAACCGTGGCTCGACAGAAATTCAGGCCGCTGGTAACCTTTCTGAGCTGTAACTTGACGTGAAACGGGGAGAAATTTGCGGAAGCGCCCATATCGTTCACACCTGGCAGGCAGTGCCCGACGTGCGAGTACTCCCCGGACGCTCACTCCCGCAGATTTCCAAATTCAAAACGCCACAGCCAAAGTGGTAGGTTGCACGTGGACCCCACGGGCCATTATCAAGTTAAGTCGGGGGCTGGATAAAACCGCGCATGCCGCAGGTTCCTCGCGTCGTAACGACGACGTGCCTGCCGTCGGGCGGGCGTCACAGACGCCGCCCTCCCGCTCCTGCTCCTCACCTTGCCCCCGATGATGAGGCCCGCTGAGAACTCGTGGTACTTGCCGACCTTGCGCAGGACCTCGAAGGTCTGGAAGGCGAGCTCCCGCGTCGGGGAGATGATGAGCACGCCCAGACCATCGTCTGCCGTCCACTGCTTCCGGTACAGGCACTCCAGAGCCTGGGGCGGGTGGGCGGGCGAGCCAGGGGTGAAGTGTTAAGTTTCAAGTTGATTTCATTTCACCAGGCGAGAACTCAGAGAGACCGGGCGAAGCCTCGCATGCCAGAGTAACTGACCGGGGTTGCATAAATAACACAGGCAATAACGTAAAACCAAATACAACAACGAAGCAACTATAAATCATATCAAAAACAAGCAAATAAAAATCATTACAAAAGCAACCTAGGGTAGGCTCTGGACAGGTTCAGATATAGTCATCAATGTTTGCCGTGCCCTGGTACAGGTTCGCTAGTATTGAATCACTCTCCGAGTTATCGTGCCTTCCCGTTTAAAGACGGGCCGAGCTTTAGTTGGGAAGCGTAAAAAATCATCAGCCCAGCGGTGCTGGCGGCGCAGGCGGCAAAGTCGCACAGGTGGCACAGGCGGTAAAGCGAGTACAGGCGGGCAGCGCTCACGGGGATGAGAAAGGCGAGGGTTTTGCCGGATCCGGTCTTGGCTGCTCCAAGGACGTCTTGGCCTTGTAGCGCCAGCCCCACCGTCCTGCGCTGGATCTCCGTCGGCAAGCGGTACTCCGCATTCTGCAGACCTGCGACACAAACCGATTTTACTTCATCGACACAACCGAAAGTGACAGCGGAATAAACCAATACGTCGAAGGCACAGCCAATACGGGGCAACTGCACAACCGATACAGCATTGGCAGCATAACCGACAAGCGAGCACGCCATAGTAACGAGCGAGATGTCAACGGCGCACGATGTGGCTTGTGCGTGACGGGCTTAGAAGCCAATCCACATGGGTCGGGTCAAGCGACGACCACAACCCCCATCCCGGAATCGCTAAATCTCAATGCAATTCTTTGAAACGAACACCATTCCTGAGTGGGTGGACGGGTCATGGAATTGGGGATCGCCAGTAAATTCTATAGAGAATTGCCGAAGCGTATCCTCCGGTGGCAATCACTTAGACTTCTTCCTCCTCCGTGTTGCCTATGAAAAGCACCTCTGAGAGATTCAGTTGCAAGTGATTTTTATTTTATTTTTATTTTACTTTTATTAATTTTTATTTTTTACCTACGTGACTTTACCGAAAAAACCTAAGAATATGAGTAAGTGTAGTGCTGCGGGTGCTGGAGCAGCGTCACTCACCTTTAAGCGTCTTCTTGGACAGCGGGAAATCGGAAAACTTCACAACGTCCGCGACATTGATCTGTAACAACAAGAACGGCGACAATTACACCCGCCACTAAGCTACGTTGGTCACCAGTCACCAGTCACCCCACCAGACATTCGCATTGACAAGACACCCACATCACTAACTGCTCACCAATCTCCCACCACTCACTTCACCCGATCCTCACCTACACCTCACACTCACCAGACACTCACTACTTACCTGATACCACTGACCACTCACCATACACAACACACGCAATGCGGAGTTTATAATAGACCAGTGACTGGGGACTCCAAAATGCGGGACCAGGAACCCCTGGTACAGGGACCTGTGACCACATTGTGCCTCAGGCTTACGCTCGAAACTCACCACCCACCCACCCACTCACTCACCCCTCACCACTCAACACTTCACAAATCACCACCCACCCACTCACCACTCTACTACCCACCCACTCAACACTCACCCACCACTCTACCACTCACCAAACACCACTCACCAAACATTCACCAGAGACCTGGCGCATACAACTCACCAAGCAACACACACTCACCGCTCACCAAACATCCACCCTCACCTGTTTCTCACCAATTACCAGACGTAACTCGCTCACCTGAGCCACTCACACTCACCCAACACTTCCTAACACAACACACTCACTTGACAATTACCTAATAATCACCATTCACACTGAGTGGACACTCACCACTCCCCAGAGAACGATCCTCAACAATTCCACACCGGACACGGGGGGCTAAGTATAAATTTCGATTTAAAGCTTTCGTGACTGCAGGGATTCATCTTCTTGGTTCTTTCGGTAAAGTCACGTAGAATGGAAATAATAAAATAATAAAAATTTAACATAATAAAGAGATTTATTTTATTATTTCCATTCTACATGACTTTACCGAAAGAACCAAGAAGAAGAAACATCTAAGTGTGTACAGTGTACTGGAGGAATCCGATTAGCGAAGCAGCTCTTTATCCACAGGGCCGGATCAGCAATTTACAATACAAACACAATCGGAGTTCAAAATAGAGCAAAGGGTAAGCAAGTCACCAAATATAACCAAACACAAAAAGTATAAATATGAACAAACACAAAAAGTATCAATAAAAGACCGCACACAAGTCCGCTCCTGCACCCTCCCCAGGCCACCCACGTGTGCCGCTCGGGCCCCCGAGAAGCCGGCGTCCAAACCTGCGCGTATCTGTCGGTGAGCTTGGCGATGGCCTCCTGCTCCACGACGTACTCGGGCCGCTTCTCCGCCTTCCTCCTCGTCTGCAGCTTGCGCCGCTTCTTCAGATCCTTCTCCTTCCACTGCTGCAGGTCCTGCACGGCGCGCTCCCTGGACGCCGCCATCGCTGCTCGTCTCGCTCGGCGTGCGTGATGACGTCACGACGCACGGAACGGCGCGGCACAGCGGGACGATGACGTCATGACGCACGGGACAGCGTGGCACAGCGGGACGATGACGTCATGACGCACGGGACGGCGTGGCCCAGCGGGCCGATGACGTCATGACGCAGGGACTTTTAAGTCGCGCCGCGCGGAACGGCGACGTCACGACGCAAAGGGACGTGACGTCACGACGCACGGGACGGCGACTATATGACGCACGGGACGGCGACGTCACGACGCAAAGTGAAATGACGTCACGACGCAAGGGGAAAACGACGTCACCGCGCATCGTGCGCGGTCGGCGTCCAGTGCCAAGCGCTTTCCGGTCGGTGTTGCCATGACGACCGACTTTAGGAATTAGAATATTTACATGAATTCTAGATTTGAAGCTTTCGTGACTGCAAGAATTCATACTTGCAGTTACACCTTAAGACGGAGGCTTGAGTGGCTTCCGAAACGTCGTGATTTAATTGAGTTATTTTAATTATCATTTTATTATTATAACTTTTTACCTACGTAACTTTACCGAAAAAAACCGAAGAGTATATTTACATGACCCAATATTTAAAGTGCAGAAGGAATCCGATGACCTATAAAGAAATTGTGTTCATCGGATGTTCAGTAGGGGCGGGTAAGGAACGCTCCAACAACAACGAATACAAAAAAAACAGCAGTGCAAAGTACAATAAAGATAAACAAATCATCCAAATAAAACAAATAATCCAAACAAAACGGAAGCATCCCCATCCGACTACCAGGCAAAGCCCACAGAGGTATTGAATTACTTTTCAAAGCGACCTGGCCATCATAAATGAGAGCTAAACAAGTATAACCCGTAAAAACAAAGTTTTTCACTCTAAATCCTTTATATGCGTGGCGGCTCGAGTCCTCTCGTCCTCTGGCTTGAGATGGCTGCCACCTATGGGTCAGATGATTGCATTGCACCATAAAGCAATTGGTAATTAAATATAATATTTTTGTCCTAAAAAGTGTAACATTTTGGAAAAAATTTTTCACGAAAATTAATTGTCACGCACAACGAGTCTGTGTGCAAAATGTCAGCTCGATTGGATCACGGAAAGTGGGTTAAAAACGACCGAAAGATTTGCACGGTCGTAAGCAAGCAAGCGAACTTAATATAAAGGATTTTAAAAAGTGGCTTTTCACGTGGACATTTATAGCAGAAACGAGTGGTAAGGCCATGCCGTGTCCACCCACAGGGTTTACTCCGTATTCTTGTACAGGGAAATTGAGTTTTCAGGTCCATGGTTTGTGTTTCTCCCTTGTGGCGGGACTTTGTAAGACGAACTTTGAGATGTATAAGCGCCAATACGGCCTGAATTGGTCTGTAATAAGGTAGGCACTGATCAGGGGTTCGCAGGTGTCTATTATTGTATTATAGATCATAATTCATGCAATCCTGGAACAAGTGCGAGTTTTTCGTTTGCTCAGTCACCTGATGTTAGGGGCCGTCCATAAATGACGTCACGCGATTTTGGACGATTTTTAACCCCCCCCTCCCCTTCGTCACAAATATGACGTCACAAAGCTCTGCCCTCCCCCCCAAAATAAAACATGCTTCAAATCTCTTTAAACTATTGTCATTGTAGTGCGTATTTAATGTGGCGCTGCACTCTGATGTTGTAGGATAATTTTTTTATTAAAAAGTATATTTAATTAAATGGAACGTGTTGTCTATATTTATTTAAAGTTGCGCATTTTGATGTGACGTCACACATCGTCACAAATGTCTGACCCCCCCTAGGTGCGTGACGTAATTTATGGACGGCCCCCAACCGTGCGGTGCGAGTGACGGTGGTGGCAGCGCACACTCCACACACACAGAACACACACACACCACACACACTACACACACTACAACACACACACAACACACACACACACACACCACACACACACACTACACACACACACCACACACACACTACACACACACACCACACACACTACACACACACCACACACACACACTACACACACTACACACAGAACACGCACACTACACACACACACCACACACACAGAACACACACACTCCACACACACTACACACACACACACACCACACACACTACACACACACCACACACACACACCACACACCACACACACTACACACACACCACACACAGAATACACACACATACACACACACACCACACACAGAATACACACACATACACCACACACACCACACACACCACACACACATACACGCTACACACACAAACCACACACACATACACTACATACACACACTACACACAGAACACACACAAACCACACACAACACACACTACATACACCACACACACACACTACACACACAGAACACACACACCACACACACACACCACACACACACTCACCACACACACACCACACACACACCACACACACCACACACACCACACACACACAACACACCACACACACAGAACACACACACACACACTACACACACACTACACACACACCACACACACACACCACACACACTACACACACTACACACAAACCACACACACACACACCACGCACACACACCACACACACCACACACACAACACACACTACATATCTTCTTGGTTCTTTCGGTAAAGTCACGCAGAAGGGAAGTAACAAAACAACAAAAACAAAACACAATAAAATAAAATAATTATCACGACGTTTCGGCTACAACGCAAGCAGCCGTTGTAGCCGAAACGTCGTGAGAATTATTTTATTTTATTGTGTTTTGTTTTTGTTGTTTTGTTACTTCCCTTCTGCGTGACTTTACCGAAAGAACCAAGAAGATGAATTCCTGCAGTCACGAAAGCTTTAAATCGAAACACACTACATACACACACACTACACACACACTACACATACACTACACACCACACACACTACACACACGACACACAGACTAGACCACACACACCACACACACACCATCAATCATCAGCCTCCACCCACTGCGAATCTCTGCTGGCTCGCAACGTTACAGAGGCACCTGCCCGCCTCATCATACACCTGCCCGCCTCATCATACACCTGCCCGCCTCATCATACACCTGCCCGCGTCATCATACACCTGCCCGCCTCATCATACACCTGCCCGCCTCATCATACACCTGCCCGCGTCATCATACACCTGCCCGCCTCATCATACACCTGCCCGCCTCATCATACACCTGCCCGCGTCATACATCTGCCCGCATGGTGGCGCTTAAATACATTTTCCCTCGGCGAAACAATTCCGAACACGGTCAAACACTTCCTCTCTCTCGCAAATATTCTGGATGTTATCGCGGGCGCGCACACACGCACGCACACTTCATCCGAATGCAGCTCTATTATTCTCGTCGGAGGCTTTTCTGAAAACAACCTTCCGATATTGTCGCTCTTGCAAACCCTAGCGCGGACACAACGACCCATCGTCACCGAGTGCTGTGACCCTCCACGGCAGCACGCTCCGCGATTTCAAACTCCAACCGCGCGCGACATCCTCGATTTCGACATCGTCAAAAGCTCCCCAACCCACCACCACCACCAACGCCATCATCACCACCACCACCAGCACAGATACTCATCACGCGGCCATGGCTCAGCACTTTGCGACCGCGCTGAAACTCGCGAAGGCTCAAAGAGCCGTGCTCGGGAACAGCGCGGTGGCTCTGCTGACCGGATCGTTCGAGCAGATCTACCAGAGCGCCACCTTCAAGTGCCCCTGTTCGCCGGGCGTCAGCCAAATCTACGCCGCCACCTCGCTGCTCGTGCCGGCCCTCGTCCTCCTCGCCATGGGCTACTCGGCCAACGCGAGGACGTGGAAGCTGGTGACCGGCTGCTGCTCCTTCAGACCCCTCCGAGGCTTCGGTGGTCTGCGGAGGTTCCTGCGGATCCTGCTGTCGGTCACGGGCAGGGCGCTCGTGGCGCCCGGCGCGTGGCTGCTCGTGGCGCTGTTCGACGGCAGCTACTTCGTGTGCGGAGCGAGCCCGTACGCCGCGCAGGTCCGTGTCGCAGCAACAGCATCCATCTGTGCGGAGCTTGCAGCCTCGCCGTGTGCGGGGAGGGGGTGGGGGTCCGTCACATTTTCTACGTTTCTCAATTGTCACGAGGTAGCTGTGGGCAAAGTTGCACACCTCGGCACGAATTAGACTCTCTTGCCCTTGCCAGCCGGTGACTCTGAGATGTTGACTACCTCGCCGGGTGTGCAGAACGTCGTGGGTTCGATCCCGACCCTGCGACGCCTGCTGCTGCTGTTGTATACTTGGAGTTTGCGGTGTTTCTCTCTCTCTCTCTCCCCGTGGTGGCGTGGAACCCACTCCGGGTTGTTTCCCCCTCCACACTTGGAATCGACATCACGCGTTTGTTGTATTTGGCTGCTATAAATGTCCACACGGTGTGCAATGTCGTTGAGCTATTATCATTCGCGATGGCCAGCTCAGCTTCTCAAACAAAAGCTCTACAGCTCAGGGGACCTTACCTGGTGAAATAGAAACAAAAAAACCGGTTTAGTTTGTTCACTTTACCGATGCCCGTTCCTGGACTGTGCGGGTCAAACTCCACCTGGTCGACGCGGTGGCCTCAGCGGGAGCGCGTTCACCGCTTGCTGCAGAGAGGGGGACGCGGTTCGACTCCAGCAGCCGCCCCGATTAATACTATTCACCATTCTTTAGACAAGCAGCAGCGTATCTCTGGGACAACACTCGTAACATGTTCTAACATGGTGGTGGGGGGGGTGGTGGTGGGGAGGTGGTGGTGGGGGTGGTGGTGGTGGGGGGTGGTGGGGGGGGTGGTGGGGTGGTGGTGGTGGGGGGGTGGGTGGGCGCGGTGGTGGGGGGGGTGTCCCTATTTACGTGATTGAGACCTTGATGTAATTTCGTCTTCCACGTGTTCCACACACAGCAGCCCAGCTCGCTGCTCACCTTGACTCTGGCCACGTGGTTCCATCTGTCCTCTCGCCTCTCAGAACCTGCTTTTCCCCAACCCCCTTTCACTCTGCAGGTTGACCACACCCTACCCAATGTACAAGGCGCTGCTACAAAGAAATATTAACGCTTTTGAGAAGATTCCAGGCACGCGTTGACAATGATGGCGGAGAAGTGGAGACCCTTTTAACTTTTTGAAGCTATGAACAATCATTTATTGTCATTGTGTTATCCGCTCTTTTCCCATTCACAACGATAGTCCGATAGACGCGTTAACACTTTTTAAGCATCCTGTATCTTTGGGAGTTATTTGTACCACGTGACAAGGCTTTCCCAGAGTAAACAACAACAACCACCACCAGCAGCTTATTATCGCTGAGGGTTTGTGGCACACGCTGTTGTTGTTTACTCGACGCAGGTGCAGAGCGGCTTCCTGGGAGGGTGGCTGCCGACGGTGGTGGACGGCCTCTCCCACCTGCCCGAGCCTCTGGCCAAGATGAACCACTCGCAGCTGGCGCCGCTCTTGGCGGCCCTGCCGTGCCGGAGGCCGGAGGGCATCTCTGCGTCTTCGAGTGACCAATTCTTGAGGCAGCTGGCGATCCAGTCTCAGGTGAGCGTGGGCGAGTGCTGTTGTTGTTGTTGTCGTCAACTTGAAACGTGGGTGTTTTGTCGCCAGTATATAATGATCCATATTTGTGTGTTTTGGTTGAGGCCACGTGGTGCTCTTTATGCCAGCATGCCCGTTCGTTAGCCCTGCGGCTCGAGCACAGAGTTTGAGGTGAAGCAGCCCACGCGAGTCTCCAGTCCGTCACCCAGCGGAGCTCGCGGCAGGCCGAGAGGAACGAGGTAGGAGGAAGGAGGAGGGGGAGGAAGGGAGGGTAAGGAAGGGGGTGAGGGGTCAGAAGGGAGGAGTAGGTGAGAAGAAGGAGGAGGGCAAGGAGGAGCTCTGTCACTCAAGACCTGATTGATGCATTGTCCGTACGCGCTTGTGAATAATCCCTGCTGTGAAAAGCGTGCAATTCTGTCGGGTGGTGGAGAGTTAGCAACAGGAATGTTGGCATCAAACCACCCCCACTACCACTAAATGCCCCGACCCAAACACGGACGGTTGTCGCAATTCCCCAACGTTATCTCGGTCGCGCTATCGGCCTCGTCACGAGACGGAGAATCCATCGGCAGCTCTCGCCGAGCCGAGCTCGGCCGCCCTCCACCGGCTCTCCGTGTGAGTCGATTGGCCTCGATGCCTCATCAACTCGCCACGTTTGAGAACGCGCGGATCTCAGACCTAACGCCATTGCCCCGACGGTCTGGTGAATACAAAGGGGCTTTGAAAATTAAACTATTAAAAATTTTCCCAGGTAAGGCCCACTGAGCTATGTAGCTCTTAATTCACCTGGCCAACATGAATGATGGCTCATTTGTGTCGCCAGGGCGTGGGTGCTGAACGTTGTCCGAACTTGTCCGCGTGGGGAGCGGTGCAGGGCTTTCAGGTCACGTGGCGTGTCGACATCGCCTCTGTTGCGCGCAAAAATGCGCAGCAATTTGTGAACCGTGCTGTCAAAACCCGAGCTCTGAGTTTCAAGTTAAATTCGTGCCCATGGCTCCCATCTGGGTGGCAGTGATGCTTGAACCTGACCTTGCCACCACTGCTGCCTTACCGTGCCCTCCACCACCCTGCATAGTAAACCCATTGATGGGGGATGGTTCCGTTTTATCTGTATGCGTGTGCGAGATTTGTTTGCCTTGTAGTTTGCACTACGGTCGTGTTTCTGTCCTGTTTGCTGGTGTAATGATCTCATCCGCCCCGACTGGACATCTGTGAAAAAGAGCTGAATAGCTCATCGGATTCCTCCAGTATGAATAAAGATTCTGATGGTTATTCCATAGAGACCCATGGACATATATAGACAAACTGGTGAGAACTCAATTACACCCCGAGTTTTTCATTTCATGAAAAAAATTACAAAGATCCCCCATATTACCTCAACACACAAGTGCTGTTAGCAAGTAGCTATGAAGGCCGGCACGGCACACGTAGGTGGTGGGTGGCCAGCACCACGCCTGGCCACCTTTGTCTCCCTTGCAGTGATCTTTACACATCGCACCAGGTACTCCGTTGAGGCTCAGCCTGGGACTGGTTCACATAATCGCCCCTGGCATTAGCCGTAAGCAGGAATCGAACTTGGGTCGCTGGGTTCATGGCACAGTGCAACTAACCCACTCCATTTTTTTGGCATTTCACAAACCCACACTGGCCAGCATGGGTGAAGTATGGGGTCAGTAGGCCTTCATCCAGCAGTGGATTGACAAACAGCTATGCAGACAGTCATCGACTTCCGAACACCTGCGCTAACGAACACCGCTCACGCTTACGAACATGTACAATATTTCTACTTATTAGTTTAACAATGCGTCCCTTTTTATTGAACCATAACACATTTCATAACACTCACCGTATGGGCATTTCATTGCAGTGCATTGTTGTTCTCCGACTTACGAAATATTCCCACGAGGAAGCTTCACAGTGTGTTGCCCTATGGCAGCACCCAGCCTGGTGACGATTGGCTGCTCCATGTTTGGATTCCTCGTGCCCTAGACAGATGTGTCCCCGTGCCCTCGTCTTGGTCTCACGGTTCCTAACCCGAACCCCAAGGCATTCACAAGAAGTACAACACGATCCCAACGCTCTGCCTGCCTTACTATCCACCGGCGGTTCAAGACGACGAAGATGACGACGCTCCAGTCCCACCTCAGCCTCAGAAGGCAACGCAAGGAAGCTGCTGCCCCTGCTGCTCCAGGCGGTCGCCCTCTTGATCGGCCCAAAAAATCGCGTGACCCCAGAGCCAAATCAAGTCAATATTGACTATGGTTAACAAGTCTCAGTCGACTGAATAAACCTTTGATTCGCGTCAAACTTTGCGACAGGGTATATTAAACGTTGATAGAACAGATTTTCTGATGCAAAAATTAGATTTCAGACTGTTTTTATCAGGACTGGTATGTCATGGTTCACCGGTGCATGGCCAATACTTCTAAATCTAACAATGACATTTCGCGGGTATTTAATCGGCATCCAAGGACGATGCTAATATAACCACGACCGAGTGCCTGGCAGAGGAGCAGAATGAGAGGACTCCGCTGAGGAGACCGAGCGGATGAACACTGGGTTCGTGTTGGATTCGTGTTGGGCTCACGTGTTGGATTCATGTTGCCAGGGGGCGGCTGGGTGAACCGTCGGCCCCGTGGGATCTTGGAGAGGTGGCGGCGGTCTGGGGGCAAAGCGCGTGTGCTCCCGTCTCTTCCAGGACGTGAGGCTCGCGTGGAAGAGTAGGCCAAACATAACACGGTGAATAACAGAACCGTCACGAGCGGAGGTGGGGTGGGGCCCCCGATCGCACAAATAGGGGATATACCATTAATTCCGAGAGCTGAAAAAGAAAAGTAGGTTTCCCCAGAAGCCGTGCCCGGGAAAGTTAGAAAATAAGAACAGACAGGGGGGGAGGGGGGTGGGTGTGAGGAAGCGAAACAAGGAAGTTGGTGGCGGGGGGGGCTTGCGTGCTCGTGTTTTGTGCGTTGTTGTTTTGCAGAGGCGTTTCGCTATCGCACGCAGCTCTGCGGGAAACCGCGGTTCACCGTATCTGCGGTTGCTGCCTCTTTACCAAGGAAACACAACCAAGTAGTGGCAGAGGCAGAGGAGGGATAGAAGTTGCCATATTCACGGCGCTTTTTTTTTACGCAAGAAAGCCTCACCCCAGGCCTTTGCAGTTGATGGGGGATTTCCCAATTGACGGGGAGTTTCATTGGCTCTCATTTTTTTTCCTCCTCGCTTAAAAGCCGCCGTCGGTTGTTATCTCTAGTGGCTGCGGGGGGTTGGGGGGGGGGGGTAAATGTATCTTCCTGACGATAAAGTATTACTTAGAATTAAACCTGCGCAAATAAATCTCGAGAGACGACGAATCCCAACGGGTCAACGGTTAAATAAAGGTGAAGAAGGAATTTCGCACGGTTAGTTAAGCGTCAGCCATAGAGAATGCTGACAACAACACCAGCGGCATCGGCAGCACAGTGTACAATATCAGCAATAAGTAGTTCGTAAAGTTCTAGTAATGGCGTCAAATTGGCCTGATCGTTCTTCAGGATCGTTCAGGCCTAGCCGAATGTGGCGTTGACACGTGAACCCTCTGTCTGGTTGTTTCAATGTTTTATCCCCACCACCACCGCCGCCGCCGCCCCAATTGCAAACCTGACCATTCTACCATTCTACTAGCGGTGTCTGTTCAAGCTCCTTACGCGAGTATTTAACACATTCCTGTGGAGGGAGCTGGTAGGAACGTTGGGTTGCTCGGTCAATGGCCTGCAGGGTCAACGGCGGCGTGGTGTATTCCGCAAATATGCCCGACTGTGAGGGCGGGCACAAGCCGGCGTGTAGGTTAAACGTTGAGTTTTATAAGGGCACCACGGGGTGACCAGCCCCTCCCCACCCTCCCCACCCAGCCCCTCCCCACCCAGCCCCTCCCTCCCCACCCAGCCCCTCCCTGCACGACGGACGGACGGACACAATAATTCCCTGTGGGCTGGTGTAACCAGGAGGTTCATACCAGTAACTCTCTTCATTGTCTTGCCCCACCGTACCTCACTTCCCTCATCTCGTCCTATGTCGCCCTCCCGCCTGCTCCGCTCCCAATCTCTCCCACTCCTCCTTGTGCCCAATCCCGTTCACACTCCTTTTGCCTGCTTGCCCCCTTGCAAGTGAGCAACCTGTCGAGTTTCCGCTCCTCCCTCAAGACCCACCTCAACTCCCTGGCCCATCCCTCCCTCCATCCTTAGGCACCCACCGTAATTCAATAAACACCCACTAACCCCCATCCCCATGTTCCCGTCCCTATTCACCATATCACTTTTAGCTACCCTCATTGTACCACTTATAACCCTTGTAAAGCGCCTTGGATGGAGGCGCTCTATCAATATAAGATGGCATTCGTACCCCCGCTGTGCTTGAGACGCACCAAATAACGACGGTGACCCTGACGTGAGACTCGCCCCCCCCCCCCCCATGTGCGCACGTAGCTCTGGGGCTGGTTCCTGCTGGCCACGGCCGTCGTGCTCGTGATGAGCTGCAGCTGCCTGGCGCACTGCACGGCGCCCGTCAGCTACCTGCACCTGCAGTACTGGCGGGGGTACATCGAGGCGGAGGGAGAGCTCTTTCAGAAGCGGGCATCGGAGCACTCCAGAGAGCTTGCCTCGAAGAACGTGGACAGGTAACGGGGCGGCGGCGGAGTGGTTGACGTTTGCGCCGCATGGCAAGGAGGGGCCTGGGTTCGATTCCCGACTTGGGCTCTCCGTATGTTCCCCCACTGCTCCGCAGAGCGTGAGTCTGGGTTTTTTTTCCAAACGTAGGAATGAAATAGTACGCAGATTTCTGATTCTCGTTGTTCCTTCGTGGATCTCGCCAGCAGGATAGAGACTCGTAATTCCGTGAACGTAGCACACCGACTGGTAACACCAGACCAAGGCCCACGGCACGTCTCATCTCAGCACTTGGATAACGCCAAAATGTCAGCCGGAGACAAAACCAAATCCCCACGCACGACATGAACGCACACAATGTGACCGAGTCCAATCACCAATCATTGTACATCTCATCGTCGTCATCGTATATGTCTACATCTCTTCGTCTATCCATAACAACCATTTAACAACTATTTTTATTTTACCAGTTAAGGCCCACCGAGGCTATGGCGCTCTTTGTCAGAAGCGACTTGGGCCACAAATGATAGCTCAACCATCTCCGTGTGGAGATGTACAGCAGTTGCCAAATTCTCTGAACGCACGTGTCTACGCCACTGCTCCACCCATAGAATACGACTAAACGTAACCTTTAATAAACATATGCGTCCACAGATGGGATATTTGCTACATGATACTAAATGTGGAGGGGAAAATCCGGAGGGAGAGAGAAACATGCAAACTCAAAAAATATACAGCAGCTGGCGTCAGGGTCGGGATCGAACCCACGACACCTGCATACCAGGCGAGGTAGTTAACATCTCCTAACCACCGCCGTGCTCCACTGCTGGATGAAGGCCCTCCCCGTGCCGTCGGTCGCAGGACCTCTGTGCCACCCGGCCGCCCCTGTGTGGATAAAACACTTCTTGCCGTCTCGTTTTCTACTTTATAATCTTGAGTCCTCTGCTCACACGCACACATCGTGCTTCGTGTGAATACGGATTGATAATTCCCAGGCTCGGATTTACCACAACCATCACCACCATCACCACCACAACCATCACCACCACAACCATCACCACCACAACCATCACCACCACAACCATCACAACCATCACCACCACAACCACCACAACCACAACCATCACAACCACAACCATCACAACCATCACCACCACAACCATCACCACCATCACCACAACCACCACAACCACAACCATCACAACCATCACCACCACAACCATCACCACCACAACCATCACCACCAAAGACAAAGATCCCCCGTGTAGCCTTAACAGACCGTTGGAGCAAGTGTTGTTAGCGAGCACCTAAAAAGGCTAGAATGGCATGCGAGGGGGGGGTGGCCAGCACCACACCCGGCCGCCTTTGTCTCCCCAGTGGCGATATTTACTACACAGGCTGAGACGACCTAGGGGAGGCCCAAGACCGGTTCAAATAATCGTCACCGGTATTGGCCGTGAGCAGGAATTGAACTCGGGTCGCCGGGTTCGTAACCCAGCGCGCTAACCGCTGCACCACCGCTCCTCGCCACCATCACCACCACAACCACCGTCATGATCCACCACGCAATCCCCCCTTCCCAGGTTCTTCCAAAGGGACGTGGGGGGCAGCCCCTTGGCCTCGAGCCCCAGCATCGACGACTGGAGCTCCGTGTCGCGCCTCTACGTCTTCCACGAGAGACAGCCGCTGCGCTACAGCACCCTGGACAGCTGGGCGCAGAGTGGCGCCCCGCAGAAGGGCGCCCCGCAGAAGGGCGGCGCGGCCTCGCCCGACGGGGAGATCGAGCCCTCGCTGGCGTTCGTGGACGGCACGCGGCTCCTCCGGCTCCGAGACGCCCTCTCGGTGGACAGCGAGACGGAGCCGCTCAACGGCGACGCCAAAAACAGACTTACATAGAAGCAGAGACCTCACAGACTTACATAGAAGCAGAGACCACCACAGACTTACATAGAACCAGAGACCACCACGGACTTGCGTAGAACCAGAGACCACCACAGACTTACATAGAAGCAGAGACCACCACAGACTTACATAGAACCAGAGACCCCACAGACTTACATAGAACCAGAGACCACCACATACTTACATAGAACCAGAGACCACCACAGACTTACATAGAACTAGAGACCACCACAGACTTACATAGAAGCAGAGACCACCACATACTTAGATAGAACCAGAGACCACCACAGACTTACATAGAACCAGAGACCACCACAGACTTACATAGAAGCAGAGACCACCACAGACTTACATAGAAGCAGAGACCCCACAGACTTACATAGAACCAGAGACCACCACAGACTTACATAGAAGCAGAGACCCCACAGACTTACATAGAACCAGAGACCACCACAGACTTACATAGAAGCAGAGACCCCACAGACTTACATAGAAGCAGAGACCCCACAGACTTACATAGAACCAGAGACCACCACAGACTTACATAGAACCAGAGACCACCACAGACTTACATAGAAGCAGAGACCCCACAGACTTACATAGAAGCAGAGACCACCACAGACTTACATAGAAGCAGAGACCACCACGGACTTACATAGAAGCAGAGACCCCACAGACTTACATAGAAGCAGAGACCACCACAGACTTACATAGAACCAGAGACCACCACATACTTAGATAGAACCAGAGACCACCACAGACTTACATAGAACCAGAGACCACCACAGACTTACGTAGAACCAGAGACCACCACAGACTTACATAGAAGCAGAGACCCCACAGACGTATATAGAACCAGAGACCACCACAGACTTACATAGAACCAGAGACCACCACAGACTTACATAGAACCAGAGACCACCACAGACTTACATAGAACCAGAGACCACCACAGACTTACATAGAACCAGAGACCGCACAGACTTACATAGAAGCAGAGACCACCACATACTTACATAGAACCAGAGACCCCACAGACTTACATAGAACCAGAGACCACCACAGACTTACATAGAACCAGAGACCACCACAGACTTACATAGAAGCAGAGACCACCACATACTTAGATAGAACCAGAGACCACCACAGACTTACATAGAACCAGAGACCCCACAGACTTACATAGAACCAGAGACCGCACAGACTTACATAGAACCAGAGACCACCACAGACTTACATAGAAGCAGAGACCACCACAGACTTACATAGAACCAGAGACCACCACAGACTTACATAGAACCAGAGACCGCACATACTTAGATAGAACCAGAGACCACCACAGACTTACATAGAAGCAGAGACCACCACAGACTTACATAGAACCAGAGACCACCACAGACTTACATAGAACCAGAGACCCCACAGACTTACATAGAACCAGAGACCGCACAGACTTACATAGAAGCAGAGACCACCACATACTTACATAGAACCAGAGACCCCACAGACTTACATAGAACCAGAGACCACCACAGACTTACATAGAACCAGAGACCACCACAGACTTACATAGAAGCAGAGACCACCACATACTTAGATAGAACCAGAGACCACCACAGACTTACATAGAACCAGAGACCACCACAGACTTACATAGAACCAGAGACCACCACAGACTTACATAGAAGCAGAGGCCCCCAACGGACTTAGATCCGTCACTGAAGTAAACGAAGCCCAATGTTTAATGTGAAAATGTGAAATGTATCGAAGTTGTTTTTCAGTGTTTTAAGATAACGTATATCATTTCTAGGTTGATGTGTTGTTGTTGTTGTTGTTTTAAACTGCATATATTTGCACGCTGTCTGGGTGTTCACGTGACCTCTGTGAGTCACGTGGGCCGAGGAGAGAAGCCACTGGCTTTGCGAATGTTGCTGGGAATTCAGTGGCCGGTTGAAGGGTAAACACCTCGGAGGTTGGGCACGGAAGGTGGCAGGGGGGAGGGCAATGCTCATGCAGTCGCTTAGAGGGTTGCAGGCGACCGAGATAGGCAATGGAGTTTTTTTTAATTAACTTTTTTATTCACTTTATTTTTAATTATTGTGCTTCTATGTACGTGACTTAAACGAAAGAACCAAATAATATTTTAAACTTTTTTTTACTTTTTGTATTTTAGCAGGTAAGGCCACCCTGAGCTATGGAGCTATTTTTCAGAAGCGCCCTTGCTATTGCAAATGATAGCCCAACGAAGCGGCTTATCGTCGTGTGGAAACGTAGAGAAGCCAAATGCTCTTAAACGCGCGCCGTTGATTTATAAATGTGGAGGGGGAAAAGCCGGAGGACCCGGGGAAACATCCACGCGGCCACATTGGGAGAGAGACGCACACGCACCGCAAACTCCAAATACAGTATACAGCAGCAGCAGGCGTCAGGGTCGGGATCGAACCCACGACCTTCTGTAGACCAGGCGAGGTGGTTAACATCTCCTAGCCACCGTGATGATGAGAGAGAGATACGCAAACTCCAGATATACAGGTGTCAGGGTCGGGATCGAACCCACGACCTCCTGTAGACCGGGCGAGGTAGTTAACATCTCCTAGCCACCGTGGCGCCCCTTTGAGTGGCATCTATAAGGTCGGCGACCAAGGGGAAGAGAAGACCAAAAGCCAGTCGGTGGCGGTGAGACTGAAGCAAGTTGTGGAGGTCGGATGTCGACTGTGCAACACGTGTTGGCTCTCGCAGAGGAAGGAAGTGATGGCGAGTTGTGGTGGCATTGACTGATGCCCTCTTCACCTTGACGTCTGTGTATGGCGCAACTGCAATGCTACAAAGTGTAATCGTGAGTAAATTGTAAAGAACTTTTACCAAAAAAAGTTTTGTAACGTCTATTTTATGTTGATTCGTACACTCCCAGTGTCAGGTGCACGAATGAAAAATGTGCATCCCTGAAGTGAATTTCATCTCCTTTAACCCAGAAACTCCCCCCGACCCCCCCCCCCCCCGCAGTCTCATCGTGGAGCCCAAACACTGCGGCGGACTGGGCCACTGAGAGCTGTCACCACAGCACACACAGGGGGGGGTGGGGGGATGGGGGGGATGGGGGGGGAGCCATTCGTGCAGATGTCACGAGCCACTGGGTGTCGTGAAGCCCTCGCTCTGGCTCGCTCAGAAACATCAACGGGGACTCACACAGACACGCGGGGGGGGGGCTGGGGAGGGGGCTGGGGGGGGGGTGTCTGAGGGGGGCTGGTGGGGGGGCAGTGGAAAGCACCGTCACTCACGCGCTCGTCTGACGCTCGTCTGACGTCCCACTGTGTCATGCCACTTCCCTATCTGAGACTTTCCCCTCCCCTCCCTCCCCCTTTAAAACGAAGTCACGCCGCTCCGGGGATGCTGCATTGACATTTGGGGTGGGAGAGGGGGGGTCATCCAGCAGTGGAAAAAGGGTGGTGAATGTACGAGAATAGGTTTACGAGTCTGACACGTGACGTGAGTCTAACACGTGGCGTGAGTCTGACACGTGACGCGAGTCTTCTGACACGTGGTGTCTGACACGCGGCGTCTGACAAGTGAGTCTGACACGTGATCGGCTTTCGCGACCAATATTCTCCATAAAAGGTTTTTGGGTTGATCACGTAAATATCTAAATGTGTTGTTAAACCCGACACCACTCGACACATCCAATGAGTGAGGTTTGTCGCGTAAACAGAACGTTACTAGTACAGCAACACCGGTAGTGTTGGAGAGTAAATCAACATTGACAATTCGACTACGACGTTTCGCCAGTAACTGCAACTAGCATCATCAGGAGACATCCACAGCTGGTGTGCTCGACGAGTAACCAATTGGCGCGTTCCGTTCACGTGATAAACCTCGCTCATTGGCTGCGTGGGGTCGTGTCGGTTTAGCGCCACTTTTGTATTAACGCGACCACCACCCAACGCCTCTGCTATGGAAGCAGAGAGTCGAGCGGAGACACCGTGAGGATCCCACGTGAAGACCCCACGCTGAGAGGCATCTTTGTTGAGGAGGCGAACCCCAGAGGCACGAACGCCGTCACCATCGACCCCAGAAAGTTGCCCGCGTCACTCTTTAATAGGGGGAAACTTTCCTTTCAACCGCTGTACAAATATGACACAACTATTATACAAATATATATTTATATTTGCATATGGTGACGCCGTATGCGAGATGAAGTGTTATATTTGAGCGCTTACATCATTACAATGCTCCTCTTTCATAACCACGGTAATTGCAACACACGCTGCGTATCCTACATTCCCATTCGATGTCTGTGTGTGTGTGTCTGTGTGTGTGTGTCTCTGTGTGTGTGTGTCTGTGTGTGTCTGTGTCTGTGTATGTGTCTGTGTGTGTGTCTGTGTGTCTGTGTGTGTCTGTGTGTGTGTCTGTGTGTGTGTCTGTGTGTCTGTGTGTGTCTGTGTGTGTCTGTGTATGTGTCTGTGTGTGTGTGTCTGTGTGTGTCTGTGTGTGTGTCTGTGTGTGTGTCTGTGTGTGTGTCTGTGTGTGTCTGTGTCTGTCTGTGTGTGTCTGTGTGTGTGTGTGTCTGTGTGTGTGTCTCTGTGTGTGTCTGTGTGTGTCTGTGTATGTCTGTGTGTGTCTGTGTGTGTGTGTGTCTGTGTGTGTGTGTCTGTGTGTGTCTGTGTGTCTGTGTGCATGTCCTTGCCTGCCTTTGTGTCTGTTTGGTGTCTGTGTACGTGTGTCAATAGGTGCTCGCTAACAGCACTTGCCCCAACAGTCTGTTAAAGGCTATACGGGGAATCTTTGCCTGTGTGTGTGTGTACAATGGTAAACGCGTTGCGCTATGAACCCTGCGATTCCCAGCCCACGGCGAACGTGAGTGCATCTGGACCGGTCCCGGTGCCTTTATCCATCATGTAGTCAAACGAACCCCTTTGACACGGCGTAGGGAGGGAGGCCTTCGTCCAGCAGTGGATTGAGCAAGGGACGAAAGCAGAGCCCAGCGTGATGTGGTGATTGACACTCGATCACAAAACAGAGCACGCGCAGAGAATCATATGCATCACGCGTTACAGAAATCACCCTAACTTTGATCATTTCAACAACAACAAAATATATATCTTTGGCCAAAATATACATACAACAAAAATAAACGCAGTACACATATTTCAAGTTTAAAATGAATTGTAAGGGAATCATCATCGGCACGCGCGACATGTTTAAACACGCCATGTGGAGCAGAAATGTGCGCTACGCCGCACAACACACAAGGTCTCAGGATTCGCCTGCCCAGCGAAGCCTCACAGAGTCTCAAGACGCTTGTCCAGGAGGGTCCTGCCAGGTATTTGCACAAGGGTTGATGTTGCTGTTACCGTTGCTTGTGATCCCAAATGAGTCAATTGCAGGTAACCTTTGAGCGTTGGGTTGTTTTAGCCAATTCCAGTTCGTGTTGCACGTTTAGCACCCCCGATTAGCACGGTTGGCTAAGCTATGTTTATTTTTGTTTATTTGACCAGGTAAGGCTCACTGAGTTATGTAGCTCTGTTTCAGAAGCGACCTGCCCACAAATGATAGCTCAACGAAGTGGCTTATCGTGTGGACAAATACTCTAAATGTGGAGTGAAAACCCGGGGGATCTGGAGGAAAATCCACGCGACCACGGAGAGAGAGAGAGACATGCAAACTCATTCTTTCGCACCGTACGTAGCCAACCGCGCTAATCGGAGGTGCTGGGGGGAAGGACAACAAACTAAACGCACCAAAAATGTTTTAGTGAACGGCAGTCGGAAGTCGGTGCACAGCACAAAATATTTTAAGAATAAAATTGACAAATATATCGTGATAATTGCCATCGCACAACCCCACATCGTAGTAACGCCAGATATCCCTGGCTGATTAAGCACTCAAGACTTTCGTTAATAGGCGCTCGCAAACAGTACCTTACATTCACGCGCGCGCGTGTATTTGGTGAATGCCCGCTTGTAAAAAAATAGAAAAACTTTGTTTAAGTTGAGAATTGAATTTTCGCTGGAAACTGCCGGCCGATGACAATGTTGGACCCGTCGCGACACCACGAACCGATTGTCACCTGTGCAAGAACCGAAGAACGTGGCTGGGAATTCAATCAAGTGGGTGAGGGGGGATTGGGTTCAGAATCATCAGAATATGTATTTATAGCGGAGTAATCCGATCAGCTACAAAGCTCTTTCTCACAGAAGTCCAGTCGATGGCCGGGCCGGAGGCACGGAGCGGCGGGCCCCGCACACCGCCGTGTGAGGAGGAGGAGGAGGGAGGCGAGATCCCGAGTCGAGCAGCACTCAGTGCTCTGTCTCTGTCATTGACTGGAAAATAAATAGTCCACGTTTTAAAATGTGTAATGTCGTTTGAGCCATTTTATTAAACTAGACCAAATGGTTGTATACATTTTCAGGTCACAGTGCCTCCTAAGGGTGAAGCAAAGAAAAATGTATAATTCTCACTGACCACAGTTCAGTCTTTAAAGTTGAATAGAGGCAGCCTCTGGTTTACGACGGTCCAATTTTACGACGAACCACATTCAAATAATGCCACCGTGGATCGATTCACGACGCGGGCACCTGATTTACGACACGTCTTCCGACACGACCCCCGAACGCATTTGAACAGTCGGTTGGTCCGGTTTCCGACGCTGCTTGGCGGTGGAAGTTTCGTTATTTCTCGAGTGTTTGTGTGGATGTTCACCTCTTAAGCACGGTTTAAATACGGCTGATGAAAGGTCAGACGCGAGTGACGCTTCTACTTTCTTCTCCTGTCCCTGGGAAAACAAGGGTCGGATTTTCGACGATCCGATTTACGACCGCGGGGTTTCCAGGAACCCGCTGCGACGTCGTGGAAAGCGGGGACCGCCTGTGTGTACAAGGGTGCTTTGTCGTTTTCTGAATCAGTGTCTTGAGAGCGAGTCCCCTGGTGAATGTTTAAATGTTACCGTTCAGAGAATTCTGATGTCAAGCGACGGACATCGCTTTCCTTAGTAGGGCAGCGTGGAGAGTGCTGCCCTCTACCGAGCGCGTGGGTCAGAGGTCGCTCGAAGGAGGGATCTCAGAGGCGGCTCTGCGGTGTCCGCTTCCGCGGGTTCCCTTCTCTAACGGATTCTTCGTCGCGTGACGGTGCGAAGCCGACAGCGGTGCAATCGCGACGAGCCTGACGAGTGAAACCTCGCTCCCGCGGATCTCCGAGGTCGCTCCTCCTCCTCGACCCCCCCCCCCCTCCCCGGCCCGTGACGCCGCCCTGGGTCGCCGGCTCAGCCGAAGGACTCCTTGTTGTAGTGGAAGCTCGTGCCGTGCGCGCTACATCGGTTGCAAGTCCGGTGCACGGCTCTCGACATCTTCTGGGGTCCACAGCAGAAGACGCCGACCGACGTCCTGGCGATTGAGATCACGAGCAGAAGCAAACATTCCCCCCCCACGTAAGGCCTTTAGCAGAGTGTTGGGGCGAGCGCAGTTAGCGAGCGCCTGTTAAGGCCGGCACGGCACACGATGGAGTGGGTGGCCAGCAGCACCACGCCCCGCCTCGGTTTCCCCAGGTGCTTGCTTAGCGACGAGTCGACCGCGTGGCAGGCGCAGGACCGGCTCAGATAATCGTCACCGGTGTTGGTGGCCGTGAGCGCTGCGAACCCGGCGACCTGAGGTGTTAACATCTTCTAGCCACCGTGATGATGAGAGAGAGACACGCAGACTCCAAATATACAGTAGCAGGCGTCAGGGTCGGGATCGAACCCACGACCTCCTGTGTACCAGGCGAGGGAGTTAACATCTCCTGGCCACCGTGATGATGATGAGAGAGAGAGACACGCAAACTCCAAATATACAGCAGCAGGCGTCAGGGTCGGGATCGAACCCACAACCTCCTGTGTACCAGGCGAGGTAGTTAACATCTCCTAGCCACCGTGATGATGATGAGAGAGAGACACGCAAACTCCAAATATACAGCAGCAGGCATCAGGGTTGGGATCGAGCCCACGACCTCCTGTGTACCAGGCAAGGTAGTTAACATCTCCTAGCCACCGTGGCACCCCCAAACATCCTAACGTGGCAGGACACCCCTGAAAAGGGCTCTGGGGGACATCGTTGCCACCGTACCTTTGGTTGCACTGTGCGATCTCGTTGAAGAGCGCCCTCCAGCAGGGTCTGCCCACGGACATGCGTGAATTCAGAGCGTGATATTTCTCTTCCAGTCTCTATGAATACACACAAAGACAAAGATCCTCGTAATCGCCTGAACAGATAGTTGGGGCAAGCGCTGCTGATGAAGGACGGCACTGCGGCACACGAGGGGGTGGGTGGCCAGCACCACGCCCGGCCGCCTTTGTCTCCCTCGTGGCGATATTTATACTGTACACCGCGCCAGGTACTTGTTTGAGGCTGAGTCGATCTAGGGGAGGCCCAGGACCGGTTCAAAAAATTGTCAGCGCGCACACAAAACAAAGACAAAGATCCCCCTTATAGTCTTAACAGACTGTTGGGGCAAGTGCTGTTAGCGAGCGCCTATGAAGGCCGGCACGGCACACGAGGGGTGGGTGGCCAGTGGCGATGTTTACACACTACACCCCGTACTTATTTTAGGCTGAGTCGACCTAAGGGAGGCCAATGACCGGTTCATATAATCGTCGCACGTTGTTAGACGTGAGCGTAAATTGAACTCGGGTGGCCAGATTCGTAACGCAGCGCGCTAACCGCTACAAGACCACTCCCCACATAAATACACACGCACACACGCACGCCTGTACACACACACACACATTTGGAGGTGCATATCTGGTGTGTATATAATAAGAATGTTAACTTCGAACACGGACAGGAGTCTGATCACTCTTGAAGCCGGAGGAAGACACAAGAGGCGCGAAGGAGGAACCACGGACGAGCGGGAAGGCAGCCGCGCGGTTAGGAGCCGGCACCAAAGAACCCCTCAAGCTCTGCAGTCCTACATATATACGAAAGTATTTCTAGCCAATTAATGTGTGTTCAGGTGTGGGAGGAAACTTAACTCTTTTTTTATTTATTTTACCAGGTAAGGCCTACTGAGCTATGTGGCTCTTGTTAAGCAGCGAACTGGCCACAAATGATCGCTCAACGAAGTGGTTTATCATCATGTTGACATTTATAGCAACCAAATACTCTCAATGCATGTTTATAAACGCGTAGAGCAAAACCGGAGGACCCAGAGAAAAATCCACACCGCCAGGGGAAGAGAGAGAGAGACATGCAAACTCCAAACATCCAGCAGGGTCGGGATCAAGCCCAGGACATCCTGTAAGCCAGGCGACGGTGTTAACATCTCCTGGCCACCGTGGCACCCCCAGGAACCAGCGCACCCAGAGAAAAGCCCACAGGAGGGACGGCTAGAGTCCACATTGTGCTGCACCGCCTCCTCCCGGCGAGCCGGGGTACGCCTCCTCGACATCGACGGAGAGTTCCCCGACATGTGCGCGACCCACCACATGACCACACTCTCGCTGTGTCCGCAGTGCCGGCTCAAGGGGGTTAAGGGTCGTGGGGGATCACGAGTGAGTGGACGAGCACCAATAACACTCGACACGTTTGTCAGTAACACTTTGTGCGTGTAGGGCCTTAAAAGGATTGGAGATATAATAGGTGACGTTTCGGGCAATGGCCCTTCTTCAGAGCACGTGAGTTTAATGGCAAAATTCGAACTATTCAAAGTGGGGCCCCGTGGGCAGGAGATGTCACGGCTAGGATGGAATTAAAATAAGGGAGCGAAAGAACCAAGAAGATGAATCCCTGCAGTCACGGAAGCTTTAAATCGAAAAATGTTACAGGGTGTTATCCGTTCTTTTTCGATTAAAAACGGTAGTCCCATATAAGTGTTAACATTTTTTTAAGCACCCTGTATAAATCTGTCGCCTACATAGTGTTTGTAAACGGGGTTAAAAACCATCCTGAGCTATTTCAGTTAAAAGTGAGCCGGGAGAAAGGAGGGAGGGAGCCCACAGTCGGATCTTGCATCGCCACCCCGGTGACATCTGTGAAAAAAGAGCTTTATAGCTCATCGGATTCCTCCAGTATAGGTGAATATTCTGATTCTAAAATATGTCGCTGTGCCCCTGCCCAGCTGTGTCTGGGACAGGGCCCGTGCCTGCAGACAGCTGCTGTCGCCCGCTGTTGGTGTGGGCACTGTGAGACCCGCTCCGCAGTCTGCTCGTGCTGACCCCCGTGCTGCTACTGCGAGCACAGCACTCACAGACGGCACTGTAGGTCGTCGCCGCCACCTGCAATGAACGAACGTGAGAAGCCACGGACGGGAAATGGGACTCACCTCAAGCGCGCCGGACCTCGTGGTGAAAAGCCTCACGCTGAAGAAGTCCGGCCGGTTCTCCCGCCAGAGCTGCGGCACAAACCACCGCGGCGAAGCAGCGTCGGTCAAGCGGGCACCTTGCACGTGGCCACCGTGCACATTCACTGGCCTTGCCCACGCTTCACAGGCCTTACACGTCAGGGCCCGGCCCGGCTCGGCTCTTGCCAAAAAAAAAACACTGGCTCGTAACGAAACACTCAGCCCATACATCATCATCATCATCCCTCCAGGGTCGATCACAACGAGTACCACTTTGCGGGGGGGGGGGGGTAAGGCAACAGCGGGTTGTCCCTATGGGGGTAGAATTATGGCCCCTGCCCGTAAAAAATGTGGAATTTCCACCGCTGGCCTCCGCAGGGCTGTAAAGGGGAGAAGAGGCACGGATAGCGGTCGCCACCGCTCGTGGGGGAGGCAGGAGGGCGGAGAGCCGCACACGCACACACGCACACGCACACACGCACACACGCACACGCACACACGCACAACGACAACGATCCCCCGTATAGCACACGCACACACACACGCACACACGCACACACGCACGCACACGCACACACACGTGGCACGACGATAGAGTTTCACTTTCACTACGGTGGCAGACGGGCAGCTGTCTGGGTTAACACGCGTCTGTATACTGCAATTCAACGTACGGTTTGTCCTCGATGAGCGCGTGGTGTTCACGCGATAACGCGCTTTTGCTACAACACCGTTATGACGCGGGACGCGCTCCGTTATAAGGCGGAGCGCGTCCGTTATAGCGCCATCACAATCCCACCCCACCACCATCCCACCCCATCACAATCCCACCCCACCACAATCCCACCCCATCACAATCCCACCCCACCACAATCCCACCCATCACAATCCCACCCCATCACCATCCCACCCATCACAATCCCACCCCACCACAATCCCACCCCACCACCATCCCGCCACATCACCATCCCACCCCATCACAATCCCACCCCATCACAATTCCACCCCACCACCATCCCACCCCACCACCATCCCACCCATCACCATCCCACCCCATCACCATCCCACCCCACCACCATCCCACCCCACCACCATCCCACCCCATCACAATCCCACCCCACCACCATCCCACCCCACCACCATCCCACCCATCACCATCCCACCCCACCACCATCCCACCCATCACCATCCCACCCCACCACCATCCCACCCCACCACCATCCCACCCATCACCATCCCACCCACCACCATCCCACCCCATCACCATCCCACCCACCACCATCCCACCCCACCACCATCCCACCCCACCACCATCCCACCCCATCACCATCCCACGGCACTCCGCTCCATGGCACACAGCAGCCACTGTTCACCACTGAGTTACCACAGCGCTTGTGCCAGGCTAGGTGCACTTTAAGGCCATCACGTGCGGTGTGGAAGGCTCGCTGCTGCTGCTGCTACAGACACGAGGTCACGGGACAGATGTCCAGTGCTGAGCGCTGGCGGTCTCGACGGCAGCTGTAGCCTCGCCAGGCCGCCAGAGGGCGCGAGAGCCTCACGACTCAGAGACGTAAAATTCCTTTTTTTTTACAAAGAAATCCTCAACAGCTCCGTCATTAACGCTTCGCGTGCGGCCCTTCAGATTAAACAAACAAGCGACGTGGTGTGTCGCGATGTCAATGCCTGTCAACCCCTTCTCAGTGGCCCGCTTGTTACAGACCAATTCAGACCGTATTGGTCACCCCGTGCCCCTAATTAATCTCAACGTTCACCCAACAAAGTCCCATCACAAGGGAGAAACACAAAGAAATTGACTTTTTTTTGCCCGTATTGAAACGGCTGTGCGCCGTATGGACCTCACAGCTCAACTCCCCTGTACAAGAATGCGGGGTAAGGCGTGTGGGTTGATGGCGATGCGATGATAACTGACCGTTTCATTTTTTTCACTTTACATGAAACATCGTTTCCTGACAAATCAGCACATCCAGCAGAATTGGCCAAATCGCCCCATGTCGGGTGGGTGGGGGCCGTCCATAAATGACGTCACGCACCGAGAGGGGGGAGGGGGGTCAGACATTTGTGACGATGTGTGACGAGGGGGGGAGGGGGGGGGGTTGGAGAAATGTGATGTCACATCAAAATGCGCAATTTTAAATAAATATTAATTGAATAGAATTGTTATAATAACACAAATTTGGATTTCATTATTAACTATTTCATTATTTAAATTTACTAAGGTCACCTTTTATTTATTCCATAAAGGAGCATTTTGCTTCTCAATGGGAGAACTGAGAAACATACATTTTGTAAAAATTTTTTTTATGATTGTTATTAAACATTTTGTTTCTAATGATTCTACCGGGGCTTTTCATTCTGTGGAATGAATATGTGATTGTTATAACTGTACTCTCCAGTTTGCTTCGTTCTACTACAAAATTTCAAGTATTTTTTAATAGTTATAATTACTGTTAATATTCTGAACATCTGCAGTTTTAGTTAGACGTTGAATATTTTCAAGTGAATTTTATGCAAAATTTCAGCTTTCCAACGCCTCCTTTTCAATAAATGTTTTCTCCTACAACATCGGAGTGCAGCGCCACATTAAATACACACTACAATGACATTAGTTTAAGTTTAAAATGATTTGAAGCATGTTTTATTTTCAAAATGGAAATATGGTTTTGGGGGGGGGGGCAGAGCTTTGCGACGTCATATTTAGGGGGGGGTCTGACTTTTTATGACGCCGTGTGACGAGGGGGGAGGGGGGGGGTCAGAAATCGTCCAACAATCGCGTGACGTCATTTATGGACGGCTCTTGGCGGGTTAACGACACATTTATATTTACGCGATCTAACCGAAAAAAAAGGCCAATTATGAATAATATTTGTCGCAAAAGCCTCCTACGTGCGTGTTAAGGCGGCAACTTTAGTTGGGCCACGTCGTCGGGTGGAGGAGGGCTTAGTACGACGCGGACGTTGGCGTGTTCAGTCGCGTGAACAACAGACCCGGGGTGGGATCGCGATTTCGCACCCACCCCATTCCTTCCCACCCGACCCCCACCGCGGTGGTCCGCGCAAACGAACGAGCGAACGAACGAACAGGCAAGCGAACGAACGAGTGAACGGGAAAATGAATGAGCGAACGAATGAGCGAGTTGAACGAGTGAGGGAACGAGCGAACGAGCAAACGAGCAAAATATCTAATGAGCATGCGAACGAACAAGCAAACGATTGAGCGAGCGAACGAGCAAATGAGCGAGCGAACGAGCGAGCGAACGAGCGAATGAGCGAGCGAACGAGCGAGCAAATGAGCGAGCGAACGAGCGAATGAGCGAGCGAATGAACAAACAAACGAGTGAATGAGCGAGCGAACGAGCGAGTGAACGAGCGAATGAGCGAGCGAACGAACAAACAAACGAGCGAATGAGCGAGCGAACGAGCGAATGAGTGAGCGAACGAACAAGCGAATGAGCGAGCGAACGAGCGAGCGAACGAGCGAATGAGCGAGCGAACGAGCGAGCAAATGAGCGAGCGAACGAGCGAATGAGCGAGCGAATGAACAAACAAACGAGTGAATGAGCGAGCGAACGAGCGAGTGAACGAGCGAATGAGCGAGCGAACGAACAAACAAACGAGCAAATGAGCGAGCGAACGAGCGAATGAGCGAGCGAACGAACAAGCGAATGAGCGAGCGAACGAGCGAGCGAACGAGCGAATGAGCGAGCGAACGAACGAGCGAACGAGCGAGCGAACGAGCGAGCGAGCGAATGAGCGAGCGAGTGCCCACCGCCCCCCCCCACCCACCCACCTTGCCGTGCAGCGCCGTGAGCACGGCCGCCAGCCAGCCGAAGTCGCGCGCCTCCTTGCACACCCAGACGAGGTAGAGGCGCCGCAGACGCACGCCGCCCCACTGCTGCCTGCACCAACCGACGCCGCCTCACGGGGGAGGGGGGGAGGGGGTGGGGGAGGGGTGGGGGCGGGGGAAGGGGGGGGGCGAGGGGAGGTCAGAATGAAAATAATTTAATTTAGACTGCAGGAGGAAATCTGATGAGCTATGAAGCTCTTCAGATTTGCAGGAAGTGATCGAGGGGGGAGGGGAGGAGGCGACGCGACCAGCGATGCTGCGACAGCCGCTTGTTTTTAATGGCATCATCATCATCGTGATTATTCTGCTCGTTTTGTGCGGGAAAGTCTGACCGAGTCTCTGATTTTCATCTGGAGCCTCCTGCCAAGTGTTCTCAGGATGTGGGGGGGGGGAGATGTTGCTGTTGCTGCTGCTGCTCTGAGTGATCAAATTGAGTGATTTGCAGGGAACTGTTGCAGCTTATTGGGACATTTTGGCCAATACCGGTTCCCTTGTATGGGTGGGGGTGGTTTTTAGCTGTGGAAGGAACCCAGAGAAACCCCCCCCGTGCAGAACAGGGGAAGAACGCGCCAACTCCACGCAGGACGGCACCCGAGCCGGGAACGGGACCCAGGGACGCAGGGTGTTACCGCTGCGCCAGCCTGCTGCACCGAACGTCAGACATCGTGCCACAAACACGGCAAAGCGGCAAAGACGCTTGCTAGCCAGCCGCCCGGCAGCACGACTGTGCCCCTTAAGGGGCGCCAAATTATTACGTCAATGTTCCTTTTATACTACGCAGTACACACCACCGGTGTCGTACCGCCAATACGTACAAATATACAGCAGCAGGCGTCAGGGTCAGGATAGAAGCCACGACCTCCTGTATACCAGGCGAGGTAGTTAACATCTCCTAGCTACCGTGATGATGAGAGAGAGAGACACGCAGACTCCAGATATACAGCAGCAGGCGTCACAGGGTGGGGATGGACCCCACGACCTCCTGTAGACCAGGCGAGGTAGTTAACATCTCCTAGCCACCATGATGATGATGAGAGAGAGAGACACGCAAACTCTAAATATACAGCAGCAGGCGTCAGGGTCAGGATGGAACCCACGACCTCCTGTATACCAGGCGAGGTAGTTAACATCTCCTAGCCACCATGATGATGATGAGAGAGAGAGACACGCAAACTCTAAATATACAGCAGCAGGCGTCAGGGTCAGGATGGAACCCACGACCTCCTGTGTACCGGGCGTGTTTTTGGGTGCCACTCACAGCAGCGCGTTGAGCACGGCGGCGAATGGCGTCACCCCGATCCCCCCGGCGACGCACAGGCTCACGCGGTAGTTGAACACCTCCTCCGCTGGGCTCCCAAACGGCCCGTCTATGTACAGCCTTGGGTGACATCATCATCATCGCCGTCGTCAGCATTAGTCGTCACCGTCATTGACATCAGCAGCAGCGGTGGCAGCGGCGTCACCACGAGAGCATGGTCAGTGCTGGCTCCACTCGTGCAGCACGTGGATTACATGAAGCCGTTGTGTCAACAACAACCACCGCCATTCGCCACTAAGTGGTTGTGACGTCACCACGGCGCTTGTGCCAGGCTAGGTGCACGTTGAGGCCACGTGAAAGTGTCGAACGCCCGCTGGCAGGAGGTCACGGGGCAGACCCAGCAGGTGCCACGGGTCGACTGACTGAGACGAGTGGGTGATGCACCACCTGTGCCCCCTACTGTGCCAACTTGCTGTGCTTTAGCCACCCGGCGCTCTGCTCGTTGTTGTGAGCGTCGCTCCTGTGCCCTCCGTTGTTGTTGTGTTAAACACACACACATACATACACGGGTATCGTTTGCCAATAGCGGGCGACCTTGTGATGCTGTTTTTACCCGATTCAATAGTCGGCATCATCGTCATCGTCAGCAGCAGCAGCGCCGTTATGAGCATGAGCAGATTCATTATCAGCAACAGCATCGCCGTGAGCAGTAGCATGGTCATCGTTAATGTCATCGTCAGCAGCAGCACCACCACCACCACGGCTAAGATCCGTGATGTCACCTTGTGGAGGGCCGCTCCCCTGCACATGGCGGTGCCGTCCACGGCGGGGGACGTCTCTGCCTCGTGGCTTGATGCCGCGCGAGGCGCACGTGGCGATGCGAGCGCGGGATGTTGATGGGCAGACAGGTTCACAGACAAGCGAACAGCGTCGCTACGAAGTCATCGCATCGCGAGCGGTGGCTCGGCGGTCGAGCGAGCGGCTCGGCCATCCGACGGCCGCGAGTTTGTAATCGCCCTTGTGGGCGTCGCCCATTGTCCACCAGGCAGGTCAACGCGGTTGACCCTTGGATATACTCGCCCCCCCCCGCCACATGAATGCGGAATCTCCGCCCGCTGCACGCGGAAATGAGCACCCCGATGCCTCAATGCTCGCCGGAGCGGGAATCCGTCGTAAGCGTCATCCGGACGGCAACACACCACTTACTTTGGGTGCTGACGAGGAGGAGTGGGGCTTGTGCGTAGATACTCCATATTTGGGTTCTGGTTTGTGATCAGCTGATCTCGGAGAGAAGCTGGATTAGAGTACAAAGTAATAGAGAAATGTAAACTCTCGTACACACATGTTATTAAAAGAAACGTACAAATAATCTCGGCGAAATGTTGATGAATTCGCAGCGTGGTCACACTTGCCTGTCCAGTCGCCAAGCACTCGCAAATGAATAGCAAAGTTCCCTTTCGAGTCTGGCGGGCACTGCAAAGACAAAGACGAAGATCCCCCATGTAGCCTCTGACAGAATACCTGGGCAAGTGCCGTTATCGAGCACCCACGAATGCTTGCAAGGCACACGAGGTGGCTGTTGTGGCCATAGCCCTCGTCTCCCCAAACGCCGATGTTTACCCACCGCACCGGGGACTCATTTCGGGCTGAGCCGACCTCGGCGTGTACCCAGCCGCTGTTATTTCGCCATGGGTGGGAGTCCAACTCGCGTCGCCGGCTTCGAGAGCGCGGCGGCGCTACCCGCTAAGCCCGCGAGGGCGCAACGCTGTATCCCGCGCGGAAGAATCAACGGATCGCGTTGGTCGGCACGTTGCCGTGAGGAGCCACCGCCTTCTCCCGGAGAGCCAGGGGCATGGCGCCTCCGCACGCGACGCCCCCACGGGGACAGGCAGCTCCGCAGACATTTGCGTGAACCACCAACCCTCGCCGCCGCCGCTGCTGCTGCCGCCTCCACAGGTGACAGGCGGCCACGCTCATCGTAAGCCACCAACAGACAAAGAAGAAGGTTTTTACCCTCCCCTTGACCAATCACCAACCCGCACTGGCCATGGTAGTGAATTGCTGTCCGTTCTCCTGTAATCCTGCGTGTGTTCAGAACGCGAATTGGGTATAACGCGATTCACGTACGAGGGAACGCATTTTTTGAAGAAGGCGGTTGTGAATTGGTCATGGCACGGCCCTTTTGCCGGTATCCAAAATGATTAAGAATAACAAACGGTTTTACCCTTCCTGGCAATAAAACAGGAGTTGTGTTTAGATGTTAAAACACCAAACAGAAACCATTTGCAAGGAATCCTGTCTGCATTAACACCACACGTTACTTGTGGTGAACATGCAAACACAAAACATGCTTTGGTAGTATAATGTATTGTCTTTGAGACTGATTGCTCCACACCAGAGACAGCTTTCTTTAACCCCCGTGTAGCCTTAACAGGCTGTTGGGGCAAGTGCTGTTAGCGAGTAGCAGCATCTATGAAGGCCGACACGGCACACGAGAGGGTGGTTGGCCAGCACCACGCTCGACCGCCTTTGTCTCCCCAGTAGGCGTCAGCGGTGTTGGCCGTGAGCGGGAATCAAACTCGGGTCGCCGGGTTCGTAGCGCAGTGTGCTAACCGCTACACCACTACCGGTGCCACAAACATCGTCTGAGAAGCCGCTAGCATGCCGACGGGATACACCATCCATACTACAGGCGGGTGAGATCGCGTAACAATATAAATGTGTCGTTAAACCCGCCACCACCCGACACAGCCAATTAGTAAGGTTTGTCACGTAAACACAACGTGCCAATTCGTTACTAGTTCAGCACACCGGTGTGTTGGAGAGCAAATCCACAACCATCGTGGTGTTAACATCTCCTAGCCATCGTGGAGTTAACATCTCCTCGCCATCGTGGAGTTAACATCTCCTAGCCATTGTGGAGTTACCATCTCCTAGCCATCGTGGAGTTAACATCTCCTAGCCATCGTGTAGTTACCATCTCCTAGCCATTGTGGAGTTAACATCTCCTAGCCATCGTGTAGTTACCATCTCCTAGCCATCGTGTAGTTAACATCTCCTCGCCATTGTGGAGTTAACATCTCCTCGCCATCGTGGCGTTAACATCTCCTAGCCATCGTGTAGTTAACATCTCCTCGCCATCGTGGCGTTAACATCTCCTCGCCATCGTGTAGTTAACATCTCCTAGCCATTGTGGAGTTAACATCTCCTCGCCATCGTGGCGTTAACATCTCCTAGCCATCGTGTAGTTAACATCTCCTCGCCATCGTGGCGTTAACATCTCCTCGCCATTGTGGAGTTAACATCTCCTAGCCGTCGTGGCGCCCCTTCAGGGCCACAGTCGTGCTGCCGGGCGGCTGGCGAGCAAGCGTCTTTGGGTGGCGCCGCTTTGTCGTGTTGGTGGCACGATGTCTGACGTTCCGGGCGGTAGGCTGGCACAGCGGTAACATCCTGCGCCTCACGGAAAGGTGCCGTCCTGTGCGCGTTCTTCGCCTGTTCTGCACGGGTTTTTATTTGGGTCCTCTGGTCTCCTCCCATAGCTGAACCCCACCGCACCCACACAAGGTGACTTGGGTAGAACCCAACCCTCCTGTATACCAGGCGAGGGAGTTAACGTCGCATAGCCACCGCTGCGCCACATTTAGGAGGTCAGGGGCAGAGCTGAGACCGCGATCGCTGCTGCGCTGGAGCCAGACACGAGACGTGAATGTGTTCTTGATGGATGTTTGTTTTTCTTGGATGTTTGTGCTGGGTTACAGACCCCTCTAGGGTCCATTCTGGAAATCCTCCACACTATCTCGGTTTTCGGATGACAGTGGTGGATATGATTTTGATTATTTTTTTGTATGATTTAAAACTAATAAAAATCGTGGCAGTTTAGGAAGTCAGAATGAGCAAACCAGTGCAATAAAGCTATTTTCATTTCAAGCTCATGTTGCTAAAACACACACTTGGTATGTTGGTATAATACTCTCAGTAACCAGTCTGTGTGTCACTGTGTAGAGACCCCCATCAGAGACAACTCTGTCTGTGACTGTGTAGAGACTCCATCAGAGACAACTCTGTCTGTGACTGTGTAGAGACTCCATCAGAGACAAGTCTGTCCGTGTGTCTCTGTGTAGAGACTCCATCAGAGACAACTCTGTCTGTGTGTCTCTGTGTAGAGACTCCATCAGAGACAAGTCTGTTTGTGTGTCACTGTGTAGAGACAGAGACAGACAGCTGTAGTAGAACACGCGTGCCAACAAGGGCACTCAATTGATTTGGATAATGTTTAAGTTGCGTGCAAAACTAGTGACTACTGGCCAAGACTAATTAGAGAATCTATCGAAATTTAGAGAAGTAAAAATAATTGTAACCATTCGGATAGCTACAGACTTAGTGCTGCTTGGAAGCAACATGTGCATGCATAATGTGCGTTGATCACCATGTAAATAACACACACGGCAATGGATAGCCATAGTCATTAATACACATTCATTAACCCCCCCCCCCCCCACTTCGCGCAGGAAGAGCACACAAGTGACGTCATCACATCTACCACTCCATTTAAGGAACGAAGCAGGTGGACTTCTCCACAAATCTGGCCGTCGCCTGATGAAGCTGGTTGTAATTACTGGCGAAACGTCGTACTCAGATTGTAAATGTTGTGCCTTGGCTCTCCAACACACCGGTGTGCTGTACTAGTGACGAATTGGCCACGTTCTGTTTACGTGACAAACCTTACTAGTTGGCTGTGTCGGGTGGTGGCGGGCTTAACGACACATTTATATATTTACACGATCTCACCCAAAAAACCTTGAAGATGAACGGCAGGGCGACCTGAGCAGTGGGCGGAGCTACCTGAGCAGTGGGCGGAGCTACCTGGGTAGTGGGCGGAGCTACCTGAGCAGTGGGCGGAGCTACCTGGGTAGTGGGCGGAGCTACCTGGGTAGTGGGCGGAGCTACCTGAGCAGTGGGCGGAGCTACCTGAGTAGTGGGCGGAGCTACCCGGGTAGTGGGCGGAGCTACCTGAGCAGTGGGCGGAGCTACCTGGGCAGTGGGCGGAGCTACCTGGGTAGTGGGCGGAGCTACCTGAGCAGTGGGCGGAGCTACCTGGGTAGTGGGCGGAGCTACCTGCGGAGTCGTTGGGGCTATCTGGCGACCGAGCATCCATTGTTAAGAGGGAAGGCCACTCACTCAAACTACGAAACAATGTTGTATTTTGCCAGGTAATGCCCAGTGAGCTATGCAAATATTTTCAGAAGCGACCTGGCTACAAATGTTAACTCAACAAAGTGGCTCATCGTGCGGAAACGTGTAGCAGCCCAATACTCTAAACGCGTGATGTTGGTTCGAAATGTGGAGGGAAAAACCGGAGGACCCGGAGAAAAGTCCACGCGACCACGTGGGGAGAGAGACACGCAAACTCCAAATATACAACGGGCATCAGGGTCGGGATCAAACCGACAACCTCCTGTACACGAGGCGAGGTAGTTAACATCTCCTAGCCACCGTGATGATGATGAGAGACACGCAAACTCCAAATATACAACGGGCATCAGGGTCGGGATCGAACCCACGACCTCCTGTATACCGGGCGAGGTAGTTAACATCTACTAGCCACCGTGATGATGATGAGAGAGACACGCAAACTCCAAATATACAGCAGGCGTCAGGGTCGGGATGGAACCCACAACCTCCTGTATACCAGGCGAGGTAGTCAACATCTGTGTGGGGGCGGTGCTAGCGGTCGGGTTGGCGTGGCTATGTTTAACGAAAGTGGGAGGGGAGGGCGGCTGCCGCCAGCTGCACGCCGTGTCCCCGGGTTGAGCGTCCCAGAATAAGCTTCAAGTGGTGCGGCAGGGACACGCGAAAGCGCCGCCACCTGGAGAAAGCCCCGGCGTGTTGAGCTCGGCGTGAAGACGCGAGCGAGCGAGCACGCCGCGAGCGCGCCGCTCCGTCTCTGCGGTTCACCTTCCTGCCGCAGACAGCTGTGAAGAGCGGCCATGCGTTGAGAGACATCTGGAAGCACTTAACCCTCAAACATAACCCCCTGAGTGGGGGGGTTGTTAAGTGGGTGGATTGTTGTGGGGGGGGTGGGTGGGGGGTGGCGAGGCTGGGAGAGGGGATTTCCTGTGCGCCTGCTGCTGCTGCCTTCACAGAGATGCAGGGGCAGCCCTGCAACTGCCTCCTCATGCCACTGCTGGGCGGCAGGGCCTCAAGTGGAGGGGCAGTTCCCTCTTGTAAGGCTCTAGGGGGCTGGACATGTCACGGCTCGAATGAGATAAAAATAACGGAATGGAACGCGACCGCGGGGTTCACGCCCGCCCAGGAGACGGAGCGGTGACATCAGCTGGCGAGCCAGTGCCGTGAGAGGTGGCGGTGGCTGGGCTCTCATGCAGCAGTGGAGTGAACATGGCTGCCGACGATGAGGATACGCTGGCATCACATTGCACACCGACGGCATGAACGCAGAGCCGCAACTTTGGTGGGGTATGTGGCGGCGTTATGCAACACATCGAATCGGAATCAGAATATTTATTTATGGCGGAGGAATCCGATGAGTTATGAAGGTCTCTTTCACAGATGTCCAGTCGGGGCCCAGTCGGCCACAAGGGGGGTCCCGAATCAACAAATAGTACGAACATGTTCAGAAAAATTATTTCGAAAAAATGTGGATTCGTTAAAAATAACCTCCATGGATGGACCAAACCCCATTTAGGCATCTGGCTATCGTATCAATGAGAGCGGCACAAATTCGCGCGATCCACCCCCTTTGAGGAAATCCTAGAGCGGTGGGGCTGGCAAGAAAGCAAGACGCACGATAACTTAATCCTGATTTGAAGCTTAATCGTGAGCATTGCACCATTAAACGTGTTATTAGTACTGTTACTGTGAGCCTGTCTTCTTCTAAACCCAGCACACGGTGCAACTAAACTTAATATATATAGTTATATCCAACATATTGTTGTATAAGGGTTAACAAAAAAAACATCCGTAGCAAATCCGGTAAAAGTGAGTCAAGGAGAATGGACGTGGGCCCACAGTCGTGTCCCCCGTTGGCAATAGGCCGTTGTGCCCCTGCTCGAGACCAGGGCGGCCGCTGTGCGTGCTTGGTCCAGGCCGCACTGCTGCCCCTGACACGGGCACCGCCCCGGCCTGACGCTTGCCCACGGCACTTTACAAGCGACTGAGCGTCGTCGACGTCATCGTCCCTTTGGGTCGATCAATCGAGCAGCGGTACATAAACTGCCCCCCCACCCGCCACACCACCAACCCCTGCCACGGGAATGTGGAATGTCCACCGCTGTCTCCGGTGCGGCCGTCGGAGATGATCCCCACCTCGTCGCTCGTTTGCACGGGGAGACGGCAGGCCGCGTCGTCTGGACTGAGAGCCGATTGAGATGTCAGCCGATGTTTGTACCGAGCCCCAGGGTGGCAGAGCAGCGCAGCGGTGACGCTCGCGGCGACGCAGCGAGAAGGTGCCGGGGTTCAACTCCCGACTCGGGCGCCTCTCCCTGTGTGGAGTTTGTGCTCTCTCTCTCTCTCCCCTACAGGGAGCCGACTGTCGATCGGATCAGAGACCGGTGGGGCCATGCGGCCGATTGTGGCCACCCGATACACAAACGGTGCGTCGAAGATCCAGGAATGGACGAAATCTGCTTTGCTGAGTGGACAAGAACATCTAAACTTACATTTTTAATCCGCCATTATGAATCCATACGAAAGAAGCTAACGATGAAAGCGAAGCGAATTAGCACGGTAACTGGTATTGGCCAAACATCCAATGCTCAGATATCACCTGCAATTTGCCCAATAGGGATCACATGCAGCAACATCGCCCTCTACTGCAAAAAACTGCCTCCTGAAAAATGATTTTACGAATGGAAAGAAAGTTAAAACTAAACTATTTTTCTTGTTCCAGGTAAGGCCCACTGAGCTATGTAGCTTTTTTTCTAAGCAACCTGGATATCGCAAATAATTGCTCAACGAAGTGGCTTATCGCATGGAAATATATCGCGGCCAAACGCTCTAAACGCCTGCCGTTGATTCTAAATGTGGAGGGAAAAACCGGAGAACCCGGAGAAAAATCCACATGACCACGGGGAGAACACGTAAACTCCAAATATACAGCAGCAGGTGTCAGGGTTGGGATCGAACCCACGATCTCCTGCATAGCAGGCGAGGTAGTTAACATCTCATAGCCACCGTGATGATGATGAGAGAAAGAGAGACATGCCAACTCCAAATATACAGCAGGCATCAGCGTTGGGATCGAACCCACGACCTCCTGCATAGCAGGCGAGGCAGTTAACATCTCCTAGCCACCGTGGCGACCTCAGTGAGGTTGCCCTGGAGAAATATAAACAAGCGCAGTAATAATATTTCTCGACGTCGTATGAGCTCATTCCAGGCTGGCGAGCGTCTTGGAGGCGGCTGGCGGCCAGCGCGGGGCTCCGAGCGAGGTTCTGGTTTCTCGCGCGGGGGTTCTGGAGATCGGTCCGGGACACTGAGCCAACATTCCCTCTGGAACGGCGCAAGTCTCGCCTTCTTCGGCCCGAACACCAACGCGGCGCGCTCGCTCTGTGGTGACGCAACCCGCTCGCTCTGTGGCAGAGGTCGCAACCAGGTACCCGATACCCGTACCCTACCCGATACCCGGCTACCCGTACCCGGCCGGGTACGGGTACGGGTACCCGTTTGCGACCCTGGTGCGGCCGGGTACGGGTACCTGGTGTGGCCGGGTACGGGTACGGGTAAGGAATCAAAACCCGTTTGCGACCTCTGCTCTGTGGTGACGTGACGCGCAAGGCGTGCAGACGGACAGGCTGACAACGTGGGACCTTTCTTGCCAGGATCAAAGTATAAGAATAGGTTTGACCCTTTCTGGCAATAAAAATTGTTGTGTTGAGATGTTAAGATGTCTTTGCGCTGTCCGCCTTTTGACGTGCTCTGGTCTAACACTGATTGAGACTTGGCCCTAAAGAAGGCTGTCTCTGGTGTAGACCAACCAGTTTCAAAGAGAATGCACCGCACAATGCCAGGGAATGTTTTTGTTTGCATGTTCACCACAAGAACGCGTGGTTAATGCAGACACAATTACTTGCAGAAGGTTTCTGTTTGGTGTTTGGACATCTTGGCAGCTGTCTTATTTACAGAAAGGGTCAAAACTCTTGTTACAAACAGCCTGATAGACAGACTGACTGGCTGACAGACAGACAACAGGTTTATAGACAGACAGGCTGATAGACTGGCCGAGAGACAGATTGACTGATAGACAGACTGGCTGATAGACAGACAGACTGACTGATAGACAGACAGACTGGCTGATAGACAGACTGACTGATAGACAGACAGACAGACTGACAGATAGACAGACAGACTGGCTGATAGACAGACTGACTGATAGACAGGCAGACAGACTGGCTGATAGACTGACTGACAGACTGGCTGATAGACAGACAGACTGACTGATAGACAGACAGACTGACTGATAAACAGACAGACTGACTGATAGACAGACTGATAGACAGACTGACAGATAGACAGACAGACTGGCTGATAGACAGACTGACTGATAGACAGACAGACAGACTGACAGACAGAGTGGGTGATAGATAGACTGACTGATAGACAGACAGACAGGCTGATAGACAGACTGGCCGAGAGACAGATTGACTGATAGACAGACTGACTGATAGACAGACTGACTGATAGACAGACAGACTGACTGATAGACAGACAGACTGGCTGGCTGATAGACAGACTGACTGATAGACAGACAGACAGACTGACAGATAGACAGACAGATAGCCTGACAGACTGGCTGATAGACAGACTGACTAATAGACAGACAGACAGACTGGCTGATAGACTGACTGACACACTGGCTGGCAGGCGAGCGCCCGGCAACTCGCGGTGTCGTTCCACCGTGGCTCGTGCGGCATAGCGGTGAGCAGGGACGCAAGGGGGGGGGGGTGCCCGCAGGGTTATGCGACGCATCAGGGCCCAGTCGGCCACAAGGTGGTGGGGGGGGGGGGGCGATTCAAACAGATAAACAAGTAATAAAAAGTGTTTTTCCAACAATTAAACATAAATGTCAAAAAAATTAAAACATTTACAAGTGAAAAATAACAGTTCCCGAAGACGTATATCGTCAACTACAGTCGGCGCACACTGGTTGGTGTTTGTTCCTGCACTCCGGGCGTTTTGTCAAACTCGCACGCAGTGTCGCTGTGAGACGATCTTCTTCTAAACCCAATTCACACCGGGGCAACTAAAATGATATATAGAGTTATAGCCTCACATATTCTTTGTATGCGAGGTTAAAAACCATCCGTAGCTATTTCAGTAAAATAGGTCGTTGCGCTCTTGGCGGCTGGAGTCCAAGACCACCATGGACCATTTGTAAACCTCGCAACAGCAACAAATATCGAGTCGTGATTGACGACAATATTTACCCAACAATGTCAGTGTGTAACGCGCGTGACGTCACTCCACGTCGACCAGCCCCCCTCATTAATAATCATGAGCAGGTGACGTCCTCCAAATGGACACCCCCCCTCATTAATAATCATGAGTGGGTGACGTCACTCGACATGGGGGTAGGGGGCGAGGCGCCTCCTCCCCGCTGCTCAGCGTCAACTCACAACCCTCACTATGAAGGCAGAACCCTCACGTCACGCGGTCTCCGTAACGCTGTTGTTGAGACATCGAAGTAAAAAGGACGTCGTGATGAACAAGGGATTATAACCTTAAAATGTAATAGGTCTATGTCACCGCGGCCTTACAAACTGCACACAAATTGATGCAATGAATATATTACGTGGCACTCTGCTTTTCGCTTGCAAGTTTCAGATTTACTGCAATACGCCCGTCGTTTGACAGGCAAAAGGCTCGTAGTAGTAGTAATAATAATGATGATGACGGTGATACCAATGATGGCTGAGAGGGAACTATCACAGCAGCGGTGGTGATCAGTACACTCGACTCATCAACAGGAGGTCGTCGGCTCGATTCCATTTCCCGGCACGGCAGTTTTAAAAATAAAGTTTCTAAAGTCCACCCACCACAGTAAAGTTTAGGAGTTTCTTTGGGTTAGATCGCGTGAATATTTAAATCTGGTCGATAACCCCGCCACCGCCAGCCGACACAGCCGATCAGTAAGGCTTGTCACGTTAACAAAACGAGTCCAGTTAGTGACTAGTTTAGCACAAACCGGTTGTGTGTTTCAGAGTAAACCCACGACATTTGCAGCTGTGAGTAGCGTGACGCTTCGCTGGTGATTGTTGTTGTTGTTTGGGCGTGCCGTGCGAGTGGCTCTCTTACCTCTGTGAGGGTAAATGGATGAGACTCAAACGTTGAGACACTTGGGCAATGTAGCAGCACGTACTAACTCACGCGCGCACACACACACGCACACGTGCGCACGCACAAAGACAAAGGTTCCTCCGTTTAGCCTTACGGAGCATTTGCTGTTTGTTAGCGAGCACCTATTAAGGCCGGCACGGGAGGCGCCGGCGGTGGGGCCAGCGCCACGCCCGGCTCTGCCTTTGTCTGACGTGGACATCGGGCAGCAGCACTCGTTAAAGGCTGCATCATCCGTGGGGAGGTCAAGGACACTGATGGTTTGGCCATGGCCGGAAACGGAAGCCATAAATAAGAGCAGAGAATGGCTCATCCCTCACGTAGCAGTGGCAACCGCGGATGGGACGAGGCATCTTTGTCTGCCAAGTTATCTTGTCGCGTGTATTCTCCATAACGACGCGAATTATGATTATCATCACCTTCATTGTTTTGCGTCTCGCTCAAATGAGCGTGGAGGCGGCGGTGAGCCAACCTCGCTGCATCTGGGTACGAAGTCTGCGTTTGTTTGTTGTTCACCGGTTGGTTCTATTGCGAAGGTTCACACGGTGTCACAAGTCCGACTGCTGTCAGGCTCTCCGCCCGCTAGTGCTTGAGCCGAGGAATCCTCCAGGCTGTGGCTTCTGCCGACCATCGCCGGTGTTTACATGACTACGGCTCAACCCTGGTAGGCTTCTCGTAAATTTTTGGCGTGTTCTTGCCGATGAGAAGTTTTCCTTGGGGGCGTTCCTCTCCGATGGGAATCGCAGCTCTACATCCTGAAGTTCTGATGTCGGAAATTTGAATCTTGTCGGAACTTTTTTTCTGATGCTTCAAAGGAATGTTAACTCTCACGAGAATTTGCAACAACACCACAATAAACGTGCCTCCAGGCTCTGGAGACCACCTGGAGAAGATTCCAGGCGCGCGTTGACAATGATGGCGAACAAGTGGAGACTCTTTGATTTTTGAAGCTATTAACATGCATTTGTTATCATGTTACGGTGTAGTATCCATTCTTTTTCCATGAAAAACGATAGTCCCATATAAGTGTTAACATTCTTTTGACGCACGCTGTAGTTTGAGGCGTTGTGATGGCTCAAAATTGCCGCAGTGCCGTTTGCACGAATGACGCCGTGTAAATGCGAACCATTAATTATTTTAATTACGATTAAGAGCCCCGGATTGGCGACACGGGGGTTCGTCTGCTTACCTGGCCCGGCCGGGCGGTGAAGCCCGGCCTGAGCATGCGGATCTCCAGGACGTTGCCCGGGTGCTGGGCGGCCGAGGTGACGGTGACCGCCCGGCTGCTGCGGATGAAGCGGTAGACTCGCTCGGCGCAGTAGAGGCACAAGGGGCCCGACACCCACAGCCAGGCCTGCCGACACCGCCACCGCCGATCGGCCGGGAGATTGACGCAGCACAGGCAGTGGAGATGGAGGGAGAGGCAAGCGGGAGACAGGTGGAGGGGTCAACCTGCAATGTAGGTTTCCATAGCGGCCGCTGCTACTACGATTGAGTCCGTTGTTGGTGTCCGGGCTGGGCCACGTGGTGGTGGGTGGTTTAATTCGAACGTTCTTGTCGTGAACCCTCCACCGCCCGACGCGATTTTGGCATTCACAGATATTATTAGCGCGGGAACAGCTGCAGACCGCGGTTAAAGCACCAAGATGCACGCACAGAGCGGGGGGAAACCTTCCCACACCCACCTCGGGAATTTGCGACTGAAATCTGGGCAGCTCACGGCATTCCACCCCGGATTTCTTCGCCATCCCTGGCTCCGGCTCGGCAAATCCCTCGGGAAGGGGCTCAGGAATGCCGACGCCGGGAAGCGATGTGGCGTTGCCGGGCCGCCCGTGGGTATCGCATCCCGGCGGATGTTCCAGGAGGTTTGTTTGCACTTTGAGAACTCCACTGTAATAGACAAGGGAGATGCATTCATTCATTTGTTATAATCATTACTGTTGCTGCGCCTGTGTGCCCGGGAAGCCTCGCGTAGTCTCAAGCCTCGCTCTCAGCAGGGTCCTGCCAGGTCTCTGTGGTAGGGGACCATGGTTGCAATGTGTCATCACTAATTGAGTAATTGTAAAGCACATTTTAAAATTGTATTCGTGATGAAGGTTTTCTGGGTTAGATCGGCGTAAATATAAATGTGTCGTGAAACCCACTACCATCCGACACAGCCAGCTAGTAAGGTTTGTTATGTAACTAAAAACATGCCACTTAGTTACTACTTCAGCCCACTGGTGTGGTGGAGAGTAAATCCACGACATTCACAATTTGAATGACGTTTCCCTGGTAATTACATACAGCATTATCGGGTGATTTAGCCGGACAAAATACGTGACAAACGTTACTAATTGGCTATGTCGGGTGGTGGCGGGTTTACAACACACTTATACTTACGCGATCTAACCCGTAAAACCTTTATTATGAAGAATATTGGTCGCTAAATATTCAAATTTGGCAACATTTTGATCGGGACCAACGTCACAATGATGCCACCGCACCTTCACAGTCGCCTCCTCTCCTCCTGCCAGACGCCTTGGCTGTTACAAGCCGGCTCCTGATCTCCAGGGGTCACTCTCACAGTCTCATCAACAACAACAACCGCCATTCGCCACTAAGTGACGGTGACATCACCACGGCGCTTGTGCCAGAGCTGTGTGCACTGTAAGGCCACGTGAAGTGTCGAACACCTGCCGGCAGGAGGTCACGGGTCGACTGAGATGACTGACCGAGGCACTACTTGTGCTCCCTACTGTGCCAACTTGCTGTGTTTTAGCCACCCCTGTGCTCCGCTCGTTGTTTTGAGCGTCGCTCCTCTGCCCTCCGTTGTTGCTGGAGGGCGACTGCCTACAACTGCCCACCACCTACAACTGCCCCTTGGTCGTTGAGCTCTGTGGGTGCCACTCCTGCCCTCCTCCTCCTCCACCATGCACCCACGTCCCACCCATCCCGATCATGTGTGTCTCTCCCCGTGGTCGCGTGGATGTTTTCTCCGGGTCCCGCGGGTTTTTCCCACCACGCGTTTCGAGGATTTGGCCGCTGTACATTTCCACGTGGACGTAAGCCACTTGGTCGAGCTCTCAATTGTGATAGCCAGGTCGCTTCTAGAACCATAGAGCTGTGTAGTGGCGTAGAGAGGCCTTACATGGTGATATAAAACATTAAAGTTCGGCGAGCTTAGTTCAGTACTTTCCTGCCCATACGTTCTACTCACAACCTCCAAATTGCCTGCCCTATCCTCTGTGACGTCAAGGACGGTGTTCCGTGTCGGTTCACCCGGTCGCGTGCAGCAGCAACAGCAGGAAGAAGACGAGGTAGAGGCTGTGGGTGTACCAGAAGACGTTGTAGGAAGTCACTCTGCAAGTCAAAGGGGACAGCAAGCCGTCAGGTGGTTACAAGCTTTCACAGCATGTGGAGTCATCGTCAGTATCGTCGTCGTTGTCGTCGTCGTCGTCGTCACCAGCAATGGTCGATCCACTGAGCTACCATTTGTGGCCAGGTCGCTTTTGAACAATACGTGAACACCTCAGTGGGCTTTGTCTGGTAGGATGGGGATGGTTGAGTGTGTATTGTGTGGTGTTTGGGTGATTTGTTAACCTTTCTTGTACTCTCCTATCGTGTGTTTGTACTGTTTGTTGTTGTGACTTCCTTACCCCATGCCCCGACTGGACATCTGTGTAAAAGAGCTTCATATCTCATCGGATTCCTACAGGGTAAATAAATATTCTGATTCTGGATGAAGGCCTCCTCACCAAGCCATGCAGAGCTATATCACGCAGTGGGCCTTGCCTGGTAAACCAAAATACAATAGTTCATAGAATGTAACAATCCACGCGGGGCGTTCTCTCCTCGCGAGTTGATCTCATCGTCGTCGCTCCGTCTCCTGCTTGGGCATCACGTCCCCTCGTGCGCGTTCCGTTCCTGGGCTGGCGCCCGGCGATTATTGTTCTTGGCCCATCGGCAAACATCCCCCCTAGAAGTGGCGCGCCCGGCTGTTTGTGCAGCAGTGGTCAATGGAGGTGAGGCTCTCGGCACCAGCGTCAGTGTAATGGTCTCAGTGTAATGGTCTCAGTGTTAGATCCCTAGTAATAGAATCTCAGTGTAATGGTCTCAGTGTGAGGATCTCAGTGTAATGGTCTCAATGTGAGGATCTCAGTGTGAGGATCTCAGTGTGAGGATCTCAGTGTGAGGATCTCAGTGTAAAGATCTCAGTGTTGGGATCTCAGCGTTAGGATCTGAGGTGTAGCGGTCTGAGTGACTTTCAGCGGCAGGAGTGAGTCCACCACCTGATCTGTCGAGTGGATGAAGTTCCGATCAGGAAGAGGATGACGACCATGAGGATCCCCGTAACACCTGGGACTGAGTGACACAAAGACAAACATCCCCCGTGTAGCCTTAACAGACTGTTGGGGCAAGTCAGCGAGTCGCACCTATGAAGGCCGGCACGGCACACGAGCGGGTGTGTGGCCAGCACCACGCCTGCCCACCTTTGTCTCCCCGGTGCTGATATTTCAGAATCAGAATATGTATTTATACTGGAGGAATCCGAAGAACTACAAAGCTCTATTTCACAGAGGTCAATTCACTGATGTTGGTTGTGAGCGTGAATGGGACTTGTGTCGCCGGGTTCGAAGCACACTCCGCTAACCAACGCGCCGCCGCTCACCATTAACATAAACACACGCGTGCACAAACGTTCGTTTTGCATTTGTTTTAAATGTGAATCCAAAAACATACCCGTTGTGAAAAGGATTTTCCTTGGATCCTGAAAATAGATGCATATTGTGTCAATTGAGCTGTATTCACTGCCACTCACAAAACGCCGAGCAGAGTGAATCACCGTGCGCTGATTCGCGCTGCTGCTGCTGCTGCAGCGGCTCTCTCCGACGTTTTGCGACGCAGAATAACAACGCCTCCCCCCCGCATGCAATGCAGCTTTGTTTGACCAAATGCGGCGTCTGTTCCCCTGCAACGCTGTAGTCGTTCGTGTTCCTGAAGAACACGGCGTTATGGAACTATCGCGTTACAATAAATACAATATGTAATGTAGGGGTAGAGCACAGTCCGCGATAGCGCGTGAGATGCGTACGCAGGCCGAACAAAGACTGAGTCGCCTGGGTAGCATCTAGAATCATCCAGCAACATCCCAATGCCTTGTTGTGTGACGCTAGGCAGCATCTAGACACATCCAGCAGCATCCCAACGCCTTGTTGTGACGCTAGGTAGCATCTAGAATCATCCAGCAGCATCCCAACGCCTTGTTGTGATGCTAGGTAGCATCTAGACACATCCAGTAGCATCCCAACGCCTTGTTGTGACGCTAGGTAGCATCTAGACACATCCAGCAGCATCCCAACGCCTTGTTGTGACGCTAGGCCGAGGCAGCCGTACGACTGCTCATTCCTGTTTGCACGACGTAGTTCCGTCCGCTCAATCGCATTATAACCAAATTGATGAAAAAACAAGAATAGGTTTTACCATTTTTGGCAAAAAAATAGCTGTTAAGGGTAAACCATATTCTTATTCTTAATCATTTTGGATACCGGCAAAAGGGCCGCGCCATAACCAATTCACAACCGCGCTCTTCAAAAAATGCGTTCCCTCGTACGTGAATCGCGTTATACCCAATTCGGGTTCTGAACGCACGCAGGATTACAGGATTACAACGGACATCACTTCGCTACGATGGCAGTGCGGGTTGGTGAAGGGGAGGGGTATCAAGGTAGAGTACAACTATGGATGTCGCTGGACTGCCCGCAGCGTCGTACTCGTACCCGGCGCGTGTGCGTGGGGAGGGCAGGAGCCGATTCGGATCTCGCTCGCCACCCACGTCACAGCCGTGGCCGGGAATGCAATCGGACTCTTCGCATCATTTGCACGAAGCATCGAGAATAGATTTGTGAGCGCGAGAGTCAATTCGAATTCACAATCCAATGCGATCTTGATTTCACTCCTAAATATTCTCCCCCTCCAAACTGCTCACCTCGTTTCGATATCGCACGACATTGATTTCGGGAAACTGCAATGAGTGATGGGCGGAGAAGTTCCAGGCATTGACCATGTGTGCTGCGCAGTGCAAGCCTGCAGGGAGGAGCGAGAGGGGGGGGAGAGTCGGGGGCGTGAGGTCACATGGCCACGGCCTCCAGAAGTTTGTGGGAGGGGCTGAGACGGAGTCGGGGGGGAGGGGGCACGTGTTGGTCTGACAGCACCTCCCTCACTCTCCATGCACGGCGGTGGTGCATCGGGTGTCTACGGATGAAATTCACCACTTTACAAGTGTAAATTATCGTTGAAAAATTCTAATATGTTTTAACCTTTCTAGCAATAACACAGGTGGTGTTAGGATGTTCAATTAGCAAATATAAACCTTTTTGCAAGGCATCAAGTCTGCATTAATCACACGTTACTTGTGGCAAAAATGCAAACAAGCATGCTCTGATAATTATATATTCATTGGCGTGGGCCAATCAGTTCCAAGGGCAATGCAGATCTATTATCAGAGCAGACTTGATGCCTTGCAAAAGGTGTCTATTGGATGTTGGAACATCTTAACACAACTCCAGTTGTATTTCCAGAAAGGGTCAAACCCGATTTTTATTTTCCATCATTTTTGAAACTGTCAAGAAGTTACTATGTCATTGGCATAGCCTGGCTTGAGCAGTGAAAAAAACCAAACGGCCTCCACACACACGCACACACACACTCACATACACACACATACACACACTCACATACACACACACTCACATACACACACACTCACATACACACATACACACACTCACATACAAAGACAAAGATCCCCCGTATAGCCTGAACAGACTGTAGGGGCAAGTGCTGTTAGCGAGCACCTATGAAGGCCGGAACGGTACACGAGGGGGTGGGTGGCCAGCACCACGCCCGACCGCCTTTGTCTCCCTAGTGGCGATGTTTACACACCGCACCAGGTACCCATTTAAGACTGAGTCGACCTAGGGGAGGCCCAGGACCGGTTCAGATAATCGTCACTGGTGTTGGCCGTGAGCGGGAATCGAACCCGGGTCGCCAGGTTCATAGCGCAGCGCGCTAACCGCTACACCACCGCTCCCCACACACACACACTCACATACACACACACACTCACATACACACGCGCACACACACTCACATACACACATACACACACTCGCATACACACACATACACTCACATACACACACACTCACATACACACATACACACACTCACATACACACGCACTCACATACACACACATACACACACACACTCACATACGCACACTCACACACACACTCACACACTCACACACACACGTGCACACACACTTACACACACACGGGGATGGTGCGATGGTTTTTGAAAGGGTGGCGGTACGTCACCTGTGAACAGGGCGATGGCGATCCCACACGCGACGTGGAATGATTTGTTCCGATCCAGAAGCCTCCGGGTTCCACGACTCGTCACCTGCCCAGGCGAGGCACACGGTCAGCAGGTTGGCTACGTATGGTGCGATAGAAGTTCACCGTGTGTACGTACACAAACATGTACACAAACACGTACACAAACACGTACACAAACACGTACGTACACACGTACGCACACACGTACACAAACACGTACACAAACACGTACGCACCGGGGCTCACGGTGGCGGAAGCCACAACCCAAGGCATGAAAACAAAGCACCTCCTCCCGTGGCCGTGACCTCGTGGGTTGTACCTCGTGTTGGCCGCAGTGTGACATTGGTTTAAACTCACGACTTCCAGGACGTTATAAACTATGATGTTTGATTTACCAGGTAAGGCCCACTGAGCGATGTAGATTTGTTTTTCATAAGCGATCTGGCTATCACTTTTAATAGCTCAACGAAGTGGCTTATCATCACGCGGACATCTAGAGCAGCAGCCAAATACTGTAAATCGTACGATGATTCTAAATGTGGAGGGGAAAACCGGAGGCCCGGGAGAAGGATCCACACGACCACGGTGAGAAGATGCATTGGTGGTGGTTTGTGGTTGGTGGTGGTGGTTGGTGGTCGTGGTTGGTGGTGGTTGGTGGTGGTTGGTGGTCGTGGTTGGTGGTTGGTGGTGGTTGGTGGTGGTTGGTGGTTGGTGGTGGTTGGTGGTGGTGGTGGTTTGAGGTTGGTGGAGACTCACCCTCCGTGATCCCCGCAGCAGCGCCAGCGTGGTGCGGCACATGGGCAGCAGGATGAGGGCGCAGTTGAGGTTGATTGCGGAAGCCGAGGCACGGCTAAGGCACAATCCTAGCTGATGGAAGGAGACCCCCCCATTGAGACACCGACACGCACGGGCACCCCACCCACCCACCCACCCACCCCCCCAACTGCGACAAATACCCCCCTGTAGCAACACCTACCCCGAGGGGCTGTCAAGACAGAGCCGTGGGGCAAGTGGCGCTGCCGAGCACCGATGGAGGTCGTCACGGCACACTGATGAAGGTCGTCACGGCACACTGATGAAGGTCGTCACGGCACACTGATGAAGGTCGTCACGGCACACTGATGAAGGTCGTCACGGCACACTGATGAAGGTCGTCACGGCACACTGATGAAGGTCGTCACGGCACACTGATGAAGGTCGTCACGGCACACTGATGAAGGTCGTCACGGCACACCGATGAAGGTCGTCACGGCACACCGATGAAGGTCGTCACGGCACACCGATGAAGGTCGTCACGGCACACCGATGAAGTGGCGGGTGGCCAATGTCACCCGCGCCCGGTGCTCGTTTCAGGCCGAGCCGATCTAGGGGGAGACCCACTACGCCGCCTCTCCCCACACACACAAAGATCCCCCGTGTAGCCTTAAGACTGCAGGGGCAAGTGCTGTTAGCGAGCACCTATAAAGGCCGGCACAGCACACGAGGGGTGGGTAGCCAACGCCATTCCCGGCCGCCTTTGTCTCCCCAGTGGCGATGTTTACACACCGCACCAGGTTACTCATTTGAGGCTGAGTCGACCTAGGGGAGGCCCAGGACCCGTTAAGACAATCGCCACCGGTGTTTGCCGTGAGCAGGAATCGAACCCGGGTCGCCGGGTTCGCAGCGCTGCGTAGCGCTAACCGCTGCACCACCGCTCCCCACGGACACAGCCGCAGACACATTCCACGCACACACTCGCGCAGACACTTGACACAAACATGAATCCCACTGGGACACGCGATGACAGGTGAGGGCCTTGATGCTGCTGGGTTGTGTCTCTCTACGTGGCCCCTAGAAGTGCAATGCACTTGGTCCATCATCATCGTCATCATAGTCGTCGTCATCACCATCATCATCATCACCATCATCATCACCATCATCACCATCATCATCAGCATCATCACCATCATCACCATCATCATCAGCATCATCACCATCATCACCATCATCATCACCATTATCACCATCATCATCACCATCATCAATGTCACCATCGTCACCGTCCACGTCCCAGGGCTGTCGTCACCCCGGGCCCAGAACGTCCCTCCCCGCGTCTCGCTCCTCAGGCCCCACGTCGCTTCACCCTCACGGGGACTCCTCTCCCGCTCCTCCTCCTCCTCGTCACGCGAGGGGCGATGCTGCGGCTGGGAGACGCCAGGTGGTGGTGGATGCCACTCGGGAGCCGGCTCTGCTGAGTTTCTCCAGATCTCTCCGATTTATATCAACATTTAATGGGATTGTCTCAGATTTTTTTCTTCAAGATATCCCAGAATGCTCTGAGAATTTTTTTCTCTCCAAGATTTCTCCAGATTGAGAATTTATTTGATTTCCCAGAATTTTCTTGGACTTTTTCTCCACATTTCTGTGATCGCTCTTCATTTGTTCCCCCCAAATTCTCTCGGATATAATTCTGTTTTTTTTCTACTTTCAAATAAAAGATCTCCAGATTTCGATGAATCTCATTGAACTCTCCTCCCAGATTCATTCCAAACTTCCAGAATTCTTGTCCAGATATCTCAGAATTTCCCCGCATTTTTGTGCAGATTCATTTGCTCACAATTTTAAGTTTCCTTTAAAAATTTCCTCGCAAAAGTAATTAGTTTCAAATCTTTTCCAACGACCTCAGGCAATGCATTAAAAAACCAGGCCACTGTCAGACAGCCCTCCCTACTCCTCAAGACTCAAGCAACGACGCATCTCGCTAAAACAATCGCCCCACACCGTCTCGCTCCTCCATCTAGGACAGGGCTGGGGAACCTTTTTTCTGCCAAGGGCCATTTGGATATTTATAACATCATTCGCGGGCCAGACAAAATTATCAACTTTAAAATTAGCCCGTGAGATTTGGTTAAACATTTAATTAACTCGCCCCTAATGCGATGGCTGGAACTGCTTCTCTTTGGCGAGGCATGTGATGTTAGCTGGTATCGATGATGTTGCTGCTACTCGCAACTGCTTTTCCAGGTTTGCTCCTAGATTTGTTGAATTTCGAGTCCCGCCTGCGGTTGCCTTGGCAGGGCCACACCAAGTTGATTTCGCGGGCCTCATACGGCCCGCGGGCCGGACGTTCCCCACCCCTGATCTAGAAGAAGCCCGCTGACTTCCCCATGGCTCCCACGTGGGTTAACAACGAAAATAAATGTCTCGGCAGCTGCAGCGGCACGAAAAACCAGTTCCGGACAGCTAAAGTGTCAAGGGGCGAACGCAGGTTGGGGGAGAGCGTTCAGGCGCATCGGCAGGTCTCACCCCCAGCATCTTGTGCAGGTAGTAGTACTCGGGGCCGTAGTAATAGAGCAGGAACGTGCGGCAGAAGACGAAGGTGGTGGCAGCCATCCACAGCATCTGTGCGGACACCGACACGCGCGGCACACAACCACAGAGGGGAGCGGTGCGAGCGGATTGCACGAGCGAGCGGAGGATACCCGATTATCGTCTCCCGACACTCAACCGACCCGACGCGTGCCGCTGGACGGGAGGTGATGGGAGGGGCTTGGTGATGTCATCGGCTTACGGGGGGTGGGGGGAGGGGTCCTGCCGTGGGTGGGTGAAGGAAGCCGCTATTTTTCAAGGGGAACCCGAGTAATTGATGACCAAAGAGAGAGCGTAGTCGATTATATTGCCACGACTCTCTCTTTTCACGGCGGCTCTTGGCGGCGTCTGGAAGGCTCTTCCTTCCGTACGTAACATTGACACGATGAATCGACTAAAGCAGTGGTTCTTCACCTTTTCTGCAGCCTGGACCCCTTTGGTTCTTAATTGTCACAAGACGCACAATGTTCATAGCCACGTGGGGTTTGATGAAACAAAAGTAAGCTGCAGCTAACATGCCCGGGCTTAATTTGTGTTTTTGATGATTTACCCTCAACAAAAGATCTGGCCACGTCTCGCACCCCCAGAAAGGGCATCTCGCACCCCAGGGTAGTAAGAAGAAGAAGAACCACTGCACTAAAGATATGCGGGGACATTGTCATTGTGGTGAGTCGGGGGACCTCTCTGGGAACCGAGTCTCGAGGAGTCTCTGAGCCTCTCGCGAGACCCACGGCGGCGAGCACCTCACTCCAGCAGGCGGCCCGGCTCTAGCTCCAGGCCACGGCAACTGCAGCAGCAGCATCAGCAGCAGCATCATCATCAGCAGCATCATCATCAGCAGCATCATCAGCATCATCAGCAGCAGCAGCATCATCATCAGCAGCATCATCATCAGCAGCAGCATCATCATCATCATCAGCAGCAGCATCATCATCAGCAGCAGCATCATCAGCATCATCATCATCAGCAGCAGCATCATCATCAGCATCATGATCATCAGCAGCATCATGATCATCAGCAGCATCATCAGCAGCATCATCAGCATCATGATCATCATCAGCATCATCAGCAGCAGCAGCTTGTGCTGTCACGCCCCACAGCCGCGGGCTGTGGAATCCGGCACAAGAACAAAGACAAAGCTCCCCCGTGTAGCCTTGCGCACACTCTGTTAGGGGCAAGTGCTGTCAGCGAGCTCCTGTGGAGTCCGGAACGGGGTAGGGGGGGGGGCAGCACCACGCCAGGCTCCAGGTACTCATTTGAGGCTGAGTCGACCTAGGGGAGGACCAGGACCGGCGCAGATCGCCGTCGTCCTCACTCGTGGTGGTGGCCGGGACTCTCACCCGGGGCTGTGTGTATGTGTGTGTGTGTCTGTGTGTGTGTACACGCTGTGTGTGTGTGTACACGCTATGCGTGTGTGTACACGCTGTGTGTGTCTGTGTGTGTGTACACGCTGTGTGTGTGTGTCTGTGTATGCGTGTGTGTCTGTGTCTGTGTGTGTGTACACGCTGTGTGTGTGTGTCTGTGTATGTGTGTGTGTCTGTGTATGTGTGTGTGTACACGCTGTGTGTGTGTCTGTGTATGTGTGTCTGTGTATGTGTGTGTGTACACGCTGTGTGTGTGTCTGTGTATGTGTGTGTGTCTGTGTGTGTGTACACGCTGTGTGTGTGTGTCTGTGTGTGTGTGTACACGCGGTGTGTGTGTCTGTGTATGTGTGTGTGTCTGTGTGTGTGTACACGCTGTGTGTGTGTGTGTGTCTGTGTGTGTGTCTGTGTGTGTGTGTACACGCTGTGTATGTGTGTGTGTCTGTGTATGTGTGTGTGTACACGCTGTGTGTGTGTGTCTGTGTGTGTGTGTGTACACGCGGTGTGTGTGTGTACACGCTGTGTGTGTGTGTACACGCTGTGTGTATGTGTCTGTGTGTTGTCTGTGTGTGTCTCTGTGTGTCTGTGTGTGTGTCTGTGTGTTGTCTGTGTGTGTCTGTGTGTGTGGTCTGTGTGTTGTCTGTGTGTGTGTCTGTGTGTTGTCTGTGTCCGTGTGTTGTCTGTGTGTCCGTGTGTGTGTTTGTGTGTGTCTGTGTGTCTCTATGTGTCTGTGTGTATGTGTGTTGTCTGTGTGTGTGTCTGTGTGTGACTGTGTGTGTCTGTGTGTTGTCTGTGTGTGTCTGTGTGTTCGTAGGTGCACGCCCCAACTCGCCGTGTCGGGGAGCCATTCCCTGCGAGTGATCCTTACCAGGCAGCAGTGCTTCCACACTTCGTTGAAGACCCAACTCCTGAGCGGCATAGCCATTGTTGCGGGCCGGCCCCTCTCTCTCTCCCCCCTGTCTCCCCGCTGTCTCTCTGCCCGTCTCCTGCGCGCCGCGTGGGTGCGGCAAAAGTGTCCGTGTGCGTGCCGACTGCGCTGCTGCGTCCCACAGGGTCGAGTATCAGCAGCACACTGACCAACACCACCCCAGCCCTCATCTCCTCCCCTCCCCATCTCCCTCCCCTCCCCTCCCCCCAGCCTCACTTCCCCTACCCCCGCACCGAGACAAAGGACGTCAGAGGGCTTTCATCCTGGCCACGATGTTCGGCTGGCTGCTGTTAGCGAGCGCCTGTTGAGTCGTGCGTTGGGTGCCGATGGTGATTGACGGCCTTAGTGACGGCGGTGTGTCCGGCCTTCGTAAGCTGCTCGCCGACGTCGCACTTGCCCCAAGCAGTTTGTGGAGGTTATACGGGGGATCTTTATCTTTCTCTGGTGTGTGTGCCCCTTGTGCCTGGGGGTCAAGGGGAGCGGTGGCGCAGCGGTTAGCGTCACGCCGCGCTACGAACCAGGCGCGTCCCGAGTTCGATTCCCGCTGCCGGCCAACAGCAGTGGCGATTATCTGAACCGGTCCTGGGCCTCTCCTAGGTCGACTCAGCCTCAAACGCGGTGCGTAAACGTTGGCACTGGGGAGACAAAGGCGGCCGGGCGTTGTGCTGGCCACCTACCCCCTCGTGTGCCGTGCTGTCCTTAGGTACTCCGTAACAGCACTTGCCCCTGAAGTCTGTAGAGGCTATATGGGCGATCTTTATCTCTGGGATCACCAAGTGGAGAGCGGTGGCGCAGTGGTTAGCGCACCGCGCTACGAACCCGGCGACCGCAGTTCGATTCCCGCTCGCGACCAAAGTTAGTGGCGAATATCTGAACCGGTCCCGGGCCCCCCTCCTAGGTCGACTCGGCCTCAAATGGGTACCCGGTGGAGTTGGCCACACCATCCCCCAGTGGACGCACTCCGCATGCATACGGGGGCTACATAGATCGATACACGCACCAGGGCACACACAGCGAACACACACACAGCGAACACACACACACACAGCGAACACGCACACACAGCGAACACACACACACACAGCGAACACACACACACACAGCGAACACGCACACAGCGAACACACACACAGCGAACACACACACACAGCGAACACACACACAGCGAACACGCACGGCTACACACAGCGAACACACACACACAGCGAACACACACACAGCGAACACGCACGGCTACACACAGCGAACACACACACACAGCGAACACACACACAGCGAACACACACACAGCGAACACACACACAGCGAACACGCACACACAGCGAACACGCATACACACACAGCGTACACACACACATACAGCGAACACGCACGGCTACACACAGCGAACACACACACACAGCGAACACACACACAGCGAACACGCACGGCTACACACAGCGAACACACACACACAGCGAACACACACACAGCGAACACACACACACAGCGAACACACACACAGCGAACACGCACACACACAGCGAACACGCATACACACACAGCGTACACACACACAGCGAACACGCACGGCTACACACAGCGAACACACACAGCGAACACACACACATGCACAGCGTACACACACACAGCGAACACGCACGGCTACACACAGCGAACACGCACACACACAGTGGCGGATTGTATTATTATCCTTGTAGCACGAGTAGCTACACATGCAGCTACGGGCCCCGCACTTTCAAGGGCCCCGCGCTAAAAGCTTTCAAGCTATCGATTCCGGTTCAGTGATTCTACACTTGCTCTATTACTATAGTACTATACCGCTTTCAACTTTTAAGAACGAGTGGGTGTTTAAGGTGATCGATTTGTCGTATTATCTGGCTGACTCGCACCCACCACTCACCCACCCACTCACTCACCCACTCACTCACCCACCACTCACTCACCCACCCACTCACCCACCACTCACTCAACCACTCACCCACAAACTCACCCACAACTCACTCACCCACTCACTCACCCAGCAACAACCTCGAGTCGCCACTAAGTGGCGGTGACGTCACCACGGCGCTTGTGCCAGGCTAGGTGCACCTTGAGGCCACGTGAAGTGTCGAACGCCCGCTGGCAGGAGGTCACGGGAGAGACCCAGCAGGTGTCATTGGTTGACTGACTGAAATGACTGGCAGATGCACCACCTGTGCCCCCTACTATGCCAACGTGGTGTGTTTTAGCCGCCCGGCCCTTTACGCGTTGTTGTGAGCGTCGCTCCTCTGTACTCCGTTGTTGTTGGAGGGTGACTGCCTCCAACCGCCCAGTAGCAGCGTCCTTCACGAGCCTCCTCCTCCACAGAGGGCCATCTTGACACCGCTGGTACCAGTTCTTGGCAAGTCCACTCAAATCTAGAATTAAGTCCACTCAGCTCCATATCGTCTCGTACCACATCACTCCATCTCTTCTCTAGCCCGTGCCGCGCCCGTTTATCCGGCCGAACAAAAGCTGTTTGGGCATGCGGTGGCTGGGCATGCGGGCTACGTGACCCAGCCAACGCAGATCGTTCGAGGATTTGTGAGCTCCTCACACAATCCAGCCTGCTGGTTAAACTCAGGATGGATCGTAGGCGGGCCAGCTTTAATGTTTATAACCGGCGAAGATGTTCCATTGGGGAGGGGGAAGCGTAGAGAAGTAAGGGTATGACCGTGGCCGACAAGACCCGAATCTGTGTGGAGCGACAGACCAGGTAGCTTCCATGCAGCGTTGCGCAGCCGATGAAAATATCCCGCTCGACTGATTCGGAGTGAGACCTTTGCTGTCAAACCACTCACTCACCCACTCACTCGCTCACTCACCCACTCACTCACTCACCCACTCACTCACCCACTAACTCACCCACTAACTCACCCACTCACTCACCCACTAACTCACCCACTCACTCACTCACCCACTAACTCACCCACTAACTCACCCACTAACTCACCCACTCACTCGCTCACCCACTCACTCACTCACCACCCCCTCACCCACTCACCCACCCACTCACCCACCCACTCACCCACTCACCACCCCCTCACACACCCACTCACTCACCCACTCACCCACTCACCACCCCCTCACCCACTCACCCACCCACTCACCCACCCACCCACTCACCACGCTGTGTGTCACCTCACTTCTCTCTCTCTCTCTGCTGCTTTCCCTGCGCTGTTCCCCTCTGGAACCCGCTCCTCCCATCATCGCCTCTCTCCGCAAGCTCTTATCATCACCTGGCACGACTCAAGAAACGCGTTACACTCGCGTCTGTTACAACTGCCATCGTGCTATTTGTTGCTGACCGCTTGTCGTCTGGGCCCCATGTGCTCATCAGCCACAGTGATTGTTTTTTAACCACAGGAAATCCACACACATCCACACACACACATCACTCGCGCCACCACGAACATGAACACAGCATTGTAATATCAACACAGCATCGACTCGTGCCCAGTCAGTCTAAACACGCGTCGTTATAGACAGCGCCAGCTCGACTCACATGAGGCAGCAGTGGTGGTGGTTGTTGGTGTTGTTGTTGGTGGTGAGAGCTGGATGTTGGCGACCGACGTTTACAGCAGAACCCGGCCCTGCCGCTTCTGCCACGGTGGTGGTGGTGGTGGCCCCGCTAGGAGATGTTAACTACCTCGCCTGGTGTGCAGGAGGTCGTGGGTTCGATCCCGACCCTGATGCCTGCTGTTGTGTATTTGGAGTGTGTGTGTCTCTGTCTCTCATCATCATCATCACGGTGGCTATGAGATGTTAACTACCTCGCCTGGTGTGCAGGAGGTCGTGGGTTCGATCCCGACCCTGACGCCTGCTGCTGCTGCTGTATATTTGGAGTTTGCGTGTCTCTCTCTCTCATCATCATCATCATCACGGTGGCTAGGAGATGTTAACTACCTCGCCTGGTATGCAGGAGGTCGTGGGTTCGATCCCGAACCTGACGCTTGCTGTTGTGTATTTGGAGTGTGTGTGTCTCTGTCTCTCATCATCATCATCACGCTGGCTATGAGATGTTGGCCACCTCGCCTGGTGTACAGGAGGTCGTGGGTTCGATCCCGACCCTGACGCCTGCTGTTGTGTATTTGGAGTGTGTGTGTCTCTGTCTCTCATCATCATCATCACGCTGGCTATGAGATGTTGGCCACCTCGCCTGGTATGCAGGAGGTCGTGGGTTCGATCCCGACCCTGACGCCTGCTGCTGCTGCTGTATATTTGGAGTTTGCGTGTCTCTCTCTCTCATCATCATCATCACGGTGGCTAGGAGATGTTAACTACCTCGCCTGGTATGCAGGAGGTCGTGGGTTCGATCCCGAACCTGACGCTTGCTGCTGCTGCTGTATATTTGGAGTTTGCGTGTCTCTGTCTCTCTCCACGTGGTCGCGTGAATTTCTACGCTGGGTCCTCCGGTTGTTTCCCCTCCACACGTAGACACGTCACGCGTGGAGGTTGTTTAGGTGATGCTGCTGCTGCTATTAATGGCCAAATGCTGGGCCACTTTGTTGAGCTTTCATTTGTGGTCAGGTCGCTTCTGAAAAACAAGTTAATACCTCGGTGGGCTTTGTCTGGAAAGATGTGGGTGGTTTAGTGTTGTATCGTGTTTGTGTCTGGGTGATGTGTGTTGTCGTTCTTGTACTGTGCACGACGATCGTGTGTGTGTACTGTGTGTGTACTGTGTGTGTGTACTGTGTGTGTACTGTGTGTGTACTATGTGTGTGTGTACTGTGTCTGTGTACTGTGTTTGTGTACTGTGTATGTGTACTATGTGTGTGTGTACTGTGCGTGTGCACTGTGTGTGTGTACTGTGCGTGTGTACTGTGTCTGTGTAGTGTCTGTGTGTGTACTGTGTGTGTACTGTGTTTGTGTACTGTGTGTGTACTGTGTATGTGTGTACTGTGTGTGTGTACTGTGGTTGTGTACTGTGTGTGTACTGTGTTGTTGTTGTAACGTTCCTACCCCGTGCCCTTACTGGACATCTGTGGACAAAGAGCTTTATAGCTCATCGGATTTCTCCTGCAGCCTAAATAAATAAATAAAGACTCTGACTCTCCG